TACCAACCTTGGTTTTTCAAACGAGAAGTTGTACACGTTTTAATGCAAATTATTGTGAATCGGATGATTATTCTGTAAATGATGGCTTATTGTAATCGAGATTTGAACGAAAAGTTTCTGAGTTATTCTGTTTTAAATACTACAAGGATAAGACGTGTCCCACCAACTCATGCACACAGTCCGTCTACTAATTATTTTATGTAGCCACGATAAAGTCTAAATACACCGTGATAATATGTTAAAATTAAAGATAGATAGGTAAGTATATTTTTATATGTACCTACCTACTAACTACTTCTATACATTTATTGGATATATTTTTAAAGTGTACACTGTATACGGTGTGCGTGTAAGTGTAGTAAATTATCAAGTATGTTTAACGATAATGAATTATGTATCGTATACGAGTAACATATTTTATCAATCTTTACGAAATATCGTGCGTATAATATATACGTATTATACTAAGTCGTATCGTATAAAATATGTATATTGTTTAATTTACCCGCTGCAGTGTGCAGTCAACGAATATATACTTTACATCACGCTGGTTTCAGAATACGATATTATGATGGGTGTATAATTTTGAAAATATTATAAATCCAAAGAGTACACGTATATAGGTATAATACTCGTATATTATATTCTTTAGCTTTACGCGCGCGCGTATAATATCGTACACACACACACACACACACACACACACGCACGCACACACGCACATACACACGCACACACGCACGCACACCCACGACTACACATCTGCACGAGGCCGAGATACAAAATAAACTCGCATATGGAGCGGAGCATTCAATCTTCCAAATTGTCCAATTTACGGGAAACGAATTACGGGCGCACAAAAAGTTGGCAAACACCGTGGCAATCGTCTTTATAATAGTAATAATAATATATAAAGGATAACCGCGTGTCCTTATTGAAACAACAACCACGCTATACACTGTACATGGCTGTTGTGCAAAAACGAATCCCAGGAGAAGAAATATATATATATATAAAAAAAAAATAAAAAAATGCGAGCACACATCCATACATATATACACAGGATAAGTATCGTTATAATATATAATATAAAGAAGGGAAAATAATGATATATACGTGTGTGTGCAGTATAAACGCCGCCGCCGCTGCCGTATACGTCGTATGTGTCTACGTCGCGACGGTGGTTCGTATTAATAATTTAACAACACTTTGATCGTTGTTCAATATGGGAAGTATTTTTTTTTTTCAATTTCGTTTCTCGAGTCTATTATCTTCGAAACAATTTTTTTTTTTTTTATTTTTTGTCCCTTAAATAATTCAAGATAATATACGATACGCTTTTTGCCTCCCTCCACCCCCGGGGGTGCTGTGCAAACATATATTATTATTATTATTATTATTATTATTATTATTATTATTATTTTGTACTCGCATCAATATAATGTACAGTATAGAGCGGGGCACCGAAAGGCTGATAGGTACACACCGCGGGCACCATTCATCACGTATATAATAGCAGCTGGAGCTCGATTAAAATTTCACTACGTACTCTATGGTACTAAATCGGTTTTTTGTTTACATTCTACGTTGCGTATACCGTAAACTGCACGTGCAGTACAGAAACGTAAACACACAACGGACATCCGTGTATAGAACCTTATTAATTTAAGGAACTGCCCGGCGTATATACTATATAGGAAGGGTGTAAACGTAAAGAAAACATTCGCACCATGGGTAGGAACTAGCGTAAGTAAAGGGGACAAGCTTAGTACCTGTAAACGTGTTGATGGCCCTTCCGAAATCATAACTCACTCAAAGGTCATTTGGTGGCTAAACTCCTTTATTTTTCAATTAGAGCAAGATTTCTGGTAGAAAAATTATTAAGGGAAAGGAAAAAAAAATCATACATCACATAGTAAAACCAAAACATTCCTCAAAATCTAAAAATAGAAATCATTCTTCTTCGTGATTTCGGTCACGTCACACATCATCATCCCGTCAAACATGTTTGTCTATCTTTCTCTTTCTAACGATAATTTTTTCTAATCTTCTCCTGGCTCATTTTTAGAACGTCTTCTCGTATTAATCTTGGGTGACCCAATAGACATATGATCATATAGATCAATTTAGCTAATATAAATCATACTGCATCTTTGAAGCCGCATCTGTTTCAAATATCGACTAGGTACATGTTGTATTGTTTCATATGATTGTTTAATTTGATGAGTGCTATTTTTGTCAGTGTTCGATGTTACCAAACGCCTGATGAAAAATCTAAATCTTTTAAATTACGATGTGAACAATTCAAAACATATTTATTAACCGAAAACAAGTTTTTTTCAAAAAAAAAAAAACATATCTTACTTAGTAAAACTGATTTCTGCAAAGTACACCAACGTCGTACTCGGTGTATTTCATATTATGGCATGAAACCGTTTTGTGTATGAGCTCCCGTACCTATAACCCACGTATCTATTCCCCAGTCATAGTTCCTAATTCTCTGGTTAATCATGTGTGTGTGTGTGTGTGTGTTTTTTGAGTACGTGACCGGAATTTCACTTGCAGTTACAGAACTACCCTTGCACAGGTATAATTTGTTTACCGACGCCAAAAGATTCATCGTCCAAGACAAGAAAAATAACCACATAAACTTTCTGCCAAGAAAAATAAATTCAATTACGATTTTATAAAAATGTTTTTCATTTTTTAGGAGAGCACAGTAATAATAGAACACTATTTTATTAATAAAATGTCAGTAATTGCACAAAAATTATATATATATATATATATATTATTTAAGATTGAAGTTACATACAAAATGTGTGCAGTTTTACCCCTATAAATACATAGGCATATGTTAATAAAACTAATATATGATATATATAACATATTATACAATAATAAGGTATGCGCGCTTATAGTGAATCACCCTGTATATTTTTATGTATACATAAACCTAATAATATAGGTATTTACCTTCAAATTCGAATACCTATAGTGATTATAATTTTTGACAAATTTTAATAATGCCTTACAATTTTCGATTGATTTGATGGAACCAACGATTTTAATAAGTTGCATAATAATATGTATAGTAGGTAAGTAACTAGTAAACATAGGTACAACGTTACCTGCTAATTTACAATCAACGTAAACATTTCGAATACAACAATACGATTATAAAATAAACACTCAAAGTGAATTATAAACATTATAGAGTATAGACTCAAGATGATAATTGAAATTTATCCTTGAATTATAAAACTTAGATAATTCCTCAAGATACAATTTTACAATGAAAGCATTATTTAGCTTAATTAATTTTGCATTTTCGGTTAAGTAATGAAAAAAAGTCCGAAAAATCTAAAACAAAATATTAATAATTTTCAATTAAATATTTATAATTAAAATATAATTAAATACCTATTGCAGAATTGTATGAATATTTTCATTTTATTAAAGATATAGTAAAATTTGAACTCTCCTACATTATTTAAGTAATTATTTGTAACAACGATAATAAAAAACTTGTTCTCTTTTGGATCATGCAAATTATTATAGCAATATTTAATATAACCATAGGTGCAAACAGCAAAAAATAGTTTTTGGGAAAGGGGTCTTCAGTACCCACCATAATGATTATTTTGGACTATGTAATTATTCCTATTTTATATTAGCGTTGACACGGTAAGAAATTGATTTAAGGAAGCTTATAGATGAATTTTGGAGGCTATAATACACAATGTTATATTATCTACATCTATAGATAATCAATGTTATGTAAACTATATTAACGTTATTGGCTTGTTACACCATAGGTACCTGGGGCTTTATTTTATAAGCCATACGAATGTAGTTCGCATACGAAAAATGTTCGATTTTTCCGAAATTCCAATTCGGTATTTTATATTAACTACTTTTGTATACGAAAAATTATATACGATTGACTTCCGTTCATACGTAAATTTTTCGTATGGTTTTCGAAAATGGTATGTTTTACATTGTCCGTACGAATTAACGTTCGTTTAGCGGTATTTCGTAACTATATTCGTACGATGAAATCGCTCGTATATACGACTGGTTGTAGTATGATTGCAACGTATGGTGTAGGTTATGTGAAAGCTGGTTTTCATATACTACAAGAATATAAATATTATCTCAATCATTGTAAATGAGGAACAAATTTATCTTTAGCGTGATGAAGATGCGGACTCCAAAAAATCTATAATGGTTCGTCTTTGGTCACCGGTTACGGAGCCAAATTTAATTTGTTTTTTCCTAATGACAATTTGATTTAAAGGCAAATAAAAACAAGCTGATAAATAGTCACACACGCCGCTAGAATAACGCGAGTACGACTGTACGGGAAATAACCATTACAATATAATATCAATTATCAATACGCTTCAAACTTGTTATATTTTCACCATAAATGGAATCTGGTTTATCGTCAGTTAGTGCTATTATACAATAATAATATAATTACACGATTTTTGAATCCTGTATGAAATTATAATTACAAAATTCAACTATAATGAGTATTATGTGTATATATTTTCACTATCGCTTTCAGATAAACATTTAAATGTTATTCAACAATTTGATATAGGTACCTATTTATTTTATTATTATATAATATATATAAATGACGGATAAACGTCATCACAAAATGACGTCATACGTACGAATATAAATGCAGTACGAAAAACATCCGTATGGTCAATGGTTCGTATATCTAAGTAACCTATGGTTAAACAAAATACCAAATCATGTTCGTATACGAAAAATATTCGTATGGCGAACAAAATAGACCCCCCCCCCCGATCATATTTTGATAATTATAATGTATTAAAAATATATTTCGATAATATTTCAAAATATCCCGTTTAAAAATTATACGCGGCTTTTTTAACGGAAATATATATTGGCCTACGTGGTCACACTGTTTCGGTCGCTTATCTTTCCGGCCTCTACACGCACATGATAATACAATACGAGATAAACAAATTATTGTGTTTTCCGTTTACATTTTTTTCGAATTGTTTGTTAAATTTGCATATTTCACAAAATGCCTTGTAATACAGATATGTTGAATTTGAACAAATTGGTCGCGTTCCAACACTTAAGAGAAATATTGGAAAATAACAGCGCAAACAAACATGTCCGCAATCTACTAGCGTACAAAGATAAATTGTTGTACTTATGGAATCCAGAAGAATGCTGCCTGTATATGATACTTTTGACTACAGCCCACGAAGAAAAGCCTTTGTATCAGGTAATAAATAAATTTAATTTCAATTATAGCGCATAACTTCTTATTCTTATTCTATTACATTCAATATTATTGCATAATCCGTATCTTATAATTTCTAATACATTTGTACGTATCTATTGATATTATTTAAGTAGTTGATATTTAAACAAGTACATTTTATAAATAAGTACACTTCATGTATCTAGTGTTAGATTATTATGCATAGTGTTCAATATTAAAAACCGATTCATGCTTTGCTCTGCTTAAAATCTAAAAACGACAAAATTGCGTTGGTTCAGTTTAATGCGTAGGTACCTACCTACCTACCTACTGTTTATGTATTTTGTTTTAAATTATTTATGAAGTAGATTATATTAATATAAGTATATCGTTCTTTAGTTAATGTTCTACATAATAAAAAATCTTACTTAGGTATTTAATGATTAAATAAAAAAATTAAATATATACACGATACATACTAATATTTGCACTTATCATATTAGCTATAAACATACATATATATACATTTAATTATTTTTTTTACAAAGTAACTTTAACTTCTACTTACCATTAATCATATTATTGTGAGCATAATTTTAATAAACAATTTTAACTAAGACACCACATAGGTACTTACTTAAAAATATTGTTGTCGGTCTGTAAGTCTTATCAAAAATATACAAGCTTATATAATATGCAATTTGTATAGTTCACATATGAGTAGGTAGTAAATAAATTATACATTTAAATTATTTAAATTATATATATTTGAAACAATTTATATTAAATTACCTAAGCATAATATTATTTCCTTGAAAAAAAAATAAGAAAGTACTTTTGAAGTATTTATTAGATACTTAGGAATTATCCAAATAATATTATTTAGATTGAATTACATTATTTTCTGAAAATGTAATTAATGTCAACAAATTATTACTTTTAAATGAATCTTTTCTTCATTAACAATCAGTTATTATTCTAAAACTGTATTTGTTGGTATAGGTGTTGATCTACTTGTCCAGAAAAGTGTTTACTGGAATAAAAGATACATTTTAGTAAAACTAATACATTCAGTCTAATATTTATATATAGGTAATAATAATAATAATATATATTTATTTTACAAAAACAAAGTACAAGGTAAAACATATAAATATATATATATTAAGAATAAATATTGAGAACCAATTTAAACAATGTAGTAAAACTTACCAGGTTACCAGGTTATTAGGTTCCTAATTTTCGAGGAGACCAAAAATTAATTATTTTTTTAAATCTTAACTTAAAATTACAAACTACAAACTAACTATAACAATACATATTATATATTGTTATTAATAGATACATAATATTTGTATTTACCTTATCAAATTGAAAAAATATTACCTTTTAAATAGTAATTTATTTGTTAACAAGAATAAGTAATAATCTGTACCCTTATATTTCCTGAATAATACGACTGGTTAGTCAATAAATTTATTCAGGTAATGAAACAAAAATAAAAAGTATGCAAAATAATGGGAACAAATGCAGTTTAGCTCCCAAATGATTTTTTTTTCAAAAATGTGTGTTTTTGCATAGTTAATTTGATGATATTTTCAAAAAAAAGTAGCTTAAAAGTTATGGTTAAAAACCATATTGTTAATAAACCACATAAAACCTAATTATAATGCTATTTCAATCATTTGCATATTAAAGGAACTCAAAATTGATTTTTTGGACTTTTTTCGTTGGATGTGTAATAAAGAAGTTTTTGGTGAAGTCTGAACTAACTAATATTTTTTGGTTTGGAAAGTGGAACAATGTATCTTTTCTTGTGGGTATATAAACGTCACATTTTACATAGGAAAAAAAAAATTTCATTTAATACTATTTTTTTTTACTTACTGAGGCCAAAATAATAAACAAATAAAAAAAAACTCAATAGGGAGAACTGAGGGGCGTGTTGAAATTAATACAAATTATTGTTATAAATAACAAAATATTTAAAATTTACTTTTTTTCGATATGAATTTTTTGAATAATCTCGACATCTCCATATATATCCATCAATGCAATAAACATTTAAACATATCTCGAGAAGAAAAAAACAGCCCGCCGTTTTCGCTCCAATAGTTCTTAAATATCGAAAAACTATTAATTACCTAGTTCTGATTCCAAAAATTTCTTTGTGTTTTTACACACCGAAAGTCCAAAAAATCGATTTTGAGTTACTTTAATATGCAAATGACTGAAATAACATTATAATTAGGTTTTACGTGATTTATTAATAATAACATAAAAAGTAAGTTCGTAGATGAATTCTGATTTCACTAAAATGTTAAGTATATAATTACTAACATTTCTAAAAAAAAAGTCTAAAAATATAAATTTTGAAGTTTTTTAACTATAACTTTTAAATGAAGTTTGAGCGATTTTTTTTTAATGTATTATCAAATTAAACATACAAAAACAACATGCATTTTGGTAAAAAAAGTCGCTTGGGAGCTAAACTGCGTTTATGTTGTACAATCAATACAATCATCGCTCTTCTTCGTTTTTTTTCTTGAAAATCTTGTATTATAAATGCGTTAAACAATTAATTATTTGTGGAAGTAAAAACTTTTCTATAGTCTAGAAAGTCCGAGGCTCCCATGCCCCCTTCCTGCATACGCCACTTTTGATAATTTCTTTCGTCTTAAATCCAATTTATAATCAACCACATACTTCATCCGTGACGTGATTTGGACGTACTAGGACTTACCAAATCAAAAAACAAAACATAAATAATAATATGTGTACAATCATTTAAAATGTTTTTTAATTCTCGTTTACCAGAAATATTTTATAGAATTTTAGTTTAAAAAAAGAGGTTCCAGTGTATTACTGCAATGTTATTATATATGGATTTTTAGTTGGCGGAAGCGCAATATACAAATACACATTTTTTTTATAGAACCTTATTTTATCCTCAAACTATTTTAAATCAAAAAATTTGAATGAATTAAAATATAGTGAATCAGCTAGTAAATGGTTTGTGTTATAACCTTTCCCCTTCGAAATTTGAGATTTTGTTTAAAAAGTTCTGTTTAATAATTTGTATAGCTCGGATCAAATAACAGCATTTTGTCGTTATTAAAACTATGAAAGTATGTACCAGATTTGTATTATTTATTTTAGATTCTGATGACAGGTTGCATAAAAACCGTTCTGTAAACTGTTGGTTCTATAATTTATCGGTTTTGTATAATTACATTTAATGAACAGATTGCGTTGCATAAAATTATTTCATTATTTAAATACGAATATCTTATCCATGGCTACCATGAATCTAACCATACATGCATGTATCTGTTATTTATGGTTATAGCTTGTTTATCAGTATATATAGAGGGTGATTCTTTTATCGTTAAATACTTATTATCTCGGAAAGTATTAACTTTATTTGGAATCTGTTTTATAGACGATTTAAGAAACAAGCAGCTCTACAATTTTACATTTACATTATTTTAAGGGGATGAAACAACTACCTCCTTTGGATTTTCAAACAACAACATATACTTAAAATTCCATAAATAGATGGAGTGTTATAGTTAAAATAAATTTTGGTCTTGAAATTTTAATTTCCGTCAAACCTTTGATGAGATATTCAACTTTTAAGTTTTAGTCGTGGAAGAGTAGTGGAGCGTTATTTGTGTGGTGGCACAGCGCGCGGCGTTTAATAATGCACCACTACAACTCTCCTCCGACCCAAACTTAAAAGTTGAATATCTCGTCAACGGATTGACGAAAATCAAAAATGTTAACACCCAAATTTATTTTAACTAACTCTCCATCTATTTAACGCATTTTCAATATAGTTTGCCATTTGAAAATCAAAAGTAGGTAGTCGTTTCATTTTTTTCATTTGTATAAATTGTTGAAGATCAATACTACGATATTAGCACAAAGTAGTCTCAGTACAAATTTACATCACAGTGACAAGAGAATATTACGGTTTTTCGTAACAAAATTATATTTACGTAAATGATAATGTTAAAAAACAACTCTGCAAATTGTACAAAACTAAAATATCTCAACAACTTATCGATTCAATAACGATGTTTTTTATAACAATTATTAAATGTATAGAAAGGTTTTTAATTTTACGGAACCAATAACCAGTTATCAGTTCTATATAGTTTTCACGCAACCCGGCATTGTGTAATGAAGGAACTATAATTTTTATTAAAATGTGTTTTTCGGAAAAAAAACTTTTTTTTTATTAGTAGGTAAATACATACATTTACATATTAAATTATTCTATTATTCTACTTTTCCAACTTTAAAAAAAAATCTTACCTCGAATTTTACATATTATGTTAACTACCAGACATTTGTTCTTAGTATACACAATCTTTTTTTATCAAATGTATTACTTATACCCAAATACTTAATTAATTTTGTAAACGCAAAACTTGAGAAATTCACTTAGGTAATTTGATTGCACGAAGTTAAATAAAGTTAAACTAAGTTAAACTATAGGTACATGTGTAAATGTTTAATTTACAAAATGTATAGGTACAAACACGCAAAACCTTTGATTTACTTAATTCGGTATAATTAATAATTTCGTAAGACTCCGCTTTGTAGAATCATAATTATTTCGATTATTTTTTCACATATTAACGTTACGATATACTAATGCTCCGACAAGACGAAATTCGCTATCAGAAACCGTTACTGAAGTTCACGGTCGTAGTAAAGAATCCTGGGTCGAAAAGTCGTTCGCGATCGGTGGGGGGGGGGAAACACAAATCTGCAATAATAGTACAATCGTTATTCATTTTTTAGCCATTGTAAAGTATAAAAATTATCAATAGTCAAAACACTCATAACGATATAACAGTCGTAAAATCATAACAGTACCTACATATAATCATTGTTGTTATTATGCACCTACTTATTATCAGTTTAAAAATATCCCACAATTTAATTTGTATATATATATATATGTCACTGTATAGCACGCACACGGTCTTTTAGGCCGTTTTTGTATAAGTAACGAACTTTGAACTCTTCTATTTTCCAGACATCCGTTTGTATACAGTTGGGAGTTGTATCTAATTGTAGTTTATCACTTAATTAGAAGGTAACTAGGTTGGATTAGGTAAATATTCCGTATTTTTGAAACAATGAACAAAATTCAAAAAACCCGGTCTTTTAGACCGTGAATCGTGTGCTCTAGGGTCAAGAGAATCACATGAAAACTACAATCTTATAGAAAATTGAAGAAAAAAAAAAATTTCAAATCTCTAGTCGTACGGCTTATTATAATATTATCGTCCTACCGCGTTTATTATAACAACGATAATAATAATAATAATAATATCCATTAATTTGCGAATTTACAGCGCTGTTCCGCCTGTCCCGCGTATATACCGTTTGTGGCGTCGGCAACGTTGTTCGCAAAAGTACCATTTGGCGTTGATTCCTCCGCCGTTTTTCCTCGGTTTCCGTTTAGCGGCCATAAATCGGCATGAAATATAAGTTCCTATTCGGAATCGCGCAATATAAACACGAGCCGTTAACACAAACGCTATAATACACAGTAGCGCGCGCGCGGCAGTGACGCGTCTTTCCTCTCCGGTGTTGTGCGCGCCGCTACGCCACCGTACTCCACACCGGGCTAAGGGATTTTACTTAACAATTATCATAAATATAAACAGGCCCGAACTTCCCTCGGCGACAACTACCGCCACCACCACCACTACTACTACTGTCACTACTGCTACTGCTGCTGCTGCTACTACAACAACTACTACTACCACCGTTCGTATAGTGTATTACAGCACCGACGACGACGGGGCGGCCAAAGACGCGGTTTATCTTTTGAGGCCATTGTTGAGTTAGCGCGAGTGTGTGTGTGTGTGTGTGTGTGTGTGTGTGTATTCGCGTAAAGCGTAGGAAAAATAGAATAATAAATTGCCATTATCGCTCCCGATTGTTCCTTATAATATTATTATATTATGTGTAATTATGTATATAAGTCCGCGGGTGTTTCTTCTTCTTCGCCCGCGTCTCTCATCCTTTTCCTTTTCCTGTTGGCCGCCGCCGTCGTTTGTCGTCGCGGTCGTGGTAAACCGCTGTACACAGCAATAATAATAGCAGCAGTGTCGTCGTCGTATAGAGGGAAACGTCTTCGTCCGGCTGTTGAATTATCGTTTATTACAATCCTCTTCTTATTATTTCGGCGGCGGTGCTTTCCCTCTCGCCTATACGCGCGTATTGTCATTCTCTCCGCAGCTCTCGCGCACGCAAAACGGCTCTATTAATGCTAATATACCACCTACTCCTATCCCGTGGAAGTGGGAGCGCAGGGGGGTTTGCTGCGGTACACAATGGCATTTTACGAAAATGTCGCCGTCCGCCCTGTATAAGTATATTATATATATATATATATACTTACAACAATTGTATAGTTCCTTTAGATCTCGCCCTCGCTTCCTCTACTCTTTCGCGTATTCCGATTTTGTATTTCCGACTCGAGTAATACAGCTATAATAATAATATCGTTTATGTTTTATTATCATTCACCGCGGGCCCGAACGTTTTTTAGTTGTGCGCAACCATATTACTATATAATATATACGCATTCATTATTATACCCGAGACAATTATTATGAGTTATTTGTAATATTATAGACTTCTGCGGTGTTATCACTGTTCGTACAATCCAATCTGTTTTATAAGGCTACCGAAATAATATGCCTAGTGAAGTATATAAAAATACCAATGGAGGGGGGGATTTGTGGGCACGTCACGCTTAGTATAGTAGAACAGTTCTTTTAAATTCCAAATTAAATGGCTAGAAACGCTGTATAGCCAGTTGCGAATTATACAAATTCCAAAACGAAATTTTAGTTCGTAATAGATCGGTTTTGAGGAATTAAAGAAAAACACAAAGTATGCTCCTATAATAGAAATTAGCAGAATAATAAAGTCAAGTACGCATCTATCGAAAATGAGCGAAACACTTTTTCACGAAAAATAGGAGAAAATAAGCTTTTAACTCAGGCACCACGTTCGTGACGGACACCACCGAGTGTATAATTTATGAGAGGTATAATGAACTTGAAAAATATTTCATATGCGTGTTATAGATACCGAAATCGGTATCATCATATTATTACGTTTCTTTGTTGTTCTTCATGCAGATACAGTTTTCACTTCTTTAATTTTTTTTTTTGTTTCATTTTGAATACAATGATTCAAAAAGCGTGAAATACCCTTTGATTTTTAATATCTACAAATCTATCAAATTAAAAACGAATATTTTAAAAATCGTTTCATTTAAATTTAGAAATATATAATTATCTACTATTTATATTTAAAACAAAATACTAATATTTTGTTAGAGTTAATTTGTTTACATTTTATATACAGTTGTTATTTTATTGTACCATACATACTCAACGTGCGGTATACTGTTAGGTGGGTATACTGTAAAAATATAAACAATTTAACCGTCCAATATACCATTCAAAAAACAATAACTTCTCAAAACCAACACTACCGAATCGAAACTAGTATTATACTGAAAATCTATTTTATAATGCGCATTCACGGATCATCATCATCATAGTTTTCGATCCATTTGGTCTAACGTACTAAAAACCAAAGTCTTTAAATTTACACGCTACATTAGTATCTCGTATTCACCACTTTTTCTCTTCCCCCGCACTCGTTTTTATTGTTATTTTAATCCTGAGTGCTATTTCGAAGACTGATTTTTATTATGCACATTTTTAGAACGATGCGTCGTGCTGTCGAACTCCCGGAGTCTGTTTAATGAACGTTGAATTTTGAAAAAAAAAAAAATATATATATAATAATAATAATAACAATACCGAGAAGTGATGGTTGGGGATTAAATCGACTGCGAGTATTGAACATTTTTAAATAAAAATAAAAAAACATATATAGGGCGTGCCCGGGATATATTACGTTACAATTTCGTATCAGAAATAATCGTATTAGCTTAATTAAAAAATATACAACGAGAAAAAATAACATACCCGTCATTCTATATATGATTGGTAATTATCGTTATTACTTGACGTAGGTATATTATAATGGTTATAAAAATGAGTATCGTTTTGAAATGCGGAAAAAAAACTGTCGAAACCGTAGGACCACACCCTGCGGGTCATTAGAATATTAGGCGATGTTTGGTATGGTGTTCATGTACATATCAAATAATTTGATAAATAAAATATTAATGACATGACTGACGGTAAAGAGCGAAATTGAAACTGCAATGGACTGTCAGTATATAATATGAGCTCGTAACAGTAATCGGCTGTGCTCACGCCGACTGTTGTCAAAAAATTCATTATATTGATGGGCTGGTTATGTTAATATTCTAACGGTGTTATAATACTCATATTACATAAATGTTTTTTATGTAATTTATTATAAACTGATATGTAACGAATTGTGCAGGCTGAAAAATACGAATACCATTGTAATATTGTACCCCTACTCTAATGTTTTATCGTAGATAAATTTAAAATGGCAGCCTTAGGCGCTCTGTTAAAGTCGGTTCAAATTTTAATAATTTTATTATGACAATTGTTCAAAACAAAAAAAAACATTTACGAGTAAACTTATTAGTTCACACGGTTCGTATATTCAGTAATCATATTATGTTATAGTTTACGTTGCACAAGTTGCTTTTAGAATGAATAACCTGTAACTGTTGTAGTTTTGCTCCTTTATATTAAACGTTTTACTATGAAAAAAATTACTTAATTAATTTACATCGTGTTTTTTTTAGGATAATTTAATGAGCATGACGGGGGTTGACTTAACTAAAAAATTAATAATTTTTACAAACTATTATATTATAGGTTATATAGAAGTGCTACCTCATACACAATAATAACAATTATTGTCCGGACAACATCTGATAAGCTATGATAAGGTACATGTCTAGAAAGAAAATATACAATTTGCTTCCGTGTAAATTTGATTTGATTTATCATAATTATCGCCGTGTAGACAATACAACTTATTTCGTTATTGTCTATGATAAATCGACACTTTTTACGGATACAGCATAACGAAACCTAACCTAACCGATATCTGCTTATCTAGTGTTATCCGAATTTTCCGCGTTACGAACAACAAAAATACTACCTACTTACAATTGTCCAGAAAGATAGGTAGTGAAACCCGCAGTAAAATAATAACGACGTCGAAGGAAAATCTGTATAATTCTGTAAATATTATTTAATACGCCCGGTATTGTATCGAATTGCCGAGTTAACCGACTGTAATTTCCTTTATTTAATATTATGATACATACATACGTATTATAATATACACATTGGACGCGTTTAACGTAACATTTATTTTTTCTTCCCCAATGATCGGGCATAATAGTACAACACTCGTATATGTACGAGCAGCCAGCAGAATGTCAATGCAATTAATTAGCTTTTGTGGAAATAATGGAGTTTATGAGCCGTATACACACTCCGTTTGACGCGAAAATTAATCAATAATAAAAATATTATACTCGTTTATATTACACGGTATTATTATTTTATGTGTGTATATTATATATCTATAAATGTATTGAGACTGCAGCGAAAGGTTAATGTCCGTTTGATGGCCATTAAAGGTTAATACAATATATTCCTATATTTACGACGCATAATACGGCAAATATCGTAATAATAATACAATAATATCGAAAGAACCTTTAGAATGCGTGTATTAACACTTATTGTGTGTGTGTGTGTGTGTGTGTAGTGTATGCGCCTCACGGTGTGTATTTTTATATTTATTTATATAGGCAATATGTATACGTGTGCATACGGTATATATCTTCAGTCCTATACCAATAAATACAAGTCCAGGTTAATTCATTATCCGGTGTCAGAGAAAAAGGCACTCATAACGGATGCGATGCGATTACCCGTTATGTCGGCATTGTCCCGAGAGAAAATCCAGACGGATCGGGCACGCGTTTTTATTGGATGAACTTTCTTCTCCTTTTCTTTCTTTTTTTTTCCGTTCTTTTTTTTTTTTTTTTTTTTTTTTTTTTTGTTTCCGGTCTTTCTATTTCTTTTTTCCCTGTCCTTATTACTACTATCGTCATCAAGGACCAAACTTTTACTTATTTATTGTCGCGTTTCTCACTTTATGAAAAATATAACTAAAGATAAAAAAAAAAAAAAAAATACCTCTATCTGGGCCTCGCAATCTAAAGGGGAAATGTTTTATTCGACTCGATTTTTCTTGCTTTAAAACAACACGGAATTAAGTTAAATCCGCGGCCATTAGACCTTTTGCGCCCTCTGTATTGAGTAGTCGGCCGCCCAAATCCGTGACACGGTAATCAACGGGTTTTACTTGGCAATATAATAAATAATGAAAACCATTCGACGTGGAAAAATGGTAAGACATTATGGCAAAGATATTTGGATTGGTCGAGTAAGGACGGGTGTGGTATAGTAAAAAATAAAATAATAATAATAATAATAATACAAAAACCAATGCGAATCCTCGGCCGAGAAATATTATACTAAATGGAAGTGCGCGGCATTTTTATTTCATCCATTATGTCGCAATTAGGGATTTTATTTTACCCCTTTAGTTCTTGTTTCCCCCGCTTTCGGAGATTAAAACGAAAGTTGCCTTTCGGTAATTAGAAATGCAGGTCCGAGTGGGTTTTTACAGTAATCTGCGGTATTCTTAAGCTCGGACACGTAAAGGATTAACTGACAGCGGGCGAGCAAAAAACTAGTTTAAAGGACACTTTAGGATTAAACACAGTTTAAAAAGACATTTGAAAAAAAAACATTCTCGACACTGGATTTCGTAGAAGCTTTTGAGGGGCTACTATGAATTTTTGAAATAAGCTTTAACTCGCATATCCCGATTTAATATCAAGGTCTTAAAAAACTTTTTTCTACTGTTCTTTATGTGTATATATATATATATATAATTGTTTTATTTTTACAATTGAGAATATGCACCTCATAACCATAACCATACATTATTTATTATTTTATCGTTATCAGTTTATAGTAATTTGTAGTAAAGTGTTGTATAATTATTTCGTCAAAAGCTTCAATTGGAATTATATCATAAATTATATCGCCACTGATAAAACAAAAAACAATGAAACGTTTTCATATGGTAATACATTATAATAAGTAAATTTATCCAGAAACGAAGAAAATAGTATTTACAACATTTAAATATATACCGCTGAAAAAATATCGAAAACTCCTATGGTTTGTAATGTAACTAATAAGTTATATACCCTTAGTTTTATATATTTTATACGTATGCCACTTGTATGAATAACTTCCATCCGATTTGTGTATAATATCTTCTTAATTTATATTTTTATTTTTATCACGCTTCTCACATGTCTTACCCAGTTTATCCATAAAACATTCACATGTAATATGATGGTATACTTCATACCAATCTTATAATTTACTTGGTACTTATTATACGTTATTATTTGTTTCACTGTAAGAATAATACAATATTGAAAATTGCTAGTATATAAATTGATAATCGAATTTCATAACTCATGTACATTTTATTTTTACTTAAATAAAAATCAGGTTTAGACAGAATAATTGATTTAATGGTATTATTTAAATTGAATATCGAATACAAACAAATTGTATACGTTTTATACATTATGTATTTATATGCGTTTTGTACGCTATACTCTTTATACACATATATTATTATCATATCTACAATGTAAGCCATATTACGTTACTATTTATTCACTAAGTACCTATATTATTATATAGACATTTATACATTTTTAATGAAAAATTATATTAATGTACAAATAGAAACTTTAAAATTGTAAAACTAATTGTTATAGGTATTAATCTTAGATAAAAACCGTGTCGTTATTACGTTAGATTATGTACCTATCTATCTAAAAAAAACTCGTAATTTTTCCCCTCGCATTGTATTTATTATATGGTACCATAGAGTAAGATTTATGCAGATTGTACGTACGAATTGTACAAAGTATTACTTGATATTGGAATAATTAAACGTTTAATTAAAAGTCCGCCGTCTACGGCCAATAGAAAATACCGCTAAAAGCCCCGTATATACGCGCACATATACAGGCGGCTTTAATTACAAGCCCCCGGGGTCGCGAGCGGGTTAGGCGAAGAGGTGGGGTGGCGAACAAATTTATGTGCAGATTTCAGACCTCTGGGAAACGAGACTTTGTTTGCGGTGACAATTTGAACGATTTATGTGCGCTATGCACGCGGCGGTTTAAACCGTCTGCTTTACCTCTCTAGAAAACCCGTTGCTTTTTAACGGGGGAAAAACCTCTCTGGGGTCTTTCGGATGGATCGTTAATTCGTAATTGTTGATATTCTTACATCGAAACTCAAAAATCACACAGTTTGTTTGAAAAAAAAAAAACAAAATTATTTTTTTATTTTTTTTTTAAATTATTAATCTATTATTATGAAGTTATTCAACGTATACTTATTTTGAAATAAAATGTGCGTTGCATTTAAAAAAGTACAATAACGAACAATAAGGACTGCAGTTTTCTTTGTTTTTATAAACTATGTTTCTTTTAACAATTCATGAAAATTAATTTTCCTCTGGTAAATTTTAAGTAATAAAATTTAATTTTTACTATATTTGTTGTTATTCTGCTGGTTTTTTAAATTTTATTCCATACAAACTTTAAACAACTAGCTTCTTTTTTTTAATTCGTTATTTATAATGTTTTATGCGTGCATGTAGATATATAGTTTATTTCCAATAATTGTTTAGTCTTAACTTTTATCAAAACTAAAATAAATTAGGTATCTATATAATATTTAAACATATTTGAGTAATGAAAAATAACTAAACAAATGCTTGTTTCTAATAATAAATATTTTACTGCCTGAGTACCTATATCTATATAAGTCCTATTTTTTTTCCACTTACTAGCGTATGTGTGTAACTCATGTGAGTCATGCGATATATCTGTGAGAAAGGTAAAAATGATAATGAAAAACTGCCGGTGGTGCGGGGGATACGTACCGACACAGTGCCCACATGACAAGAAAATAGATGAATGGCATCGGGGACTCTCATCACGTCCGTGTAATTTGAGGGACAATGATTGAAAAGCGGTGGGTTTAATACTGAAAAATTACTGGCGATCAACGACAGACGATTTCTCACAAAAAAAAATAACCAACACAAACTTACGGCTGAGAATTATTTATAGGTTGGTTAAATCGTGGGCAAAACATATAATATTATTATAGTGATAGTATTGTGGGTTTTATTTACTAGGCAAAATAATAGGTGGTAAAACCACCATCAGACCATATTTTCGGGATGTGATGGTTGATGGATATTATATTATTTAATGTATTTAATAGTTATAATATTTGATAATTTGTTTGATATTTGACAAACGTGTTAGTACATGTAGTAACACATTATTATTTCAAATACTCGTATTCTGAGTTTTCAGTATAAAATAATTATAAAATCATGATTCTCGTGATCTAGGGATATGATTCATAACACAAAAATTGGTATACATTATGTGCTAGACACATGCAATAAAAACAACGAAATACGTACTATTACACAATTTCCAATAGCAAGCAATTTCAATAAGGATAAATAAACGTTTGGGGGGAGGGATTATAGAACACGAACCATACCCAAACGTTGATAATTTAAAACGAATTTTATCAGAATGCTTAATACGACTAAAGATTTGGCAATTAAAAATATAATAATATTATCATCGTAACCTGCTGCAGTATTATTATATTTGTATGAATTATCAAACTAAACAAAATAACAATATACAACATAATTTTTTTTTTTTGTTATAATATAATTTATTAAAATAATTCTTATACATAGTATACCTATTTGATTTTTAACTACTTGCCATGTTTTTTTTTTTTTTTTTTAATTAAAGGAAAATAATTAAAAAGTTTTTATTTTCTAAAATTCGTTTTCAGTTCCCGGTTGAACGTGAAAAGAAACGGATATAATGTAATAAAAGGGTTAAAATGATATTAAAGTAAAAAAAAAAAAGGAAACAAACACCCCGGGGTAACTTTTCCACATCCACAAATACGCAAAAAAATATCCATTTCCATTTCTTAGTATTTTTTTTCCGCTAAACGCTCCCGGCTTATTTGGTTAAAATTACCAATGTGAATATTCTCCTAATGTTTGAACTTAAAAAAAAAAAACTCTCCGAAGGCAATGCAAATAATACGCGCTGTGTTATTCTAACAATACAAAACTCGTTTTCGCTCGCAACCTTTTTAATATACATACAGTTTTTATATTGACATTAATACGCATTAGGGGAAAAAAACCAATAATTGTGCCTATACTTGCTATACGTATGCCGAGATGCACACATGATCAATGATCGGTATCGATTCGATAAAATTATTGATTGTTGCAAAAACGACTTTTATCTTTTATTGATTTGATAAATGATTTCTTATTGGATCGATAGATTGAAGTTCCGAATTGATTCGATCAATAATAAAATAAGTTCCATAACTTAATTGAATTGTGTTCAGCACTGAATATTTTTAAGTTTTTTCTTATCAGATACATTTTATTATGTGTTCGGACTTGTTTACTCCAGGTTATGCGTTAATAGCGTGATATTGTGGAATATTATAATAATATAAAAGTGAATTAAAATGCATTAGCACCAGCATCATAATCTCTATTTTCATCAAATTCTTCTGTAAAGCCACAATAATAATTTGTGTAAACTGGTTTGTGCAATATTGCATGTTTTATAGACACAATAAATTTGTTCATCTATAGGATATTATAGGTTATCGAAGAGTAATATTGGCTTATGCAACCCGGCAACAGTATCCAATAATAAGTTTTACTTTTCATCAATATACATACCAGTTCAATTCTGATCGAAACGAAAGACATAATATTATATTGTTGTGTACCTAACTGCATTTATTTGTGAATTTTTTTGTGATATTAAACACACTCAAAAAGTTGTGTGTTGTATCACATTATACATATTATACATAATAAATAAAATCTATACAAATTTATACACTAGTTGATTAACGGAACTTTTGTAATATCGTTACTTATAATAAATGTATATATTATATAGCAATGCCATTAATATTTACAGTTTTAATTAAAAGTAATTGGTTAACCGGTGTTAACTTATAGTTTCGGCTTTCCCCCCGCCCCCCATATAATTAAAAAATCCTGATTACGCTATAACTTAAAAACTATACCTATACCGAACAAGTACCTAAAAAAAACAAGGACTGCTTTAATTATTTCATTATATTGGAATTCCTCGATTTAAAAATGTGACTTAAAGGAAAATAACTGTGTGGAAAAAATACAAACGGCCTAATTTAAATTCCTTTCAGAATCTTCGTATTATAATATCATCATAATTTAAATATATTATATAATGATCAAAATCATGGTAGTTATGTTGTACGCGATCTGCCAGTAATTCCGAAATCGATAAACATATAATAATTATGCACTTTATACTCAATTGACAAACATTTGCGACACACATTCAATTAATACAATCAGATATAAAATAACTATACAAATAATAAATATGTGTAATTCAGTGCCGTAGCCAAGGAGAGATTCCGGGCTCAAGCCTCCTTCCCCCTTCCTGAAATTTCAGACGAAAATAATTGTTTTTAATTAATTGAAAATAATTGTTTGTAATTAATTAAAAATACAATTTTATCTGTGGGATACTGTAATAGTCTGGTGACCGCCTCTCCGGATACGGGTAACAATTGATAATTTGATAAAATGATAATAAGTAAACAAATTGGTTCTGTAATAACAAATATCATTTAAAGTAGGTAATCACTATATTGATACCGCGCTTAAAGATAAACGTGATAAGTCATAACGTGACACATTAGAATCAAACAACGAATCCTCCGAGCTGCTGATATTCCGAGTTATATTTTGTTCGTCTTTATCATTCTCTTGTTTGAAGATGATTCTTATTGGCCGGGTTATTCATTTAACTTGTTAGATTTACACTGTGGCGTGCACGTGCGCATGCAGTCCTGCGCTATGATTGTTTAATATTTATGTGTCCAGTGCGATAACCAATTGATTGACAGGAATATTAAGTCGTTTTACCAAAAGACTACCGGAGTTATTATAAAACAGTATTCGATTCTACTTTTTACGTGCATGGTCACTCATTAATAACCCCTAATATTGTTAAAATCGAATATAAATACGTGCACGTAATAACACGTACGCGTCGCAGCGGAAACCTATTACTTAGTTGTATATAGAGTTGCCACTTGGACAGCACAGATTTTCCGGTATCTATCCAGTCATACAGTTTTATACCTTTCAACCAGACGTCAAATGTTCAGGTTATGTGACTTACGGAGATCCCTCGTGAATTATAATTAATTATAACGTATAACGCGTAATATAATAGTATGGATACCTCGTGGTTATTACTATTCAGGATTTCTACAACTTTTGGATATATGCGTACAGAAATATTTTGTTAATACGTTTTAATTACATATGAATAAAAAAAAAGTATTTTGATTCTGTTGTTTAGTTTTTGAAATTGTGAAAGTCGGCATCTTTAATCTGCTTGATAGTAAACTATACGTATAAATGGTACGCGTACGTATCAAAAATCTACGATTAATCGGTTTTGCCGTGATAATTATATAGGAATTATCGAATAATAAAATTGTTCGTAAAATACTATAAATTATGTGTAACGTTCTAACACTTGATGGCTTGATTAAATCTGGTAAATACTAGGGGGGGTGTTTTTTTTCGATAATAATTCACGCGATAGCTATAATAATTATTTATTTAAACAATGGTATGTAAAAAATCATAACGTTAGGTGTATAATATAAAATATATTTATATATAGATATTGAAATTGAAAAATAACATTGTTATATTGTAACTTTGCCACGATATACCGAATAAACGCGCGATACGAATGTATAAATAACGTCACAAAAGGTCAAAATAATATTAATACACGTTTGTTATTATTTTATATTCGCGATAAAAAAAAAAAAAAAAATGAAAAAAAAGTACAGTGGTTTTAAATACCATCAACCCCATCACTTAAATGAACCTTTTCCTATCGACCCTTCTCGTCGAATGATATACGGCCATGTATCATTTCTTCGTTATATTACTCAATGAACCGGTATGCGTATAATATTATATCGTCGATGATGATAATAAAAAGCCGACGGATTACGAGCAGTGTGTGTACCATTTTTTTTTCTTTTTCATCCTATTATTTATCGCCGCCCGCTCTCTGCCCGCCTTCGGAGTGCAACCTATATTGTATATATGTATATTTTTTTTTTAGAGAGATATATTCAATTTTTTTTTTTTTGTTCGCTCTTATTGATATGTAAAATATTCTCGTCGCTGTGTTATATATACGTACTGCACGAATGAAAAAACGTCAACGCTGATCGGATTTCTGGTTAATAAAACAATAACTTTACGGTCATTATTCCATCTGCGACGATTTTTCATATAATATAGAAAATACGAATAACCAAAATAAAAAAAAAAAACCACACATTCACATCACTACACGTCGGTGTATTGAATTATATTTTCCCCGAAGAAACGACATCTGTATTTTTTCTAAAAAAAAAAAAAAAAAATCGTTCCATTATGTACACCGCCAATTGTATTTACCTATCTACCTACGCATCGCGTGTGAATGAGATTGGGATTGCCGAAGTTTAGGCTGAAATTAGAGGGGATAGACTGCCAGATAAGGGAAAACTTTCTCGTGCGCTTTTTGTGTTTATGCCGCCGCTGCCGTATACAAAAGAATCTGATTGTCACGACATCGTTTTACAGCGATTTATTGGGTTTTGTGTATTTTTTTTTTATTTTTTATTTTTTTTTATTAAAAAAAAAAACCACAATGCGACCGCGTCACGCGACCTATTGAAGTAGTAGTCTGAAATCAATCATCCATTTTTTCTTTCGCACGCAAACTCCTCGATAGTTATACGTACAATACGTGTATAAAATCCCTAGTTATATAGAATATATATACATATATATATATATTTTTTTTTTTCATTTGATTGATATTATCTAATTTCCGACGCCGGAATCAACGTATTATAAAACAGTTTCTAGAGGTCGACAAACGATTTATATTATTATTATTATATGAAGGGGGAAAATGGCATCCGGAAGCAAACGGCTATAAGAGTACAACTTATAGCTCGAACAAAACGTATCAATCAAAAAAAAAACATCTTAAACTTTTTGAATATAGAAAACGGTAATTGTATATTATAGTTTTCGTTTGTGTGTATATATATATATGTATACACAAGACAATTTGGTTTTTACATAAGACGCTTATTATTATTTCAGAATAATTATTAATTTTATACAATTTCATGGTTTTATTCAGGATTTTTGTTTTTAACCGTGAAATCGTGTAAAAGTTGTGTACAAATTGATAAACGCTGTCTCTTATATAATAAGGAAAACCCAGCTCAACTCTTCAATGTCAAAATTGTACAAAACGCCCGTTTTTGTATTTTCGAATTTCAAAAATACAGTATTTGTTTCTGAAATACTTAATTTATGTTTAAATATCTATGATACTAAATCAGTAGTTTATTAATGGTATTCTAACGGTTTAAAGTTTAAAGGAATGGTTTAGAGCGGATCTCTTTCCCTCATTTTTACTATAATACCTTTGGTCCTAGGGAGTTGAGTCGATTGCTGGTATTTTTTTTTATTATTATTGTGTTGTAATTTGTTCCCCCTTTATTTCTTGGTCTAAGTCGCATAAATGTAAGTGCATATTCTAACACAAGTTATACTAAAATTTAAATATATTATGTTAGTCACTATGATGTATTTTTTGTTTGCTTCAAACAAAAGTTTTTATGATTGCTGAAGCCATTTAGAATGTCTACGTGTAGGTTAGGTCATTTAGTAATTTAGCAATTTTCAAAATTTAATTTACTCGATTTGAAACCTACATACAATTGACCTAAGCCCTAAGAGTTGAGACCAATGATATATTACTTGATAATTTTAAATCGTTCTAGCCATACGATTAATATTTCTGTTCGACATTCAAAATGCAGAGAGTCGATTTTATCTGGACGTTTATGTATTTATGTTGAACCAAAATCTTCTCGTGTGACGTATTAATTTAGTCATCTTCTTTCTTAAAATTTATTTGGTATTTTCATTTACCCGAAAATTTGAAAACAAATCATTATTTACTGTTTTAATAATTAGCACAATAAAATATAACATCTATCGTTCAGTCCACTATATAGCAATATAGTAAACGTATAAATTGTAGACGTAAATTAAATTGTTTGTAATTTTAGGTATTATTATTTACTATCGATTAACATATTTTGTTCGTCATAATATTTTGATTTAACTCACTGAATTCATACAATTAATTGTACATTATTAAATTGAACCAAATAACAACATTGAACAAAAATTATTGTTTTAGGTTTAACAAAATGTTTTTTAACGGTTGCACATTGTTGACTGACAACATTATTATAAATTAAACTGAATGTATCGGATTCCCATAGCAGTTATTTTAATACGGCTTGGGTTAAACTGTGTCGGTATAGAACATTCGATTATCGAAACGTATACTGACAAGGCCGTAAACCTTAAAACTTGTACCTTTAACCTTTATATTTTACTTTTTTTCCATATTATTATTACCCTTAAGAAAAATTATAATAATAAATCTTTTTTTTAGATCTTTTATCATATAGTTTTTTGGCCATTCTTTTTACGGATATAGTATGCAAAAATATTCCTTTTTTACTAGGTTGTTTTTTTTTAAGTACAAAATATATTATAATTTATGTATTTTTCCATTTTGTCTGATATTAAATTGCATTTTATCTTAATTAGTTTTCACATACCTGTCCATACCGTCTACCTAATAAACTGATTTCATATGCATCGTATATAATTGAGTTTTCCAGTACTTCTATTCATGATTATTTGATTTTAGTGGTGACTAGTTGGTAATTATCGGCATAATCAAATACCGTTTATCGACCGATATTGAGCGTATCTGGTATTTTCTAAAACCTATATTTGACCCGATATTTTCTGGGAAAAATATCTATAATGTCTCATAGAATATGACAGAAGTAAACTGGTATAATATCGGTTGACCGCTGGTTATTTTATATTTGGTTAATATCTATACAGAAAAATATACCCAACTAAATATTTTATGCGGAATTGCTTTCTCCACGGTACGCTATTCCAGTGCCAAAAGCGGCATAGCCCATACTTTAGCATGTAGCTATACCTACTACTTACGCACAAGCTATATTGGTTTTTTTTTTTTTTTGTTTCAACTTTTGTGTCGTGATAAAAACGTTAGGCCAAAACTTAATGTTCCGAGGCGTTTTGTAACGACTTCAAAGGAAGACGGATGACCGTAATAACAGTAAGGGCTTATGGTTCGGACTTTGCACAAAGGTCCTTTGTGCAAGTGGCATCCTTTCAACTCGACCATTAAGCTTTTCCGCGGGGCACACATACTAGTAATATATTGCTGGTAATTATAATAATAATAATAATAATAATAACAACAGCAATATTATCATCGTCATGCGTGTAATCTAGCCAAATCTTGTGTGTTCGTTCTCTCGTCCCGGAGAGAGTTTTAAATAATGGCCGTCGTGCACCTCTACAATTAAATTACATCCATATACATATAGGGGTAAGCCGGAGGCGGCGGGGTGTCTGTCGTCCGTCGTAATTCGCGTGTCCTGTGATATACGAGTGTATACCTGTTGGATTTTCGGACGTTTAATCACAAAGGCTTTTGTGCGAGGGTTTTCGAAAAACTTTCGCCTACCTCGCCCCTCAAACTTGTTTCATACTCGTATATATACATAATATTATATATCACATAATGTTTGCTAATTATTAATTTTAACTCGCTCGAGGAATTTAAAATAATAATAATAATAAAATAACAATAATAAAAGTTATGACGACGACCTGCAAAAAACAAAGCGATTTTATAATATCTTATTGTGTTGTCACGCGCGTCTATTATACCCGCTTTTGTATTTATTGTGACACAACAAAACGAGATTATAATATATTCGATTAATTAATCATACAAACCCTACTTGTGCACATTTAACATACATGCATACAGCGGCATGCCCAGAAATTTTTAGTGGGATGGGTCGCAGCAAATAATAATCACGAATAAATCGTATAATCGCCTTCTCTACTCAGCCCGACTAGGTTTAGGATCCAAAAAAAAAACAAATTTTGAATCAATAAATTAAGCTTTCTTTGTAATTTCAGCATCCAGAAAATTGTTCAGCGCCACTGGCCGCTAACAAGTCCCGCTCTTATATAGTCTATCACTTCATTCATTTCCATTGAAATTGTGTACTTCAATTATGTATAAATTCTGAATTTTACGCACTTTTCTGAGAGCGCTCTTGACTTGAGCCAGTCTTGTCAAGGTCTAGTCGCGGCTCTGCATGTTTAAGGTGCAGCCGTTATGATATTATTTTATTAGATCCCCGTCAGTGTCCACAATTATAATATAACAGGAACGTTTGACCCTTATTAGAATCCTTAATTAATGTATAAATGGACCGAAACGGAATCGAGCAAACTTCGCGGTAAACGCGTGTAAGCATAATTTGAGATACCTGTATACCATCTGTTTTGCATTGAATTAATATACATGAAAAATCCAGTTGTATGCTGGTCATATTATACATGACGGGTTATAATAATAGTCATTGGAATGCTTATTATTGCCAATTTTTAAATCCGAATACTGTAATTTTTTACGGCGAAAACTATTGGTTTTATAATGATATTTTTTTTTTCTGCGAGCAACTTTTCTACTAGAAATCTTGCACCGATGTATCAAGTGTAGCAACTTTTCTGAAAGGCAATTTTATCTACCTGGTTCTTCATAGAGATCATATTTTCTTTTTATTTCTAAGTGGTTTTCACAGTAATTGGAGGAAAATTGGGAAAATTTATGAAAATAATGCTTTTAGATTTTGAGCGGAGCGAGAAATGTATTGGTTTTACAATTATGTTTAATTTTTTTTTTCTTTTTTAGATTAAAAATAAGGTTGTCATTGGCAACTGTTTTATTTATTTTTTTTATTATGAAGTTTTTATTATTTTAATCTTTTTTAAACAATCATTGTTGTCAAAGAAACACACATTATTGTAATCATTTTACCATAATATGGTATTTACCATATATTGTATTGTTGACAAAGCAACACTATCAACTGAACTCCGCTTCAAATCGTTTTTTCGTTAACGATGATTTATTTTTGCATACAGATATACATTAAATTCCCGTTTGTATTCTATCTTCCCAATTTCCCTCCTATAATAATGGCTGCACCCATTTGCTAAGTATGTCCGTCCTTTTGTTATTTTCAATTATGTTTTTTGTTTTAATTCAGTTAATAACATCCGTAAAGACTTGAAATGAATTGACACGGCGTTTTCAAGCTGTGGCTATCTCTTGCATGTATAGACGATGCTACTTCAAACTTCTCAATAATTTTCACCTACTCAATATTTTTAAATTTTATACTCACTCCGTTAGTAACACCGCAGTAATCAGTAACACTACCCAATAGAATTTGTTTCTCGGACAACTCAAAAATGCGTTCTTGTCTTCTTTTTAACGTATTTTCCATTCTTCGATAGTTAATAATTGACAAATAATATTAACTCAAAAAAACATAGAATATTGTATACGTAAACATCAAATATTAAAATATTTTATCATTTGTATCACCTGATCGTAAGCCACAGCTGTCCTGATAATGACATTAATCACGATTAGTAAGGTTAATCGTGGTTACCGTAATTGTATTTAACGAAATCGTAATTAGTACAGTGAAATCCTAATATTAATAAATCATGATTAGCTTTTAACCCTGATAAATTTATCTCAATTAGTATGTTTTTGGTGAAATCTACCCTAAGACATGTTACAATGTCCGGTTAACGTTAACTTGCAGTTAACTCCAACCGATCGTGACACTTATATTAGTAATTAGTAATTTGAGGGGAACAAATTTCTCTGTTTATACTTACTGAGCGGGTTAAGACGCCTGAAGGCCAACCACAATTTCTGTCAATGTCTTTAGGGAAAAACAATTTTTTCCCAAAAAGTCATTTTATCAGATTCAACCGAAAAAAAAGTTTTTTGAGAAAAATTTCAGAAATTTTGATCTCTACTGATTTATAAATATATAGTATATATAATCTATATTATACAAATCGCATAATACCATGATCGAAGTAACATAATAGTGATAACAGTTTGGGCAAAAAGACAAACTAGGGGGACAAGATGCTCTTGGCTCTGCCGGTGACGCACGCAGCGTTCGAAAACAACGTTTAGGAGATTGCGGAAAAAAAATGCCGTTTTCGAAACGGCTGGTTAATTCATACACCAAATAGTTTCCATTATCTCAGTTTGCGGTTACGTGTGTGTATAATAATATGTACGTGTAGTACGATACGCGTTTAATGGATAGCAGAAAGCTTTTATATATAATATGCCGGTGCTATTTATGTTCGGTTATGTGCACCGATTGATTTATACGCGCCTGAGAAATCGCGCGCACACTCTCCGTTCGCCGGGTATAAAAACTTCCAACGGTATTTTTTTCCTTGCGCGCGCGCCATTCCCATCATTATTGTTATTATTTATTCACCGCAGTTTTTCGAAATGAGAAACAAACACATATACACGCACACACACACAATATACAAGCCACCCGAGCCATTAATATGAAATACTGTTTAATCGAAGATATTGTTCTTAAAAAACTTTACCGAGGGCGTTTTTTCCGCATTTTTATTATTATTATTATTATTATTATTCGTTATTTATTTATTATTTTCCATTCCCCCGGTCTCCGGGCTCTTTAATCGTCTACACTTTGAGCCGTCGAACCCTCCCCGAGACGAAGAGAATAAGGCAAAAAAAAAATAATAATAATAATAAAAGGAAATAAATAATAAGAACAACCGACCGAATAATATCGTCTGCAAACGACCGAAGGCCATATTTCGTAAAATTAGGTTTTTTTATTATTATTTATTTATTTATATTTGTTGTTATTTATTTTTTTTTCTTGCTTTTGTAAAATGACTTGTTTTTCCTCCGGGAATTTCTCGCTGTGTGTAGAAGATTCGATTGAGATCCGCGGATTGGATGAGGTAAAGTTCGTATATCGAGCAAACTGCGAAATACACGCATTTTATAAATGTATACTCATATCAACATAACATAAGAAACTCGTTAAATTAAAAATGATAATACTATTTATTTAAACTAAAACATCATATATTCATGGAATTCGTAATATAGGTTACTATTTGAAAATCAAAAGTGGGTAGTGGTTTCGTCCTGAAAATAAGGGTGACGAGAAAAAATTTAACATTTTAGAGCTGCTTGTTTCTTAGGTTTTCTATAAAATAAATTCCAAAGAATGTTAACACATTCCTTCCGAGATACTGAATATCTTATGTTGTTATGTTGACCACTCTATACATTATAATTAATACCTTTTTAAACATAATAATAATTATTATCATGTGTTATTTGAGTGTATATATATTATGCATCAAAAAAATTCCCCGATTTGTGTACAAATAAAAATATACTTGTATAGAAAATTAACATAAAATACAAATGTTATCAATTTTTTCTCTAGTCTAGAGATGAAATTAATAATATATAATAAATAAACCGTTGTAAATATTATTACACTTCAACACAAAGCCGTCGTATACAATAACCTAATTATCGAACCAATAAAATAACTTATTCTTCTTCTATATTGCTTTTATAGCCCATTTAGCCTTTGCTAATTTCACTTTTTCACACTTTTTCCCTTTATATTTACTCATTGTTGCCTATCCTCGTTCCTTGCGCACATTTGTCTGTGTATCCATCCGCATTTGCCTGTGTTGACTTCTGGATCTTTTTCTCCCAATTTTTTACGTCATTGCCAGTTTACATATACTAAATAAATAACACGCCGATTTAAATCAACATATTCAGTAACCTAGCCGTTCTAGATAGGTATACTTAAAAATCAATTAAAACTATACAAATTATTTTATCGTGTATTAAAATTTTACACGCAGTTTTTGTAGTGTTATATTTTTTAGTTAGTTATTTTTTTCATCGAACACACCATTTTTTAAAACTTTCTGTACAAACTGTCGAATTTATTTGATGATGACGACGCTGAGCGGCGTTATAACAGTGAACTTCAAACCCCCCTCCCCACCCCTCCACGGTAATATAATACTGATTTCTACTGAAATTAAATGTGTGCATTTTGGTGTTAAAAATGAAAAAGGCGAGAATTTTACGGTGTTATGATGGTTTATTCTTTCTCCGCCGTCGACGTGTTCGTACTCAACCAATTGCGTCTTTTTACTGCATGTACAGAAAGCAATAACCTTTGATGGGAAAAAGGCCGCCGCCGCGTATTGGATGTTTTAATAAAAGTTTAAATTGAAAACGATTCGTATATAGCCGAGGTCATGAGGGAGATGAAAGTTTTATAATATTATTATAATAAATATCCGCGGAACGTAATCGTTATGCGAAGCGAAAAAGGGCTCGGCTCTCCCCGATTGATTATACATGTATGTATAGTATATATACATGTCTTTTTCTTCCAGCGTTTTTAAACGAGTTTCGAGCGTATTCTCTCAAGTTTACTGACATCAAAGTCACCTTAAAAATATAACATATATATGTATATAGGAAAAGTCAAATAAATTAGAAAATAATATCAACTTAGCCGTGGCGTGGCGGACGCAATAATGCAATTTTCTTAAATTCGATTTTCATTAAATGACGTCAGGTAGGTAGGTACTTATAGGTATAATAACATTATACTTTATACTTGTAATACTTTATATAGTAATTTTAAAGAATATATTATTATAATACTACGCGTGAATTTAAAAATCATAAAACTATAAGCGTAGGCTCTGCATCAACCGATGGTGCATGTTATCTCATATTGTAGTTTTATTTTTTTATTATTTTTTTCGTGACAAAATTCTTGTGCTAATTGTTCTTAAAATAACTATAATATTACTATTCATAACTCCGTAATTACTGTTTGATTGACATTTTAATGCATATTTTCAGAGTTAGGCAAGTTTTGGTTTTTCGAAATCGAGTAGAGTCCAAAATTTTAGTATTTGAATTAACGAGTCCAAAAAAATTGAACTACTCGGTCAACTCTAAATATTAAACATAAATTTTGTTATTCTTATACTTCAGTATTACAGTAGCAATCTATTTTTTTAATTTCAACACGGTAATCGTATGAAAACTATCTGGATTAAAAGATCTTTATCTATAGATACCAATTAGCCTTGGTATTAGATAATAGATATTTTTGCTGTGGGATTTAAGTTAAAATTTTCAATTATTTTTTTTTTCTTACAATAATTTTACCTTGTGTTGGATGGCCAATAGGGGGAAATTGACCTCGGAAAATAATATCACACCCTCCTTCCCTCTCTCATAAAAAAAACTGAAATAACACCCCTGCGTTTTTCATGGACTCGGTTTACCTATACATTCATAATTTGCGACTTGGCTTACGTGTGTCTCTCTCCCTCCATAAGTTAAACTCGAATTAGATTAAACTATCCTAGCCCCATATCTATTATATAATGTGTATATTTTTCTACTAGTAACTCTAATAATATAATTGACACTTGTTCCCCAGTTCCCCGATATAGTGTCGATCGTATATCGTATATGTGTGTGTATAATATACGTGCGGAAAATCAACTCGAGATTTTATTCAGCAAAATTACTTTCAAGTGAATAATTACTCATTTTCTGGCCATACGCCGTCGCACTTCCTGTCGACTCGTGTGGAACCCCTCGCGTTTATATACAACTCGATTATTTCGTATACCTATATAATACAATATATACAATATACATTCATATGTATAACAATATTATACTTGTGTTCATATCGTTTTTATTATACGCACAAAAAGTCTTTTAGAATTATTACGATTCCAATTAATTTTAATACACGAGCGTTCATTAAAACCGCCTGTTCGTTCTCGATCGCGTTGCACTTCCGTTTGTTCGGAATCGCTGAATTACGTTTCGAGTACGTGTTCCCTTAACCTTCCTGTTTGATTTTTAGAATCATTTTATTCGACTTTGATGTCTTTTTTTTTATGTATATACTTCATTTATTTACGCACCACAAAAAGTCAACACGATTTTTTTTCGAATTGTTTTCGATTTATTTACGACGTGGGTACTCCTCCTCCGTTTCCTATCCGGTCTTTGGAAATTTAATAATAATGTAGTAAAAAAAAAAATGCCACTTTTTCCCTTTCGTTTCAACGCAGTTTATATTATGTACGCGATTTTTCACTCTTTACCAACAGTGTATACATAAATCGTATATATAGCTATACTATGCTGTATAGTGTATACTGTGTATAGCTATAATATATAAGTATAGTAATTGGCGGCCCGAGTCCTCTAATGACGTTATCAATAATAAAATATGCAAAAGAAAATAGTGAAAAATCAAAGCCCGATAACGGTTCGGCTAACTCGTAAACTCTTACAAAAAAAAAAAACTCACATCTTTGGACCGTAAAATCAGCGATTTTTATGGGCTCTCGCCGTTTTTTACAAAGCAAGTTTTCAAAGTTTTAACGAGACGCTGCCATTTTTTTTCTTTTTATGAACGATGAAAATATAAACATATTGTCACGTGTAAAAGCTAATCTTGGTAGGTATATTTAAATAGTTTTTTTTTTTACAACTATTAAAAGTTTTAAATTACGTATTTGTTTTTATGTAATCAAAAAAAACTTCATAATTTTATTGTGAAAAAAGGAACAAAAATATATTTCTTCAAATTAACAATTTCGATAAATGCATTTAACGTATATACTATATATACGTGTAGTAGATATGTGCTGAAAAAAAAAATGTTTTAAACGTGACTACTAGTTAAACTATTATTCGATGTTTTCCAGACAGTTTTACTGTCGCGACTGCTATAAAACCATGTGTGACGGTTTTTTTTTTTTTTTTTTTTTTTTTTTTTTTTTTTAAGTATATTTATGAAAATTAAATAGAAATTCCAATTCCAAAACAATCGTCGGGACCAGGAGGGGAACGGTGTTGCGTATTATTATAACGGATCGGTAGCGATAGGAGGAAGAGCAGAGAGAGGTGAAAAACGGGAAGCGGTTGAGGCAGATTCGGTCAATTTGTTACCCTTTTAATTAACGGTCGGGAAAACTCTGGGAAAACGCGAATATGGAGAGACCCCCTTTTTGATAATGTATTGCTCTCCGTCTCTCTTCTCTCTCTCTCTCTCTCCGCGCATTATAAAATGACACTGGTTAATGAAATTCTTGTTCTTCATTAATACAACATTATGTGCGTACATACACTATGTATAATATATATATATATATATATATACATTGGGATAGAAATGGCCCCCGGGTTCGTGTGTGTGTTTGCGCGCACTATGAATTCGCGTATATATACGATAGTATGTGCGGTGCTTCAACGACCTTCTTCGACAGTGCGCACAAAAGGGACGACCCTGAAAATTTATGTCTTCCGAGAGACTGGAAACTATGCGCTATTATGTATCCTCTTTGGTTATACGCACGGCGCGCGCAAACACATTCCGAACGTAACGCGACATTTTTGCAATACCTCGCAGCGATGATCCGCCGTCGTCGTGTGCAGTAGCCGAAGAAGAGAAAATAAAACACTCGATTTACGCGCACTGATACAGACTTAGTATACGTGTAGTAAGTACCTATCTCGCGCTTAATGAATACAACAACGTTCTCGACGTATCATATTGTTATCGTTTGCAGGTATATAAGATGCATGTATAATATCTCGTCTTAAATAAATCGACGTATATTATACGCATCAACAGATGCAGGGTGTACTATACAGTCATTATTAGGGTCTGAGACTTCTTGCATTATCGTGTTTTTTTTTTTTGTAATAGCAGCCGTAGATTATTCTAGGTAAGCTATAAATTGGTTATATGAAATTCCGAAATTAAATACAAATTTTGAATATGCATATTTCCGCATATTTTAAGGAAAAGTGCATATTTGAACAATGTTTACCATATTTGTGCATATTTCGCATTTTAGATTCTGAATAGAGCGAAGAAGCTTATGATTTTACGAAGATGTTTGTTTTATTTTATTATTATTTTTTTTTTTTTTTTATCTTTGCGCAACCTTCTACCAAAAATCTTGCTCCAATTTATAATAATATCGATTTTTCTAAAAGAAATCCTACTGGGGAGGTACTTTAGGGAGGTTATTTTTCGTTTTTCTCAAGAGTTTTCCAAGCAAATGTAAAAAACACGGGAAAAACGTAGGAAAATCGGTACAACATTAAATTACAAAAATTATTAAAGATAGTATAAAAAGCTTATTTAATTATTTTACTATACTCTGACATATATATTACTGGCGAAACATCACTATAAACTGAACTCCGCTCAGAATCGATTTTATTAAGCAATGGTTTATCGTTGCTTACAGATATAAATTAATTTCCTCTCTATATCCTACCTTCCCAATTTCTCACAAAAAACAGTAGCTGCGTCCATCGTGAGCCAAAATATAATAATAATAATAATGCGTTCAAATTAATTTTTAATTTAATTTCACTTTTCCCTAACGTTTTAATATGTTATGTATTGTGTGTAAATATATGTCTTATTCATAAATATTTTCGAATCAATAATTATAGTTCGTTATCGTTAGTTGTTTAAACGTTTAAAGTTTTAGACACAAGAAAATAATTATTAATTATATTATAAACCTCGCGAAGTGTTAAGGATTAAACTCTGCGAAACTTTAAACACTTAAATAAATTAATAATAAACTATTATTATGAATTGGGTATTCGTTAATATCCACTCATCAGAATATTCTACCGAAAATCATGTTGATTTAGAATAGAAAACTAAACAAATAATGATATTGTATACAGACTTCGAGAAAAAAAAATGATATAAAACTTAATAATATTGTTATATTATATATCGATAAACTGTTGATATTTCATTAACTGGAGTAACTATACGACTATATTGTTCTGTGTATTACTACGAGAGACTAAAACTGATTTATCCAATGAGTGGCGTCGATTGATAAGGATTATCTAATTAAGCGAATGTAATAGAAAAGAATAATGAACGCCGCCCTATTCCGTCATCGTCGTCGTCGTCGTAAGTCAGTTAACAATAACATTGTTGCTGTTGACGTCGATTTCGAATACACACGGCGATTGCTAATAGGCAATTCAGCTACACTCTGGTCTATGAGTCGGTTCGTCTGCGGAAGAAAAATTATACGTTCGCGGACATTCCGTATAGGTTAGGTTAAACACGTGCCATTGTCACGTCCTATATATATTATAATATTTTTATACGCGCAGCATTCAAAAGACAACTGTGAAAACTAAATCGTTATATCGGCCGGTCGTGGTAATGCAACACCGCTGGGGTATACGTTGGTGGTTTTTTTTGTCCCTCTGCAGATTTCCATTTTTCTTTTCCCGTCTGCCCAAGGTATAAATGCCGAGCTTTTTAATCCCTTCCCTTTTCAAAAAAGGATTATACGACACGTATAGTATAGAACAAAAACCTGGAGGGAAAAAAACTGCAGCATAATATACAAGCGCGCGCTCAAATAATAATACATGTATATAATATTATATATAAATATATATATGTGTATTTAAAAACGACGCCGCATGTCCCTTACTTACTTACTAATCCGCCCGGGTCACCGCGGTATTCTTTACCCTTCGGGCCGGGCTTAAGTGCGCACATAATATATTAATTTATGGTGTGTTTTGTTAATTTTTTTTTTAACCGACTGTTTTTTTTTCTGTCTCTAGAAATTCTACCCGAGTTCGCCGCCGGTGTTCGAAGTGGACGAAATATTGATCAACGAACCTGGCACCCTGTGCGCGCTCGTCGGCTCCAAAGGTGTTTCGGTGATGAGGTTCCCGAATCGGTTATCCAAATCTGTGTACGACAGCGTTAACAGCAAAAGCGAAACCGTAACATGCAGGTAAACAAATATATACGCAAATTATTATGCAAATGATGAGAACCGGCTGTAAATATATTATGCGCTGTGCGAACCAAAAAGAAAACAGACAAAAAAAAAATATATATATATATATTAATAATAATTATTATTATTATAAAGTGAAGGAGAAAAATATATATATAGGTATATATATATACGTCTAACGTGGAACCGAATAGGGAATCAGCATAAATTAAGTTCAAAGCGATAACATAGCTCTGTGTGACAGAAACATCGGGGTTTTACTTGCTGCGAGGAGGACGAGAGAGGTCTTTGATAGGAGGAGATTTTATTAACGGTCAAAAAGTCCGAGAGCGTTCTTTTGACGTTATATGGAAAATAGGGAAAGCCCACGCGTATCTGGCGGCCCGGAAAATTAACCCTTTGCCATCATATCCACGTCATGAGTATATAATATATGACAAATCTGATAAAAATTCCCAAATTATAATATTGCGTAGTACCAACAAAACAATTACGGTCTCGATTGTCTTATTTCCCGAGTCGTGTAATGTGTATGCACCAACGACTTTTACAAAATGTTTAATTTTTGTATGCGTGCTAATAAAGCATTTTTTCGTCGGTGCACCACGGTGTAGTGTTCCACGCTCAGTATTTAAATGTATAAGCGATTTCAACAAAAAATTAATAAAAATGAAAATTGATCAACTCCATTAAAATTCGAAAATAGTCGCAGAATAAAGTTTCCATCGTAGTGAATTTAGTTATGAACACCCATTCATACAATTATTTACTATCGAAGGTACAAATACCGTATTATATTTTTTTCGTTATTTTTAATAGATAACAGTAACTTTTTTATATTAATTAATATCTCGAAAAACTCTATCAAATATTGTCTCGTATAAATTTTTGTTTGTTCTACGTGATGAATACATTTTTACCGCAGAAAATCGTCGGTGTATCGCTTTTTTGAAAATTCTCACGCGATCTGTGTAATATTATAACATGTATGCATACACATATATTAAGTATGATTATTTATAAGTAAATAATAATGTCGCGTCGACTGGTCCATGAAAGTAACTCACGGAACTCTACAGACAAAAATATTAATAATATGTATCTTGTACTTATATATAATATATAAGATACTAACAAATGTTATTATGATAACAGCTGCAAACTAGCTATTGTTTCGTTAATGCATTATTCTATTTATCTCGTTTGATGTAATAACTGTGTAATATTATCTAAAATTAAATTACGTATTCAACTAAGCAAAATAATTACATATAATTATATGTAATGATAAATAAAATACTGGATCTACTCGAATGAAAACATAGCTACCCTCTTCCCGCTAACATGTACATAAACAAATATTATGTTATTATTTACTTAAATCCTTCCCCTCGTTTTTTTATGAAAAATAATAATTTTCCATCAACATGGCTTTGTTTACCGTATTTATTAATTTAAGTAACGATTATTGTATTTTATAATTTAATATTTTCTCTTTCTTGCCCCTTTTTCTTGTTAATTCTACATTAACAAATCCCATAACTTATAGATATTCTTAAACGCAATAGCTATGAAACATAGTCTTTTCGTTTAATTATGTATCTTGTAATGTATATCCTGTATCTACAATTTATAACACGTCATAAAAAATACATACCATATAGGTATTGTGACCTGGCGAAAACACTTGGTGGGTGGATCGTAGATCAATACCTTTAGACTATAAAGAACAGTATAAAACAGTAATTTTTTTTAACTATTTCAAGTAAACAACTAATGACAATTTATTGCTGATTTGTTCGTAAGATAGAGGGGGGTGATGGTGGTAAAGACATTTTTCTTACCAAAAAAAAAAAGTCTACACGCCACTGCTTATGGCCTATTTATGGCTTATTTATTTTAGTAGGAAGAGGGGTTGCACCACATAATTTACATGGCCAAGTCCGCTTAAATTGTAGAAATTCCACCAATATTTATAGAAGTTTATATAATATGTTTCGATTTGGAGGGGACCTTTAATTCAAAGAAATGTGTTTTTAAATAGTATACCTACACACTAACACACAGTTTCTCATGTCTTATGAAGATTTATAATTTCAAAATAGTCGATTTAGTATGATAATAATACAAATGCTTGTATATTTCTTCCCCCCTCGCCCTCTTAAAATAGTAAATTTTCGCGGAACGCCACACGGTATTATATTATAATAATATGAGTATTTATCTAATCGTTTTACCTATAACTGCAGCATTCAAGTAGTTATTTCAATGATTTACTTATCGAAAATGTATTGTTATGAATTAATTAAAGTTTAATACTGTACAAAGTTGCGGTGTACGTAAGTTAATTAATTATTATTTAATTGAAAACAAGTTTATTTTCAATTTTCTATTTATATACAAAGGAAACGCAATAGGTACCGCGGTTGTAGTTTATTTAAAATACGTTTATTTCAACTCAGGGAAACGTTTTTTATTGCAGTCAATTTTTTTTTTCACTCGGTAAAATAAAAATACAATTTACCTTATTAATTCGCGCTGGGATCCAGCCTTATTATGATATTTATTATCGTATTGTTTGTCACGTCATTTCGCGGGTCGATGAGGTTAGTCGGTCTATACAATATACGAACATATAGAACAATGTTTTATAGTTATATATATATGTTGCGTCCCTTTATACCCACCTTCTTTTCCACGTGTCACGTCCCGCCATACAAATTTACAAGCCCTCAAGCATTATATTAATCGGTTAATATTATTAGATTAGGTATATACGTACAATTGTTTGTAACTATATGGGCTGTCAAAAGTGATTACAACAATATTCTTTATAGTTAACATCATTGCGTGAGATATTCAAACGAAATTAAATTGAAAAACATTCTGTACTGTTATACAGTGGGTTTCACGAAATATTTTAACCGGATGGACTTGGATTTAAATAGAGTTATTTTAGGAAGAAATAGGAGGTATACATTGTGAGCGCGTTTTAAAAAAACAACTCCTTGCGGTGTGTTCGTGCGTAATAAAACATAAATGTTCTTATTAGGTGACATCTATTTTCAACACGGTGTATTAAAATAGTCCTATTTTTGTTTATATTTTTTCAAGCAACTTTCTCGACAATCAACTGATTGACGAAATCAAGCCGTATAAAGACTAAAAATATTATTTATCTGAATTTGTCTATAAAACAATGTAAAACTCATATGTTATTATGTAACTGTATGATTATCTCTAGTTCAAAATAATTTTTTCTCTTATTAAAATGTCATCAAATATTTTTCCATATGCAAAATTCTAATTTTAAAAGATCGTGTAGTACGCGGAGGGAGTGTTCAAAAACTATAATGTGTAAAAAACGAGACTACCACGTTACGTGATAGCGAATCATAATCATAATACAAGTAGGGATGGCGATTTGTTTGTGAACATCGATGTATCGTTATGTCATATGTCTCTTTCAAACCATCTATGTTGAGAATATCGAAAGTTTAAATAAAAATCAATGTCAAAAACATCGATGTATTTAGAAAAAAAACATCGTCAATTTGAAATGTAGAGGAAATATTGCCCTTTCCCATGCGTACATTAAAGCGACTTTCAGTGTCCAACAGTATTACCCAACACTCAAAACCCAAATATAAACTCTAGCCATTCAGCCTCCAGGAACCACAATTCGTCCAATTGTTCTCGTAAGTAAGAATACTCGTGAACATCGAAATTAAAATATCGGCATTTGTTAAAAATTTCATAAAACGTACTACGATTATCAAAATTATCAAAATCAATACATTTAATTGCGTCCATAAAGTATGAAATGAATGTCGATATCAAGTTGTACAAATTATCTTAAAAAAATGATAATAAATAATTGTTATCTCTGAAAAAGATTATTTTAGATTTATTTAAAATTATATGTAATGTTTACAACTACGATCACACTTATGTTTGTTATAGTGCATCTATAACCATTTAATACCATTATCAATCCCAGTGTATATGTAATAAAATTTGTCATACTTTTTCAGGGGATCTTAAAATATGTACAAATAATCATTTATGTCATATACTGGAGTCGTTACCCTAATACATTTTTAACGAGAGAAAACAAATTGAATAGCAACGTTGCATTTAAAATCATGTGGAATCGTGTAAATGTGAACAAAAAATTTGCGCAATCGTTTTATGTATTACGGGTGGCTATTAAAATCTACACGATTGCGAAAATTTTGTGCGTTCGTGTTGTAGCCTAAACAATTATATACTGAAGCAATATTTATTTTTTTTTTTTTTAATAATAATAAAACGATATGAATATATACAACGCCAAACTTTCAATGTAAACTTTCGGTGTAAAGTATAATAATTTCAAATTATTTGTTGACACGTTGTTACACAAATGTGCCTATACAACGTATATAATTTTATATTAACGGAAGTTTTGAAACTATATATTATTAGTCTGATTCCTTGTCAACCAAATCAACTGAAACTGCATATACTATAATTAGACCGACACAACTGGGGACTTCATAAGGTGTTCTGAACCTGTGTTTAGAAACCTGAAACCAACAAAATATCGAGTTCACTTGGAGTCCTCCGAGAAAATCGCCAGATCTTGATTGTAAAAATATCGCCCCCCTCCCTCCTGTGTATACACACGTTTAGGTATAATACTCATTGGGACGTTTAGGGACTTGGGATATGTATGTACAGCGACGGGTAGACGGGAGGTCGGGGGATGTTTTATAATATAATAGTTATATAATAAAGAGGGTTTCGGGCGAAACCGCGAGCTCCGGATTGGCTGCCGGTGAAATATTAAAATTAGTATTCCAAATCCATACGTTTTCGTTCTGTTCATATATAATATACACGGCGGCTGTAATATTATACCCGCGGTATTCTGCACCGCGCCGCCGGCCACCGCAATCTGACCGCAGGAATCGCGGATGTGCCGCCTTTCGGTGGCTAGTTTCGCGGTCGCATAATAAATTAAGAATTCATATACATTGTTGTTGTGTGTCGGGGACGGCGCCGGTTGCCCAGGGTCCAAAGGGTATAAATGAAAGCACGTGAGATTAATGTTAAAAATCCTGTGTAGTTTGTTTAGGACTTTCGGATATTGTTATTAGCCTGCACCGCCGTACACGTATACCGACCGCCGCCGCCGCCCATGGGGAAATAATAATTTCGCCCCTGCAATCAATATTTAATAGACTTTCGGATAAATTATAATAATATACTCGAAAAACACCGTATAATATGAATTCGTCGCGTATTATTGTCTTTCCGCGCGGTAATAACGAAATAATAACGGCGAAACGTTTTCGCGTACAATAAGTATAATATACCTACCATATATAGCTTTAGGAAAACCACCGAAAATGAAATAACTATACGCGTGGCTTACGTTATTATATATTTAATCGAAAAAAAAAAATGGTATAAGAAAAAACACCCGCGAGAGCTCCCGTCACTATAGAGTCCAATTTTCTCTCAAATTGTATTTTGTATTTTAAAAATATTCTTCGTAAAACGGTAATTGCTGCTGACCGATCACTATAGTTTGATAATACACGATTATTAATTATTTTAACGGCTTATATTTAAAAAAAAATATAATATATTAGTATCTCTTATTTACCATAAAAATGGCTGCGGGGAAATACGGCGATAATAGTTAATCGTCGTTGTTTTATTTTCTAAAATTTAATTTATGTTTTATTTAAACTTATCCGAAAGAAGTTCGAGATTAATAACAGGAGATAATGTTCATTATTATTTCTCATCTTTTTTTCTGAATATACAATAATCGAATTGTTTTTTTATATTTTTTTTACATATACACATCAATTCTGTATCCAGTAAATTACGTAATTGAATGTTATGAAATCCACAAGTTTCGCTTAAAGGCAGTAGGTATTGATTCATGTTTGATTACATTATATAAATATTCTGATTTAGATTAAGTTAATGTTACTGGTTAACTGTGTAATGTAATATTATGTCTCTTATTTCAAATAAATAAATAAATAACATATTTATTTGCATTACCCCATCATACTTTGTCTCCAGTTTTTTTTTTTAGTTCTAAAACTTAAAAATTGCCGACGATTTTGCGAATATTGACTATAATATTATCGTTTTACCCCGCAGCCCTTCGGATAATGTTAACATTACGCTTTTCAACCACATACAATATTAATAACGTAGGCAGTTAAATATAAGTTTGTATCGTATTATATTATATTTTTTTTGTATATATTTGTACAAAACATTAACCGGAGACACATTTTTAGACGTAACTTGGGTACGCGCGTAGGTATAGTTACGTATACAGCCATTGCCGTTTACGTAGTGTATAATTAAAAATAATAACAAACATTTCCATGGCAATTCGTATAGACCGATAATACGCCACTTTACTGCCTGATACACGAACGATGATTAATTGAGAAATCTATTTCCGACTACCTGCAAGGGTAAAAAAATGAACACGAGAGCGGATTATTTCGTCTATAAATTATTACAGTCATAATCTATACGAATCAAAGTCGTAAAGGAGTAAATGAGCGTATTCCATGTTCGCATGCGAACCGATAATACAATTATTGTTATTATTATTAACGAAACGATTAACCGCGGTAATACCAGTACACCGGGACGGTATCGTATTTATACCGTTTAATAGCTTTCGAAACTTCCGAATAATGTTTATCGAACGATGTGTACGGTATAATATCATTTAATAATAATAATTGTCTGGGGCATTAAACCCGATGATGTATATTAAACGACAAATAATTATATGCGACCTACGCGCGACGTTAATAGTATGTTTATTGATTCGTACCTATGATATCATGTGTATACAGGGTAATCAGCGGCGTTCCCGTCGGTTTTGTTGTGTGTACGTACTATTATAACGTCCTACGTGCCTCGCATGAATTATTGTACATTTATCTCACGGTACATACGGTTCGTAACGAAATAATTATTACTTATACAGACGTTTAATTAAAATGTCCAAATATGCGACACTCGAAATTAAATAAAAAAAAAAAAAAATTATCGTAAATCGAAAGAAAATTGTGAATTTGTGTTACTGTATATTATTGGTTATTTCCCAGAATTTGCTGTGCGATGTTTTTATTCTTAAAAACTCTTCGTTTCGTGTACTTTTAAATGCGAGAACTAGACATTTTATTTTACATTTTTTAAAGCATTTTTTTTTTTTTTTATGATATTTGTATACGCTATAACATGAATTTTATATTCAATAAACTATCTATAATAACTATCTATCTATAACTAACTATAATTACACATTCGTATTCATATTATCGGACAATAAAGTAAGTGTCAAAACCAATAAACAATTGGCGGTGTCTACAACAAAATTAAAGTAATGATATATTTAAAATCACTACATTTCCTGTTTAGTAATCTTTCAGAGACAATTCTAATCGAATTAAAAAAACTTCAAGTCTGAATGTCCAGGTCTGTCTCTAAAACATTTTTAAAATTTATGTTCAATCATTAATACTAAAATGTTTAAAAAAAAAAAAAAAAAACAATTTTAGATTTTTTACAGGCACAAAAGCATTTTTTTTTTTTTTTTTTAATGGGATATTTTTTAGAGTTTAGGGTATTACATACTCGACTTTAGTTTTGGCAATTATAAACCTGGCGTAACTGCGGGGGTGTCAACATATTGTTTTGTACTATAGGTAATATATTTTCGAACAGGAATTTAAAAATGTGAGGATGCCGTTTGAAAATTGGTATAGTCGATGTATTATAAAGAGTATTAATATAAAATAACGATGTCTGAGAAAAAAAAAATCAAATTTACTCGGAATTCTTCGCGTATATACATAATATTATTATTATTATTATTATTATTATAGCCATAATATAATCGCTGCGGATTTATGATAAAATAATCACTCTGTATATATGTATTATGTACGGTGAGGGGATCGGGCCGTATACATAATGTAAATAACTAATAAGTAATTATTCACGGTGACGTATATTATTATTATCGTGCGATATTCGTGATGACTACGCGGAGCATAATACACATATACGAGCCGTCTTTTCCGTCCGTCCGACCGTCTCTCTCACTCTCTCTCTCGCTCTTAGTACTCTCACTTTCGCCAACCCTCCCCCGGCGCGTTAATCCGCCATGTCGTAGGTTTTCAAAGGTCTATAAAAACAACCTCTCGTCCACCTCGTCGCCGGCGTATAATATTATAACACACCGCAACATCACGTGGCCGAGACCTATATATAATATACACGCGCGCGTAAGCCGCCCGTGACGGGACGCTCGCTGCTGCCGCTCCTCCGCGGAGGGTCGTCCGGAGAAGTTTTAATGAATTCCATAAATAATAGACGAAACTTCTTTTTTCGATAAGAAGAAACGGCGCGCGATGACGGGTTTTTATGTGTGGGCGCCGCCGCGGTTATGATATTATTTTATTATTATAAGCCGGTCGACGACGTCGCGCGCGGATTTCGCGGCGCATTAAATCCGCCGCCGCCGCCGCCTCCACCCCTACGAGGGGCGGGCACACGTGATCCGCAGCGATTCTTAATGATACCTTCTGCCCCGATGTCCGCCGTGTTTCCCGAAACACTATATATACACACACACACACACACACACACACACACAGAAGTATAATAATAATATATACAATATATCCGCGCACGGTAAAGCGTTTAATAAAGAACCGCCCCAGACGCGAGTATCGGATGCGCACTCTGGTTTTTGCGCGCGCCGAGTGTATTTTACGAGCGCCGGGACGGCGATTAACTTTTACGCTAATGGACCGGCTATTAAGGCACCCGCCGCCGTCGCGGCCGCAACCTCCGACACCGATAATAATAATCGATACGGTAAACGCTATTTTTGCCGGTCGTGTGACGGGCGTGTGCGGCCGTACGCGTAATAAAATACACTGCAGGTACCCGCGCCCGCACGTGGCTCTGAAGCGGACAAGTCTAGTAACCAGGGCGTGCCAACGGGGAGGGGGGGGGGCAAGGGGGACAACTCCCCCGCCAGCTTTCCGGTACGTTTAAATAATTGTAAATCCAAATTCGATATCTCAAAATCTCAAAATTCATTATTGATGACCAAGGTGTATTGATATATATTTTATCAATACCCCTTGATTGGTACCCATGTATAGTCTATAGGTAAACTTCGTGATAATAGAATTTCGCTAATTTATTATTACAATATGCAACGATTCATTCCCTATGATTTGAAGTCGGTACCAACCGCTACAGCCGATCATTTATGGATATTTTTCGTGGACAGCCGTCTTGCGGTTATCTAATGTGTGAGAATCGTTTATTCGGATTATGTATAATGTTAATTTTACATATAGGAAAATAGTCGAAAAACTTAATTTAGCAGAAAAAGTTGTTGATGAAAACGTGTATGCATGCTTAAGGAAATCAAAACTCGGAGAGTGTCGAGTATAGTGGCCACGGATAATGTACGTCATTGGTGACCAATCTTTTTTTACAAAGGGTCATATGACCCCTTCATAAAGGGTCTTGGTGGGCCAAGAATTTTTCCGTTTACTTTTAAGTTAATAGAATATTATATTTTACTGTAGGTAAAGTGATATATTGAATTATTTAAATTTATTTTTCGTGCTTCTTTTTTTTTTTATGTGAATGTTAATTTTTGAAATTTGAAGTTATTTTGATTTTTTTTAATTTTTAATTTTGATTTAAATAATACTTTGGTGGGAATATTACTAAATGTTCGCGGGCCGTAGTTGGTCACCACTGATGTACGTATATAGTAACGCGTGAAATTACAAAATAAGTACTTGGACGGTCCGAATTGAACCCAAACTATATTTTAGTGAAAACTTTTTAAAGGCTTTTACCCACGCGTATAATATGGAATGTTAACGCATTGTACGAATGTGAATCGTAAATGGTGAGCATCACAACCGAGTAAAGAAAACTATAATAAAAACATTTGACATGTGCAGGTGCAGGGACAATGATAAATATTAAGACGGTTCAAGAAGAATTAAAGGAAAATGGTAACTTTAGCGAATTGAAAAAAAAATGAAAGGCTATAATAGTGTATGTGTTTGCATAGTAAAATTGGAAGACCGAGGAATATGTACGGCGAAGGACATGAAAACTTATCGAAAGGCGATCAGGATTTGAGTTTTGACAGATGAACATGGAGGGCTGTAGCCAAGCAATTGAAAGATTAAAGACTAGATAAAAAAGTTCAACAAAATTAAAAATCTGCCCGCGGGACATTTTTTGTGGGCGGGTGTATAAGGCATTTTTAATACATTAAAACACATAGTTTATTCTAGAAAATAATTGAATGTTGATGATTGTTATTTTCGGTTATTTTCATCGCGTAAGATATGGTTATAAAATTTAATATAGATTAAATTGACACCTGCGAATAAAAAACTGCTGTGACGACGTGATTGCGTATGGCGAAAACATAATTGTTTAATTGCGAGGTACACGAGGTGTACAATAGATACTTAATGTTTTATATAATAGGAAATTTGATTTATCTGTAACGGTTGCGGGATAAACACGGTGCAGTTTTTAATGTATATACCTACCCGCACAAAGTTTATATTGTATATTATTTCGTTTTACGCATTTTCTAGTCCGTTAAATTCTTTTTTTGAGAGGGGTTGTACACTCGGCTGCTTAACGCGTGTATTATTAAAACTGGGCCAAAAATCTTTTGCTCCGATTACTTTTCATCCAATTTTGGCCGGAAGTATTCCGCACAATCAAAAATACGCACGCTTATCAACAAAGCGGGCACATCCGGCGTGACTTGCCAAGGGTACACCCCTTGTTTTTCTTTTTTTTTTTTTTTTTTAATGCTACCGACGTTTAGAAAATATCGAGGAAAGAGGGATACGAATTGACGTTGGCCCAGTGTCATTCAGCGCTAATTGACGGGACTGGGAGGCGCCCGAAAACAAATTAGAGTTTTTACATAATTTATACAAACGAATAATGGATACTCGAACTGCACTGTTGCGATGGATGCGGGATAAAAACCAAAGTGACGGAAAAACAAAAAAAGGGTGGACAGCTTATGGGTGCATAATTGATTCGGATGCAATTTATAATCGTCTACATCAATCAACAAGTCCTGCGATATAGGTAGTTCGTATAGACAGACAGTGATAATATAAAATGTTTGCTGAATTATATAATAATATTCCGATAATACGCGAAAAATGTATATTTTCCACAGTCAATTAGCGACAAAACCTATGCGCGTATGAAATTGCGTTTTTTTGTATATACAGGGTGCATTTATTCGACAATTTTTATTTCCTATACCTATATGTGATTACATTGGTAATTATAAAATCCTACAAAAACGCCCTGTATATACCTGCTGCGATATTGTTATCGAAAATATACGTTTTGGCGGTAATAGTTTTATTATTACTGTTCGAATAGCCGTAGAAATGATTATATTTATTTTTACGATTATTGTCTGTTAAACGGCGATTTATTACATACACGAACGGAGTTACTTCGAGTCGCGGTATTTTATTTGCAGCGCTCTATAATATAACTGTCATTACCCGCCGTATCTCGGGGAGTGTTAACCCCCCTCCCAACATTTTCCCAGGAATATTGTTTATTGTTTTGAGATAAATGATAATATCATTATGGCTGAAACAATGGAATTCGTTCCAGCTTACCCGACGTCGTCCAAGTATTCGGTAAAGGTTCAACACCGAAAAAACAAAAAAAAAATTCCACACTTGTTCCGTCCTACTGCTGGACAGTGTTTTGTTTTCGAATCTCAATTCATGGTATGTATTAACGAGTATGTACCGGGCTTATAGTCGACATCGTTGTTTTATTATACGAGAAAATTTTAGTCGAACCGGCAAGTAGTTTCGGTATTTTATTACGTATGGGAACTTGCGGATATCGAAAAAATAAGAGAAATAAAAATAACATCCGTACGGACAGCGCGAACGGTGCGATTTCGTTGCCAGACCTACGACTTTCCCCATAACCGCTATATACAGTAAACCGCTTCGTCGGCTTTGGCTTGGATGGCGGCGTATATATACGCGAACTTTACTAATAACGTTAAACTTTATTGACTTAACAAATTGTAACAACCGTATGTGTATGGTTTGTATTCGAAATTCGGCTGATTTATTAATGACTATAAAACGCATGGTTTCCTAATGAATTTCGCGGGAAAACGGAAAGCAAATCTAAATCTCCCTCTCCGCTTCGCCTCCCCCCCCCCATTTTCTCCCGCGTATTTGTTTATAAACGAAAATACCGGCGCGCAATTACATTTCAACCGAGATGAACTCGAAGCGAATATTCCGCGAATTATCTCATAGGTATATAATGTATATATATATACAATATACATATATATTGTACCGCCGCCTCTAATATATTAGAGGGGAAAAAAGCGGTTCTGTCAAAGACTTCGGTTGTCTTCGTAATTTCCAATTTACTCCGTCTCGGTAATCTTCCGAGTGCTCTTTAAACGCCGTCCGTTTTATATTTAAACCTAAGCAGTATACACACACACACACACACACACACACACACACACACACACACACACACACACACACACACACACAATTGTCTATTGCGATGACTGTACAGAATATTTTACTTAATTATTTTACTATAACTGTATCGCATGCGAAATATTCTAAAACAGCCTCCGTCGCAAATTTTATACCGCTATTCGAACATCGACTGGATTCGCATGGCATACTAGTGTGCGTATCATCATATGTGTTTAAAAAAAAATTGATTATTAATATGTTTGGTTTTGTAACAAACAAATAAAAATGCACGTATTTAATGGGATTCTAAGTAACTAATTCTACATTTTATAAGTACTTAACTAACACATCATTTTGAGTAAATCCTATTTAATTTGAGTCAAATCGTAGTTTGTAAAGCATCACTCAAGTTTTAATACAATTTATATTAACGTAGAAAAAAAAAAGAATGTGTGTTTTTAATGAGAGTATTAAATTGTTTAGATCCAAAGGATCCAATTATTAGTGATAATTGAGAAACTAACTGAAATTTTTCCAGCAGATCTTAGTGAATATATTATATTATAATGTTACCCCGATTATAACAGCCAACCAGAATACGACAAAAGACACGTGGATGTTACATAGGGAATACATACTACCTTTAGATAATTCTGCATTTTACAGCTTTGATTTCCTCTACGTTTTTGTATTGTCCCTTTATACAGGGTGATCCGCTTTTTATGGACCCAGTAATTGTCTCGGTAATTTTAAATGGATTTGATATTGATTTTTGTTTTTCCAATCTGTAAGGAATCGTTTTAGCTTTATTTTAAAACTGTTTTTATTTTAGATCTTGAGTAAAGAAACTTATGGTTTTACAAAGATATGTTTTTTTTATCTGTGAACAACTTTTCGACCAGAAATATTACTCCGATTAACAATTATAGCTCTTTTTCTGAAATAAAATCCTACTGGTGTGGTACTTTAAAGAGGTCATTTTTTGATTTTCTCAGGAATTTTCTTGATGTATTGAAAAAAACAAAAAAAAAAACGGGAGAACGGGAGAACGGGGGGGGAAATAATAGGTACAATATTCAATAAATATTACTAAAGTAAATATTTAATGCACATGCAATTATTTTACCATAATATATGACATATATAATTTTGACACAGCAACACTATCATCTGAACTCTACTCAGAATCGTTATATCATCAGCAATGGTTTATCTTTGCTTACAAATAAACATTAAATTCCCTTCTGTATCCTACCTTCCCAACTTTCCACCCACAACAGTGGCTGCACCCTCGTATGGCCGTCTTTTTATCTCTACTCCTTATAAGTACCTTAAATGAATGTAAACTTTTAATTTTTAAATCAACAAAAAATAAGAAGAAACACACATTTTAATAGGGAATATTCTTCTAAATAATCTGATATTGGTTATATATATAAAACAAAATTATCTTTTCGAGTCTGTGTTTAGGTCCCTATTTAAAAATAATTTTAAAATAAAACTTGAATGATTCCATAAATATTTAAATCAAATTCACTTAAAATCATCCGAGAAAATCGCTGGTTTGTGATATTCATCCTGTAGAGTATAATTACTTGCTTTCTTTTTATCGAAGGCCTGTTCTCGGATATTGTACGGCTGTTGTATCTCTGCTCTGTAAATATGCTTGGGGTATTTTTGTTTTTTCGGTGGAAGGAGAAATTCACGTAAACGTTTTTTTTTTTTGTTCCGCGTCATAAAGCTTATTGAATTAATTTGAAAAAAAAAACCATTTGCAGATTAATATTATGCGCTTTTGTCGCGAATTCGAATAATTTATAATACTTATACATATACGATTTCAAACCAAACACCGCTTTTTGTTATCCCGAGAATTCCCTAAAATAATAATATATTTATAATACATTTTAAATTGTGATGTTTTGACAACGTTCGGGTGTGCTTTCAAATGCACAAAGCCGGAAAACATTTTTGAAATATTTAAACGAATTTCTCGTATAGCGTTAATAAAAATATTATATGTATTTTCAAAAAATAAGATGATCGAAAAAAATACATTTATATTATGTGATGTATAGGTATACAAAATGTATTCGAACACTTAAATAAAATTTGAATACGCTATATTCAAAAACATGACGTTGAAAGTGAATATAAGGTTCGTCTTTCAATAACGAATTTATGATTTCAGATTGTATCGTAAGTTTTAACAATAGTACATTTTCACGAAAACAAAGTGAATATTGGCGTATATCTCTTACGTTTTGATTACTGTGTTTTACGCTTACAAGTTTTTAAATTTTTTTTTGATTTTCAACCCAATATTAACATCGACATTTGCATTTTATTATGTCCACAGCACGTCGCACTTGCAAGACAAATTCTTCATATCCAAACATCTGACAGACGTAAAACGGGTCCGGTGGTATCCGGGAAGTCCCGAGGACAACCATGTCGTGGTGCTCACCAATGATAAAAATTGTTTGCGGTTGTTCAAGGTGGATAGCCAAAACGGTAAACTGATGTCCATTTGGCGATTGGGACCGGAGACTTCTCGCATGTTAGCTTCGCTAGGCGATACGGCCGTCGATTTTGACTTCTTACCTCCAGTACTAATTGGTGAACGAACCGAGTCTGACCCATCGATCACGTGGCCCATACTCGTTTTACAAGGAAACGGTACGAACTGCTTAATTTCAATAATTAATTTATGTAATCACGGTAAAAACAAAGTATTATATAGGTACATACAAATTGTAATTCAACATGCCAACGCTTGTTAACGGCGTAGCTTAATGATTTTGAGTTAGTTTCTAAAATGGCATGTTGTGTCTACGGTTAAAGATACTGAATCGGGATATAATATTAAAGCATGTGGAGTAGATGAAGTAAGAAGTAATAGATAAGAAAAAAATAAAAACAGCTGACACAAGATAAAAGCAAAAGGGAGGAAGAAAAATCATGCGAGTTATAACCTAACGAAATGTAATGTGACGAATATCGGACGTAGTACGAGTAAAAATTATTTAGGTGCGATATGATGCATAGCAAAATAAAAACCCTGTCACTAGAGCCGAATTCCACCCCCTCACGTATTTATATTATAGAAATATCATTTGTAAAACAATATGAATAACCGAATACTATGGGTATACTATACTACAACTTACTATAACATAACGTCCCAAAATATAGTAAGGGTGTGAGTTGTAAGCTTAAACCTCCAAAAGGCACATCCTTAATTCGAATGCTATGCATTTTCAAAATTCTATCCCTTAACTTCATTTGGGGTTCTTTAGTGGTGTGCAAAGCTAAAAAAACACCCTCTCCCACAACAACTTGGTGAAATTCGTATTAAATTCTACTAAACTTTTACTACTTCAATAAATCTATCTATAAAACAATTCGAATTCCTGAATTTATGCTCAGATTAATTTGGAAAAAAACATTTCATAAGCGTTCGAAACAATTAATACTGAACAATCATGATTGTCATCTTATATTATTATAGTCAGTCTTTTAAGACGTACCTAGGCTGTAGGAACGAAAAATAAGTGAATACAACCATAAATATAGTCATAAAAACGGTGACTGAAGATCTTATTAAAGATAACGAGAAACTTTCAATTAGATATAGAAGAAAGTAGAAAATAATGGGTTTGTTTATGGACCGAGGAAATTTCGAATGGACTAAGAAATAAATTAATTTGTTAGTACAATAAAATACGAATCACAAAAACGTCCCGAAAATTTGTTTTATTATTCGAGCATCGAACTGCACTGCTACGCCAATGATGTATTCACGATTTTTCGTATGCAGAGCAGAATTTATTTAATTGCTAAAGTGATACAACGTTGAACGTCGGTGCTTAAATTAGGAGGGGGGTTGGTGTGAGTACCAATTTTTAAAACATATTTTAACGTACCTACCCCTTCTAGTTTTAGATTCTAATTGGAGCGAGGAATGTATTAGTTTTACAATGATAGAATTTTTTTTGAAAGGAAATCTGAAATAACTGGGGAGGTACTTTAGAGAGGTCATTTTTTGTAAATAAATGAAGAAAATATGGGAAAGCCGGAAAAAAGGTACAATATTACACAAATATTATTTAAGAAAATATTTAATGCATATGTAATTATTTTACCATAATATGACATATATATTGTTGTCAAAGCAACACTATTAACCGAACTTTGCTCAGAATCGTTTTTTCGTTAGCAATGGTTAATCGCTGCTTACAGATATTAACATTTATTTACGTGAATTCCGGTCTATAGTCTATCTTCCCAATTTCCCACTTACTACAGTGGCTGCCACCCATTCCCGTTATCCTAGGACAACTTTTTCATTATGAACATAATATATTATTCGGTCATACAACCATTTACATAATCATTTTTCATTATTCATTTTGTTCTTCACTTCTGCATCTTCATTATAATTTTTTTCTAAATCAATTAATGTTGTCTAATAACTATCAATATCTACTGCAGGTGAGGTGTTGTGTCTGAACACTACTGTTGACGATACTATGAACATAAAATCGGCAAAAATAAGCGGTCCTCTGACCATGTACCCACCTGCTGACGACAACTACAGCGAGGACGCTTGTTCCTTACTCGTCTTGGACACTGTACCGCCTTCGGTCGTAATTGCATCTAACTTTGGTGAACTTTACAATTGCCTTCTGTTACCAGAGACCATTAATAAAGTGAGTATTGCAATTAACCGTTATTCTTGTAACTCTTACTCTAATATTTAGTCATTACTAGCTATTGATTATGTTCAGTATTATCACAATCAGAAAACAAAATATTACCAAATATAAAGTCTATAGTACACACCATGATTAAAATATACCTGGTTTTTTTTTATTAGCGCTCTAGCGTTATCAAATCGAAAAAAAAAATGGCGGTATTAGATAACTGTTAAGCCATTATAAAATGACAACACAGCCATGTGTTGTATCATTAATTATTATGTTTATTCATATTCCTGTATATTTTGGTCTCTACGTTGCCATTTTTAATTTGTATGTTTTAAAACATTAAAATGGAGGTACTAGTGCAATAACTCTATGTATTTCAATCATGGTACACACTATCACATGTCTTGTAAAAGATAAATGAACAACCTAACCTAACCGGTCTGTTCAAAATTGATCAAGACAATATATTATGAAAAACTTGTGTACATGACTCCAATGTTTGTACTAGAAAAAATACAAAGTATAATCTTTTAGGACAATAATATTATGCAGTTGTACACCAACTAATTAATTTAATCTTTTATATTGTATCAGGCCATTTTTTTTTTTTCTTATGTACCGCAAATACACACATTCTTAACATTAGGAAGAGTTATTACATGAGTACTCGGGTTGTAGAGGCTCATACCTTCTTCAATGTGTTTACTTTAAAGTGCCTGCTTTTTCTTTACGTAATAATTATCCTTATGGATGTATATCAATTATTGTGTATGGAAGTTAATCAATGTTTAACAGTTAGATTTATTTTATTGCAATTCATGTAGACTAACCAATTTCTGTCATTTAGTTGATTGTATTAAAAATTTAGAGTCCGTGAATGTTTATCATCCACTAATATCTTTAAACAATTAAGATAAACCATCCATCAAATTAGTTTGTCAAACAATCCTAACCCCTATTGTGGTTTATAACTAACAATGATTATGTATATAATAAATTCAACTATAAAATTACACATTATTCAATAATAATATCCCTTTATTGCCTTATTAGTTTTAGTAAGTGTTATATATTTGAAAGAGTACAGTTCACAAAAAACTAAATTAAAATTAAGTATATTATATTATTGTATATTATAATCAAACATGGTAAATTGTAATGTATTGAGTTACAAGCATTTGAGCTTTAATACTAATTCACAAATAAAATAATCAGTTGTGTAGTAAAATTGTACTATAATAATATCAATCTTACTTGACCAGGCATCTATTATAAATACCTAATTGTCTACTGCAGCAGTTCTCAAACTTTGTTCCGCAGAGCCCTTGGTGCTCCACAATGGTTTACCAAGGATTCTATTCATAACACCATAAAAAATTTAAAAATTGTTTGTTATTTAAAATGAATATACAGGTTGGTTTTTTTTATCATGAACCAGCAATTATCTCAAAGGATTTTAAGTAAATTTGATTTTTGTTTTTTCTAATCATTATGGAATATTTTAAGCCTTATTTTAAAGCCATTTTTAATTTTTTATCCCTACTCCATGTACCTTAAATAAGTACATACTTTTGATTTTCAAATAGGAACATCCCGCCCCTTTTTGAACACAAATTTAAATAGAAAATATTTTTCTGGAAATTTTAATATGCATAACACTATTATCAAATTTACCGTTTATGAGTTTTAACAGTTTAAAGTTTAAACCGGAGGAATAGAGAAAAGTAATAAATTGCCTATCTAACCCTTCCCTACTCCTCCAGTCTAAACTTTGATATTTTGATATTAGTGTTATGCGTATCAAAATTTCTAGAAAAATATTGGTACTCGTCTAGTATGCTACCTATCAATAAACTTTTACCTACTGATTATTGATTAATAACAAATTAACAACAATATTAATAACAATTTATTATTAAAATTTGCCTAACTAAAATGTACTTAATGTATTACTGATGAAAAACTGATTGTAAAACTCACAACGAAATACACATACGCGAACACAACACAGACTAATATATCCAAAAGTAAGTTATCGTGGGTCTTAGTGGATATTTATCAGTTATCTTAATGGCAATTCAACTATAATTTTGTTCAACTGTTATATGTTATTTATCGTAATAACTCAAATGTACTTTCCCACAATAAAATGAAATAAAATAAAAATAACTACGGTAGATAGTACGATAGTACACGCATACAGTTTTTTTGGTAGGTAGCATTTTACGATAGGTAGTATACTAGACGAGTACTAAAATAATTTCTATTTAAATCTGTGTTCACAATGGGAAGTTCCTATTTGAAAATTTGAAGGTACGTGGAATAGTGGTAAAACATTAAAAACGGCTTTAAAATAAAGCTTAAATAATAAATAATTCAATAATGATTAGAAAAAACAAAAATAAAATTCACTTAAAATCCTCTTAGATAACTGTTGGTTCGTGATAACAAAAAAATCACTCTGTGTATTTCATGAAGACTTGAATGTCATGATTCACTAATATATGTACTGCGTAAAATTCCGAAAAGAAAATTGTATACAATTATCCAATTTTAGAATTTTAGATAATAAGAAACGACCCTCGCGACTCATTTCGTTATTTATTATGTTATAGAATTTGACTCCCGTATGTATACAATTCGTGTTTATTATGATTTATAAACGATAAAAAACAGGCAGATAAAATTAATATTAAATATTTCTTGAGAGCTCCATGAAAAATGTCTACTTAAAAAAATGTTCCTAGGCTAAAAAGTTTGGGAACCACTTATCTACTATTAACATAAAAACTGTTGTAATCTTATAATTATATTAAAGTGATTATCATATTATTGTTCTTGAAATTTATCTTTCATGAAAATTGTTATATATTTTTTTTAATGTTTCAGACCGACACATATCAGCCATATAAAAATCAATTAGAATATAGCTTACACATAATAGAAACCGTAGAATTAGAATTGGGCCTTAATGTTACAGACAACAATGAATATGAAAATTTAAACACCATGCAATTAAAAAAAGATTGTTTTGTTTCGTCCAAATATTGGTGTTTACACAATACAGGCATACACTCAGTATCTATACCACTTACAGAGCTACTGGACGAATTTTCAAAAAGTAGTGATAATGGTATAGCAAATATAAATTTGTTTTTGAAATAAATATGTTCTAAATTATTGTGTCAATTTTCAGATAAATGTCTTGAATTAGCAAATGTCCAAGGCCAGAGTGTAATAGAATATTACATTTGTACAGGTCTTATGAATGGTGACACGAAACCTATCAAAGGATTTGCTATTTTAGACTTTCCAACAGACTTATTAGTCACTATGTTAAGCAATGGTGAAGTAGTAACTCAAGCTATTCCAGATTACTCGTATAATAAATTATCCATTTCTAATAAGTATATAAATGAAGATGATCATACAGAAATTGATCAAGTGGATGATTCTGATAAAGTAAGCTCAAGTTATTAGCTATAAATTGAAATTTAAAAAAAAAATACAAGTGTTACACTTATCAACACTACTAATACTTTTTTAAACATTTTATACAATAATAATCTACAATTAGTGTTTATAATAAAACAAATTGTTTAAAAATTTTAATTTTAGAAGTGTATTATTAAATTTGTTATAAACTTTAACACTTCTAAATTTTAGAAATTTAAAAAATAGCTTAAACAATTTGTTTTACTATTAATACAAGAAGTGTTATATGATCTCAAATGCATAATTAGTATTTGTTCAATATGTATGTATCAACATTAATTAAAATTTATTTTACATTTGAAAATGTTAAAACCATTAGTCATAGGTTTCCAAAAAATATAAATTATGAAATTATACAAATTGTAATGATCTAATTCATTATTTTTTTTTTTTTTTTAGTCCAACACAATCGACTTTAGTTCATTCATTTCAGAATTATTGCACAAGAATAATAGTAATAAAAATACTATTCTCAAATTAGGATCAGACATTCCCAACAATATTTTGATACAAGTAAATTTAACCACATAAATAGATTTATTTTTAAATTTTATTATATTGTTCTTACTTTTAAACTAATTTTCAGATGGTTCTACAAACTATAAGTACTCGACAAGAAACATTAAAAAATCATAAAATAGTTGCTGAAGAAATTGAGCGGAGAATTCAAGTGCTTTTCAAAGTCAAGCAAAGACTGTTATCAGAAATGCAAGTACTGGAAAAAGCTCGACAAAAGTTACAAGCAGATGTAGAAAGTAAAGCCGAGAAATTAGATGAGATTAACAACAAACAAGAAGAATTTACAAAAAGGTAATCCACAAAATGTATCAATGGACAGTAATTTAAGTACTATAAAATTTCATAAGGAATTAAAAGAATACATTTTAAATTATAGTTTATAAGAAAATTTGTAAACAAAAACTGTTTATAGTTATTAAAAGGAAAATATTCTATACATGTTACACAAAAAACTTTTAGGAAAAATAAATGCTGAACTAACTCACTTATTTAAGATCACTTAAATAGTTTCACATATTTTCAAAACATAATTATTTTTAATTTGGATAAGAAAATTTTTAATTCAGAAAAACAATTATGAATCTCAAAATTCATTATTTTGTCATTTACTGACCTTTTACAATATATTTAGCCATACAATTTAGAGATGACCTATATAAACTAATACCTCCATTTTATTCTCTATTTACTCATACATGACAATATTAATACTTATAATTGCTCTAAAAAATAATATACTAAAAAAAAAACCATATTATTTTAATTAAACTAACAATTCAATCAGTATAAATTTAATGACATATATTTTAACTTTGTCTTTAGAGCTTCAGCAGTTCTATTGAGACTAGTAACAGCATCACCTGAGAGTATAACAACAAAAAAGAAAAGAGAACTGTTAAATTTATATAAAAGTAAGATAGACTTAATGAACAAACGGATTGAAGAAACCAGAGAAAAATGGAACATCGTACAAACAGAATCAACATCTAAAAATAAACAGTTTTATGGACAACGGTCATTCAGATTAAATTTTGAACAAGAGTTGGTTATCAAAGGAAATTTGTCTGAAATGTGTGTCTTTTTATTCATATTATAATAATTTGTTTAAATAATTACTTTGTTAATACAAGGTGATTGATTTAAGTGGGTACACTCATTATTTCGGAAAGTATTAACTTTTTTGGAATTTATTTTTCTAGAACATTTTAGAAACAAGCAGCTCTACAATTTTATATTTATGTTATTTTTTGTCACCCTTATTTTTGGAAGTAAAATAACTACCTACTTTTGATTTTCAAATAGCAACCTATATAACAGAGGTGGCCAAACTGTGGCTCAAGTCATAGACTTATGCGGCTCGCATCTTATCTTAAGATACAAAGTTTTTAAAAATTATAATTTATAGTAAAAATGCACAAAAAAATAAAATGTTCTTAATATAATATTTAAGTATATATTCTTTTTAAATTTTTAATTATTAATTATTATCTTATTTTTTGTGTGTTAATTTTATTTGTAAGTTTTTTGAAACCCGGATTATGTGTTGTTAAAGCAGTCCTTAATAATTCTATTAAATTATCATCCATTAATGTTGAGCGATGTTTTGATTTAATAATTTTCATGATCGAGTATAAAGACTCACAAGAATATGTTTTTTTCCGAAAATCGATATTAATTTTTGAAGGCAAAGAGTAATTGTTGGATATTTAATAATAGGCACATATTTTCAAAATTCCAACGAAGAATGACAACTGTATTTGAACTGCTTCAGTCCTTCATCTTCCAATAATTCTAAGAGTTCAATTTCTAAAGCTACTGTATCCATTGAAACTGGTTTTGATATTGGACATTCCTTTTCAATAACATTATATAACATTATTATTTAATAACATTGTATAAAGGGATTTTCTAAAAATGCAATCGAAGGTTTAAGTAATTTCAAGTCTTTAAATCGATCTTCAAAGTCAGTTGATAAACACTCTAATTTATGTACATAATCTTCACAATTCAATATCGTTGCTACTCCAACCAAACAATCCTCAATTATTTTTTAGTACGGAAAATGGTTTAAATTATTTATTCTTAAGTATTTTTGAAAAAGTTTAAGCATATTTTGGAAACTAAAAATGTCTTGTACTAGGTTATTTATGAATTTATTTTTACCTTGAAGATACATGTTTTATGTGGCTAAGTGATGCACAACATCAAAATTAGTACAAAATGACATCTCTTAACCATTGTGGGTTCAAAAATTGTGAAAAGTTTTTATCTCTTTATTTTAAAAATGTTTTAATAGGTTCTAATAAATCGAAAAATGTTATAAAAACGTTTTTTAATCGAACTAAACAATATCATGGAACATAATTTGGAATATTATCCAACTCTAAACTTTCAACAAAGTTTTTAAATTTGGGATGTAACTTTGAACCTGAACTTATGTAATTTTAAGAACAACACTCATCACATGTTCATATTTAAAATATTTAGCAATTAGGTTTTCTCTATGAATAATGCAGTGAACTGGAATAAAGTCTGGAAAATTAGTTTCACTTTTTAAAAATTTTGTAAAGTAGAGAATATATCTGAACTTATCATTGAAATACGTCTTTCCATAGTATGTCTACTATTCAAAATATTTTCGACCATATTTAGTAATTTTTTATCTTCTGGTTTTAAAATGGAAATAACATCTTAAATGTTTTTGTTAAATATACCCCATCAGTGTATGGGCGCTTTGCTCAAGCAATATTAAACGCCATACAAAAATTTGCTTCAGTAGTTATTTCGGTTTCCTTGGAAAATACTGACATGACATTAATTTGTTTATTTACTTTTAGTTTCATTGTGCTTAATTTATTTTTCCTCAACTCAACCAGTAGGAAATTTGTTACTAAACGAACTGTGATTTATTTCATAATGTCGTTTTAAGTTACTCGCTTTAAATTGTAATAGTTCGGATTGACAGATGAGACAAAATGGTTTACTGTTTCGTTCTATGAAAAAACTCTTTTTTTTTAGTGTAATTTGAATTCTCTATGTTCTTCTTCATACTTGCGTTTCTTAGACATGATAATTATTTTATTAATATTATGGTGTTACACTCACGATGTCGAACAGCACTATAAAGACATGTGTATGTATGATAGTATTTATAAAGATAAAATTTAATCCGACATTATTGTACGTTATTACATTGTTTCACATTCTATACATTTTATTATATTTGATATCTTATCTTATTTATTATTAATATTATATTAATGTGATCTTTTTTTTCATTCTGCTCACGAGTCCCTCCTCGTTGGCCACCCTAGTTATATAGGAAGTTCATAATAGATGAAGTATTAGTTAAAATAAATTTTAGTGTTGATATTTTTAATTTCTGTGGCGCATACTGCGCGCAGCTTGTTGATAATGCACCATTACTCTCCTCCAACCTAAACTTAAAAGTGGAATATCTCGTCAACAGCTTGACAGAAATAAAAAATGTCAACACTAAAATGTACTCTGTCGATTTATGTAATTTTGAACATAGATTTTCATTTGAGAATCAAAAGTAAGAAGAGGTTTTACCTCCAAAAAAAAGTGTGACAAAAAATAACATAAATATAAAATTGTAGAGCTGCTTGTTTCTTAAATATTTTAGAAAACAAATAATGAAAAAAGTTAATACTTTCAAGGCAATCAATGTACGTGAGTGCTTAAATGGATTTTCTTGTATATTACTTGTAACCGTAAATTATCTTTTTTTCTTTTTGCAGGGGCTCTACAATATTGGATTTAGAGAAAAAAGTGAGAGACTTGAGGTCCATAGTTAATAGTATCGCCAGTTAAAAATATCATTGATAAACATTCTTAAAAAAAAATTTTTTAATGTTTTGTTAAAAATTATCCTATTAAATTTTTTTTTTTTTTTCTATCAGTTAAAATCAAATTAATGTATAACTATTTAACTATTAAATATAATACCTAAAATAGTAATTAATATTGTAACTAAATAAAACATCAACAATATATTACTTTTTCAATATTTATATTATCTTTTTTATCCCCTGTTTCTGAATTAAATATGCAATACATTATTGTAATAATTAACAACATGTAAACCAATTATTTTTTCTGTTGTATACAATTTTCATATTTGTTTAGAGATAGGTACACAATTTGAATAATTATTCAAATTGTAATACTGTACTTTGCCCATGGTGGTGTTAAAATGTAAAAATTAAATAAATACAAAATTCAGAATGAGAGCGTAAGATCAATAAGTGAATAATATTTTTCCAAGTCTGAATTTCAAAAAAAAAATTAAGGAGTCCCAGAAACAATACGTAAAAAGAATTAAAATTATTTTTAAAATTTAAAAATAGTGATCAAAATAACATTAAGTTTTTAAAAGACATTGTATACAGTTTAAACTTTTATCTCAATGATTTATAAATATATACAAACATTTTTTTACATTTAAATAATTTATATAATTTAGTTTTTTTTTTTTTTCAAAATAATAAATTATGTTATTTAAACATACAACCTCTTGTCGGCACTATCCTGCATGACCCTTACACTCCATTCATCTCCACTATTTTAGAGTACCTATGTTCAAAGATACTCATTTGCAGATCATGTACTCAATATATATCACCCAGACCCACTAAGCGACTATCATGTTCTTCAACATTAGACTTAGCTACTTCAACAAATAGAAGAGTTGATACCAAATTTTTCAAAAGATTTGGGTATATTTTAGAGTTACTCAACACTGCACCCACTACATTATTGCTTTTATTGTCCTCTTACTTGATACTAACTGTGATCCAAATCATCAAAAAATGTGTCTGACAAACATATCTGCCACCCAAACATTTTTTAGTTAATATTTACTTGGTGTCCTCTTTTTTAAAAAAAGTTATTAAATTCAAATAATTAAAATAATAACCTTTATTAATTTGTATATAAAAAAAAAAATACAAACAAATTTAAAATCAATATGACAAACTTTATTCTTAGATATTATATTTAAAAAAAACAAAAATAGTATAATAGCTGAAATTGTTATTTATTCTAAAATACTTACTAATGAAGTCACCATGCTTAAAAATAGTAAGTTCAGGTTCTCAATAGCACATTTTTTTTGATTTAAAAATGCTATAACAGTGGGTTAGGAATCATAGTGTGAGATTCCATCTACGTTTATTGATACATACAGACAATAATTAATAAGTTCTTCTAGTAAATAAATTTTAAGCTAAGATTTCATTCAGTTATAATTTGAAATCACTCTATCAATTTTCATTGAACAGGGGCAAATAATTAATAGGGTAACATCCGATACTTTTGGGGACCCGAAGCAAACAGTTTTTCTGTCAACCCATTCACTGTATATTCCACTTTAAAGTTTGGGTAAAGGAGAAGTTGCAGAGTATCATTTTTATGATGGCACAGCACAGTATTTGTAAAGTGCTCCACTACTACTACCCTACCTAAACAAAAAAGTGGAATCTTGTGAACGGATTGATGAAAATCAAAAATGTTAACACCAAAATTTACCTTAACTTATACTTAACTAATCTTTTTATGTAGGTTTCCGTTTGGAAATCAAACATAACAACAATAACGGGTAAGAACCCTATATTTTACAATGTATAATCTATAATTTAACTTATCGATAAAAAAAAAAAAAAGATAATATAATTTATAATATTAAGAATATGGTATAACTAATAATAACATAGTATGGCATAAATAAACGAATTAAACATATAAATGTAAGGTCAATTAAAAATATAATATTAATATAATCGCACAAAAATATTGCTTAAGATTAAAAATAAATTTTGTTCAAAAACATTACGTAGCATTAGGGAAAAATCAATATAACTAGATGAATGGTTTTTTAATAAGAGCATTCTAGGGGAAAAAAAGAATTAAAACTATAGATATTATAACACTGCGAAACATGAAATAAATTATTCTTTCTTAAGCTATGATAACCAGCATTAAACCCAATTATAAAGAGTAAATCGGAGGAGTCGATATTGGCGTTTAATAAATCATATAGAAACATAAGATCGGCAACTTTCCTCCTTAGCTCACACGGCAACATTCCAAATAGAGAAGCTTTTAAGTTGTAAGAATCTCTAATAAATCCTAACATTTTAAAGACCTTATTAACAATCGAATTAATGTGTAAGGAAAAAGACATATTGTGATCAAACCAAATACCTAAGTGTTTAATAAAAGTTACTCTTGATAATTTTAAATTATCAATCTTATAAAAGTTGTAAGTCATAGGATTTTTTGAGTGTGTAAAATATATAAAACGTATTGATATTTAAAGGTAAGTAATTATCCTGACTCCATTTGACTAATTCGTCTAATGTCGACTGCAATTCTATTGCGTCAGAAAGATATTTAATCATCGGAAATATTTCGGCGTCATCGGCAAATAATAATAAGTGAACTGAGTCATTAAAAATATTATGTAAATCATTTATAAACAAAATTAACAAGAGTGGACCAAAGTGTGAACCATGTGATATACCTAAGGTTACTTCAAAATCCGTTGAAACGTAGGAAGACAATTTTACAGCTTTGGTTCTGTTAATGAAATATGATTTAATCCAGTTTAAACGTTGGTCATGGAAACCAAATAATTTCAATTTCGAGATTAGCAAATTATGATTAACTTTATCAAACGCTTTTTTTGAAATCTGTGTAAATATAATCTAACTGTACTCGATTATTCAAAGCTGATTTCAAAGCTTTTAGATTGATAAAGTAAAATATTTATAGAGATTGCAATCAATGCCACTATAGAGAGCTTGACAAATGAACATAGTGTCTCGAATACGATGTTTTACGTTATAATTTAATAGCTAGATTTATTAATGGTGCTTTTAGTTTAAGCGATATTCGATATCTAGTTTAAATCATTTAACAATATTTAACCTTCGAAACACAACAAATAGCCGATTCAGTTCTTAAAATATTTTATTTAAAATTTTGTAAATTGTGTTAACGATAACACTGAAAACCCGACGGTTCTTAATAGTTTCACGGTGTCGTCAGTATTGCTATCACAGATAAATTATGGAACATATGAATTATATACGCATCATCGCGAGAAACATTAATACACCAAGTGTTTTTGTAGGCGAAAGTGGTCGATTCAAACGGTGAAATGGTACCGTTTTGGTACTGCGGGGGAATTACTCGTTCGCGGTTATTTGACCATGACTGGGTATTACAATGACGTAGAAAGAACAAAGGAAACGATCGACTCGACTAGATGGCTTAACACGGGGTAAATAATAAGTGACGATAACTTTAAATAATATTATTGTGTTCGTTGATTTCTTGCTTTAGAGACCAGTTCGTGTTACACAAAAATGGTTACGGCAATATCATTGGCAGAACAAAAGATATGATCATTCGAGGTGGGGAAAATATATTTCCTGTTGATATCGAACACTTTTTGGAGTCACATCCATTAATCACGCAAGTTCAAGTGACTATATAAATAATAAATTAATAAATTAAGTTGAAACTATCAAAGAAAAAAAGGTTAATTTACAAAATTAAATGAAATTACCAATGGGAATAATTAAAAGAACGGATTGGACCACTCGGCCAAATAATAATATTTAATTAGTAAAACCAAATAACCCAATAACGGAGACCGTTATTTAGTCAATTTTCCCGGTTTCCCCAATTATCAAGAAAAATACAAAATAAATCAAAAACTAAGATCTTAGTGCACCAATCAGACAAAATTTCCTTTTTTAAAAAAATACTATTAACTTAATAAACGGAGCAAGGGTTCTGGTAGAAAAGTTGTTCACAAACAGAAAAAAACACAATATAGTTAAACCAATACATTCCTCTCTTCGCTCAGAATCCAAAATACATAATGTAATATCATTAGTATCATTGTATCTACCATGTTCCCAGTGGCACATTTAGAATATATGATCCCCGGGGCGAAATAATTTGATTGCCATCCCCTCCCCTCCCATTTATTTTCACCAACTAATATTTCCTATGTTTTACTAATATCACATTCATCTCAAAATGAGGGGACTATAAAATAACCGAAAATAAAGCAGCCGAACCGTATTTCAGCCAAAAATATTTCAACCGACCGTATTTAAGCAGAACATGAAATTATCCGAAAACATTTAAGTAGAAAAATATTTCCGCCGACAATATTTCGGCTGAAAATAAAACAACCGAACGTATTTCAGCCGAATCGCCCGAAACTCTACTATAATTATCAACTTGTACATATCTTGTCAATGTTTTTAATCAGAAAATGTTGAATTAGAAAACGAGGAAGTTTGAACGTCGATATCTTGAACAAAAATTGAAAAATTTGAAAGAACGTGTGCAAATGTTGAGTTATAATTCCAAATTGAACAAATAAAAAATAATAAAACGACAACATTTTGAATATTTTCTATGATAAATATATATTTTATTTAATGAAGTTTAAAATTATTACCTATTATTTTTAATCTCAACCATTTGTAAGCATTTAAATTATGTAAGTGTAGATAAACATCCACTTACACATGTTTAAATTATTATCAAAACTAAACCAATATATTTGCAAATTAACTTCATTGATTAAAAATTCAAAAAACATGGAAGTGGGTTACTTGAGGCATCTGTTTAACTTGTTTTTCATTTTAAAATAATATGTACGGAATTTCTCTCCTTTTTATGTATTTCTTATCACGCGTTATCGTTTTTAAGAAGATCTGGTCTTGTCTTTTTATTACAGTCGGCTGTAATATTTTCGGATAAAATACCATCAGCTATCAAATATTTTTCGACTGAAATACTGTTCGGCTGATTTATTTTCAATTGTTTTAAACTCCTCAAAACGATTTTATACGATAATCTGTTATTACTTATCACCTACTTGGGGGTACTAAGTGTAGACAACACAGTGTAAAAAATAGTCTATACAAAAGGTGACCGTACTCGACATAAAATCACTCACGGTCCTTTTATACAACAGCGCTTACAATAATTATCTATTTTTTAGAAAAATAAATTCTTTATTTAAATAGACTGATTAATAAACGTATTATTCAATGATGCTATTGAATTTTTTATATTTTGTAATAAAAAAAAAATTAATACACTCAATAAAACCACCGCCCCTAAAACTGTTAAAGTTTTGCCGCTGGAGGCATTTTCCCCCACCCTCTAAATGCGCCACTGCATATTCCCAATATACGAATCGTTTTCATTCATCTATTCGTTAGCTGTAGACTATAAGCCATCGTAAAAGTTAACAAAACTAATGAACTTCAAACCTTACTGACTAATTGCAGGTGCATATTATGCTATTATTCATTCTGTTTGTGCATTTTTCAGGTATACGGTGTGCCCAGTGAAAGGATGGGCGAAGAAGTGTGTGCCAGTGTAATTTTAAAATAGGGTTCGACGCTCACGGAAGAAGACATAAAATCGTACTGCAAAGGGAAGGTTGGTTTATTTCGAGGAATTTATACGATTATGAATTTATTCATACTATTATTATATTCTTTAATAACTGTATATTTTTACTAATTTTTAGATCTCCCATTTCAAGATCCCCAAGTATATCTTTATCGAAAAAGGCGAATTCCCCAAAACAAGATCCGGCGAAGTGAAAAAGTTTTTATTGAAAGAGATCGCTTTACGACAGATTAGAACGAACATTATTGACACTCTCGGTTCTGTACATTTACAGTGTTATTTCTACATTTTTAAAACGAAACAAAAATGCTTAAATCAGGGACGTATACAGACGTATAATAGCGGTCCAATCATCAACAACGCAACAATACTAGTTCTATAGATCAAAATGTTTATTTTTTGTTTACTTATGAACCTTCTCCAATGTTTTTTTTTTTTTTTTGTATACGTGTCTGTCTTAAAGGTGATAAGTTAAGTAGGTACCTACGTATTTGAGCAAATGTATACTAATAATTATTTATAAATATAATAATATATAGTATATATATACCATATATGTAATTTTTTAGTTTATAATACGCACTAAAAATGCATCGTTTTTTACTTTTACCAACTCATTGTGTATTAAATAATATTATCCTATGATTATTTTACATTAACATAGTTTTATGAATTGTATTAGACAATTTGGTAAACTAAAACTAAGCCAGATAGACTTATTCTGACTTTAATAAAAAAATACTTTTCCATCAATAACTACAAATAATAATAATAAACAAAAATATCTATATTTGACAACATTTTGGATTACCCAATTCCAAAAACGCTATGTTTCAAGGTTTATGTACAAAAACTATAAAAGTAAGTATGATAGTTAAGTTTATACGCTCTACTAATTGATTAAAAAACACATTTTGGAAAAAAAATACTTGAAAATGTTAATTTCTTACTAAGAAACACGCAAAACGGAAAACCCGAACTTTATAAAGTTTTCCCCCATAACTTCCAAATGAAGTTCATCAAATTTTTAATTTACATTCTCAATGTACACGCAAAAATACAAATTTAAAAAAAAAACCCAAAAAATCACATGGAAGCTCAACCAGAATCGTTCAGCCGTAAATATACTAATTAAGGCTAGGGTAGAAGTCAAGGATGGTTTAAAAAAAATATTGGTTTAAGTCTGGCTTTTGGGTCAGCGAAAAAAGTCTATACCACATTGTATTTGACGAATAACCAAATGTAACCGGATTACTGCATTTTATAAACAAGTCGTTTCGGTTATACACATCATAGTTAATATGTCTATGATTTTGGTTATAACTTTTATTTATTTATCTAATAATTATACTCCCAGGAGAATATTGGTAAAAAATACACTAGTGTAGATATAAAGTAGATATAAAGGTTAATAATAGGTTGCAAAAGTAAGTGAACAGAAAGAGGTAAAGTGGTAGCTCTAAGTTTGGTTGAACAGGCGTAACATTTTGTGAAGAGGTTGGTTCTAACCATACGAGGTGAGATGGGTGGGAACAAAAAAATGAGAATGGTGTCTCGTAGAATGGAAGGGAACACAAAGTGAAACAGTGGCTAGTAAATCGGGAGAGTCAATAGGACAGTTGAGAAATGAGGTGATAAACATTAAATCAGCGGCGTCACGGCATGAGGACAGAGTAAGGATATTGAGAGTAGAGCGGATAAGGGTGGTCATTGGAAGCGTGTTCAATTTTTAATGGAAAGACAATCACAGATAGGAAACGATTTTGAACTCGTTCAAGACACAGTTGATCACAGGAAAGGAAAGAATACCGAATGACCGACCCATACTCGAGGATAGAACGCACGAGACTGAAGTAGAGAGTTCGGAGACAAGTGGCGGAGGTAAAGAAGGTTGTGTTGCGCTTAATGAAGTCGAGAATCTTGAGGCTCCTCCCAACAGTAACATTGATGTGGTGTTTGAAAGATAGAATCCTAGGTCTTTGATAAGATTAACACGCAGGAGAGGATAGCTACCAAGGAAATATAAGTGTAGTATGGGGTTACATTTCCTAGCGAAAGTCATCGAGGTCAACTATCGATATATTAATTCATAATCTAGGTATACTATGGGAGGCAATTCGAGTAAGCGGTTTGAATGTACTCGAATCGCATCCGAAAACACCCGGAGGCAAATGCGTCTTGTGTCTAGAATAAATTCGATAATTGTCAATACGTACTAGTTCTGGACAGTGATGGATATATCCTAGTTCTGAAGAAGAGGGCGATTTCAAAATCCACAGAGACTTTAGGGGTTCAGGGATTTATTCCCTCCAGTGATTATTTTAGACCTTCCTTCCCCGAGGATCTGCCAATCGCCACCCCCCCCCACCGCGATATCCGTCACTGGTTCTGCACATAATAGCAGATATAATTATTTGGTTAGGTTTGTGTAAGTATTAAAAACTGATTGTAAAAAAAAAAAATATATATAAACAAATTTAATTAATATAAGTATATTTCTATACGTAGCATTTAACCAATGTTTAGAGTTTATTATATTGAGCAATTTCGGTTAAGTATACACGTTTTAAATTGCCATAATTTTTTTACGATTTTGGTTATAATTTTATCTTTAAAAAAGGTAAACATAATTAATTAAGTGTTCTTTTTATCTTATAACATTGTTAAAACTATAATTATGTTTGTTTTTAAATAATAAAATCCATTAATAATCACATATAAAAGTTAGCAAATTTGTTGATATGTAAAAATCAGTTAACTGCAACTGATAACCTACCTACGAAAGTCAATTGACATCTTTTTCTGGATTAGAAGTTGGAAAATATGATAAATGACGAGAAATTATAGTTATCTAGGTATACCTACACAAAACCGAAAACATCCAAATTGTACTAAATCAAATGCTAATCCCACAAAGAGCAGGAGCCACTTCATCAATGTGTAAAATATATACAAAATCTAGTGAAAAAGATAATCAGTGTGTCCCATCGTGTTCAGGGGATTTTTCTAGTACTGTTAATATTAAATTTTGTTCATTTTTTTTTTTTTTTCAATCGGTTTGTCTTTGAGAGGAACATTGATTTGAGGAAAAATTGTATTTTCATCCCCTAGACACAAAAAAAAAAAATAATAACAAGATTTTCGAAGTAACTATTTTTTAAAAAATTTTAATGTATCATACATTCATATAGAATTAATAGTTTCTTAATTATAGTAGTTTTAATTTCTAGAAAATAGGCGTGAAAACAATTAATATTCAACAGAAGGTAAAAAATTACCATGCTACCAATTGTAATTCTTTATAGCATAAAAAGCTATTTTTTGAATATTAATTATTTGCATGCCTAATTAAAACGGCTATAACTAAGAAATTATTCATCAGATATAAATGTGTGATACATTAAAAATTATTAAATAATATTTTTTACAAAATGGTTATTTTGAAAATTGTCTTAAGTGAATAAAAAAGTTATTTTTTTTTCTTTTGGGAATGAAAACAAAAATGTAATTTTTCTGCATATAGATGACCCCCTCAAAGATAAACAGATTGAAAAAAAAATCGAAAAATATTTAACATTAAGAACACAAAAAAAAATCTGTTGAACATATGGTAAAATAAACTGCATAAATGATTAAACATATTTAAAATAAATAAAACACTAGGGCATTAAACAAAAGTATATATATAGTTATAGGTAAGTACTATATAATATATAGGTAAGTTAGGTTAGGTAATTAAATAGTACAAAACTACAAGAATTATCCACCAAAATTGGAATATGACATTAAATAATATAAAATAATTAATATGAACATTTATTATACCATAACATAAAAACAATAATATAATTTACCAGAATTAAAAGAAACATTAATTCAAGTTGTATCTAAAATAAAGGCATGTCCAATATTAAATAGTGTAAGTCTTATTAAAACTTTGTGCTGTGTATTATACTTAATATTTACATCAAGAATTAAATAGAAAACATTATAATTTTACACTGTAGTTAAAAACTGAGAAACTAATTTCAAAAACTCTGTAGGTTTTTCCGCATGTAACCAGTGGCCGGCGTCGGGTATATATTCAAATTTGGCTAAAGGAAACATACTCTGTTTGATAATCTCGTGATGGGCTGGCTTCAAGAATGTTGAATTCCCCCCGGCTATGAAATATGTTGGCCCATGAAACATAGATTGCACAGGTGGAAACAGAGCAAGGTTATTTTTAAAATTAACATTAATAGACTCCACATTTATGCGCCATCGGTAACTGTTGTCCACTTGTATCAAGTTAGTTAGCAGGAACTGCCTGAGCATTGGACTCTGCAAATTATAATACAAACTCATGTCAAGAATCTCTTTCTTTTTAAACTCAAATTAATAATAACTATTATAGCAACAATCAATAAATTGTTAATTTATTGATAAACCAGATGATCCATTTATGTGGATACACTCATTATCTCGAATATTACAAACTTTTTGCAGATTTTGTTTTCTAGAACATTTTAGAAACAAGCAAATCTACAATTTTATACAATTTTTTGTCACCCTTATTTTTGGGTGTAAAACCATTACCTACTTTTTATTTTCAAATGGTAACCTATATTAAAAATTCTACAAATAGATGGAGTATTAGATAAAATAAATTTTAGTGTTGATATTTTTGATTTTCCTCACTCCGTTAATGATATATTCTACTTTTAAGTTTGAGTTAGAGGAGAGTAGTGGTGCATTATTAACACACGATGCACCGTACCGCCACACAAATAATATTCCACTACTCTCCGCCAATCCAAACTTAGAGTGGAATATATCTTTAACAGATTGACGGAAATCAAAAATGTCAACACTAAAATGTATTTTAACTAATACTTTTTATGGAATTTTTAATATAGGTTACCCTTTGAAAATTAAAACTAGATAGTGGTTTTATTGCCCTCTAAAATAAAGGTGACAAAAAAATAACATAAATATAAAATTGTAGAGCAGCTTGTTTCTTAAATGTTCTAGAATACAAATTCTGAAAAAAATTAATAATTTCAAAGATAATGAGTGTACCCACTAAAATGGTATTATCACCTGGAATAATAAAAACTTTTACCATAAGTTAATTTCACTGTTTATTAATAATAATTTTAACTTAATGTACCTCAATCGAATTTTTCATTTGTTCATCTGCAAATTGTCGTACTTTTGATATTGGTGCATTAATATCTAAATTAATACTTCTTATAATATCTATAATGCTCTGGATATTATTTATTTCTTCATTGTTAACTGGTGATATATCAACTGATATTAAGGATTCCACAAGTTCTGGCTATAAATATATTATTTACTGGTTATTTTAATAGCTGAAATGAAAATAATTTAAATAGAATTATTAAAACGAACCTTACATAGACGACTGAAAAATACATCATCGCTCTCCCACCCATGCTATGACCAACTAATGAAGCTTTTTTTACAGACAAGTCTTCCATTAAAAATTTAATATCTTCAGCCATGAGCGGATATGATTGTTCTGCAGTATGTGGTGAGTCTCCATGATTTCTTGCGTCCACAGTAATTATCTTTGAATAATAATAAAATAAAGTATAAATATAATTTGAAGTCAGATTTGTATAATATTACATATCTAATTCTAATCCATAAAATAAACAAAAGTTATTTCAAGTAGCAGATCATTGTAGGACACCCTGTATACATAACACATTATAATATTGTTTAAATTATTGTATATTACACTTTATTTCTAATTTTCGGTTTTTTTTTTTACTATTAGTTTTATTATTATACAAATTAAAAAAAATCCTACCTCCTTCTTACTACCTTCTTCTAAAATCTTATTTAAACGAACGTTCCTTTGTAGTCAGCTCAGGTTTAGAAATCTCTAACATCTCTCTGATCCTAGCTGGTGTACCACAAGGTGCAGTTCTATCTCCCACACTATATAACTTATACACCGCAGATCAACCAACACATCCTGATACATCAGTTGCCGAATACGCAAATGATAAAGTTATTTATTCCACTCACACTGACCCCCTCAACTGTCTTGTCATCACTACAAAAACATCTTGACCTACTTTCTCCTTGGTACTTCCAATGGCACATAAAAATAAACGAATCTAAATCAGTCAATACCACATTTACCCTCAAAATGCAACAACCCCCTCCAGTATCACTAAATAACGAAATAATCCCTAATTCGGACACGGTTAAATATTTAGGATTATACTTTGACAAAAAAACTCAACTGGTCCAAACACATTCACAGAACCAAACTAAAACTAAATCAAAGACTCTCTATTCTCCGTAGCACTATGGGCAAAACCTCAAAGCTCAACCTAAAATCAAAAATTAACTTGTACAAACTACTAATAAAACCCATTTAGACATATGGAATTCAGCTATGGGGAGCTGCTAAAAAAACAAACATAAACAAAATTCAAGTAGTCCAATCAAAAACTCTCCATCTCATCACTAACGCCCCTCTGTACATCTCGAATGAAACTCTACACTCAGACCTGAACATACCGTATGTCAATGAAGTCACAAAAAATCACTACTTTAAATTCCACAACAGGCTACAAAATCACACCAATCCCCTCATTAAAGATCTTTCATCACACTCCCTTCCGGGTAATACGGTAAGGAGACTCCAGCGTAAGTGGCCCAGAGACTGGTTAGCATAATACACAGCACTATACGTTAAAAAAAAAAAAAAAAAAAGTTTTATTATTACAAGATTTTTTTTCTTTTTAATAACATGCAAGCCATCATTAATAGAAAACTAATCAGATAATTTATTATAATTCTTATTCAAATAATCTAATTGTTAATTGAAGTTCAAGGTTTAATAGTTTAACCTTTATAATCTTAATATGTTACTCCACAATTGTACTATTTTTTTGTGTTTGATGAATGTGTTCATATGAATAAAAAACCTATGAATTATGATTTGGAAAATATTAACATTGTACACCTTAAATAAGGTGTATTATGTTAATTCTCTAAACATTTGATTTAATTAGTTCAAAAAGCCACTAAATAATTTATACTATACTATAAGCATAACTTATAATACATATTTTTATTAGTAATTTGTCGGATACAAATTTCTTATGTAGACTTATTAAACTGTGACATTTAGGTTGAATAAAAACTTTTAACATCCAAGACCGGATGTAGAACATTTTGTATGGTTTTATGCATATAGTTTAAACATTTTTTTTTTGGTCTATCTTTTCTCTTGTTTATATCTGTTCTTCTCAATTCTCCTATTGTCTTGCCTATCTCATTGTTTTCCTTTTTTCAACTTATCCATACCACTTGAATCATTTCTCTCTTGTTTGTTCTGCTACACCCATGACTCTGTAACTATCTTTTGTATATTTATACCTTATGGTATCTTATCCTATCTATTTAATTAATATAATTAGATATTATTTATACTATGTAAATATAATATACAGGAAAATTTGTCAAAGAAATCTGAAATAATACAACAACAATACCAGTATTATAATTTAAAATGAAAGTAAACCCAGTTGTTGATTTCAAAGGCATCCTAGGAAACAGTTGATTCAAATTCTAATTCTCAAGTTAATTTCACATTTTATCAAAAATGAATTAAATCAATCAAGTTTCTAATAGATTAATAAATTTGATGGCAAATTTAAAAAATTGGATTAAATGAAAAATACATACTGACAAAATAACTTATGCTATGTGTACACATGCATTTTCTTGTGGCACACAGTGGCGTGGTGAAAGAATTCTGTAGAAGCCGTGGCCTCTGAATTTTGGCAGTGGGTGTGTGGGTGGTTTGGGTGGCTCATGACTTGTATGATTGTACATGTACCTACCACCTATACATAATCTACATTAATGATTATACAGGGAAATTAAAGTGAATAATACTCTAGACCTATACAATATTTAATCGGTATAGTTGTATGTATAACATAAATATATGGAGAATAATTTTGGTGGAACTGCATTATACTTCTAAATGATTTTAGCATATGATTTAATCAGGAGTTAAATCGAATTACTTACATATCATAAATATTTTGGTAGGTGTTCATAAACATTAGAAGGGCGCTAAACTGCAGTCACTATATTTTTAATTGAACCACGGCACAAAATTAAAGTCCAAAATTAAAAGTGTAAGATATGGATTTTAAAATTGACTAGTATTATACTTATAATATACATGACAATTAAAAATTATTGATTTTTTTTTTTTTGATTTTTAAACGAGGTAAATATCTATGATACCTAACAAAAAAAATTGTTATTATTGTGACATTTTACCAAGACGACGTCAACTGTGTGAAGAAGGCTCCTATGTCGTTCAATCAAAATGTTATCTATGAAAAAATAGAAGCAAGACTCCTGTAACCCGCTAAAAAAAATACTACTTTTTTTATAGTTGGTGAGTCTCCCGAATTGTATTGACCTCGTAGATAAAAAAAAAAGTTCACCACGTCACTGGTGGCACAAGTAGTGTAGAAAAAGTTGGACAATTCCAATGGTGCTACAATATTAATATGGTTTACTTGCAAACATTAACAAGCATGTGGAAACCTAGTATTAGTAGTATATGGTATGAACATAAGCGTGCACACATGGGAACCACGGGAGGCTGCTACCTCTCGAAAACTTTTTAATCATTTGCATTTTAATTATTTTCGAAACATTTAGCATTTCTATGGATATTAATATTTTACTATCATTAAAGTCTAAATGTTAATATTGTATTTTCTCAAATTATTATTTAGACAATTTTATTGTGCGTTACTTGAAAAAAGATTAGTTCCTATTTACCTTACCGCACAAGTGGATAGGTCAGACAATGTTTTAAGGTAATCTATTGATCGAAAAATGTGCGTCTTAAAACATAATAACCAATGTCATACATGATTTTATGCAATGAGTGGTTTCAAAAATCAGTGCCTCCCCTGGCAAGACCATCTGCATACGCTTATATTTATGTGTGCATGTAATACAAACTTTTCTTCGAGTCATGTTATGTAAGGTTTTGGAAAGACTGTTCCAATTGGATTTACAGCCAAAAAGACCATGCATGATGATAATAGGTGGTTTTTGTCCACCATCTGCTGCAGATTCATACGACGTATAAGACATTTTGATGGGTTCCAGTTTGGTGCTCATTGTACGTCGCAAATTGGACAATTTCCAGAATTTGTTAAATGTGCATTTCCACGACGAAAACGTAATGGACTTGATCATCTTGCGGCACTGATGAGGACTGAAATTAACATAAACCATAATAATTGTATTATTATCGACCAACTTAAGAGCGAGTATCACTCTTAAAATTATATCACTGAACACCAAAAATGCCAAAGGGTGCACCGAATTTTTGCAATGTTCCCAATGTATCAAATCGTAAGAGACGGTGCGCACCACGCTAAAGCTAAAGTGCCGAGTTCAGTGACCAGTGACCGGCAGAATAGATAAGTACAATAAATATACCGGTCGGCAACCGCGTATTAATAGTCGTAGATAACAACGGAAAGAAAACTAAATGCAAATAAAAGTGAACGATAACACAATTTAAACAGGCTTCAGCTGCTGTAACCATGGAAAAATAATCAGCATGAATTAATGGAGTAGAGTACTGGATTCCGAACGAGAAAAAAAAAATTAAACTGAAAATTGTTAAGGTAATCAGCTGTGTTTCAAAACCACCAGCGCTCTCTAGCTGATGAAATTCAATATTCATAGAGTAGAACTCTTTAATTTATTATTTATTTTCCCATCATTTTTGAAAGTATTCAATAAAAATGACCAAAAAAGAAATCTATTATTGTTGATTATAATTGGAATTGTTTTATAATTTCATTGAATGTATTAAATATGCTTATATTTATACACATTACCTATATATTTTTTCATACAACCATAATGGTAGAGTGTACGGGAGAACAATTGTAAAAAAAATTGTCGATGATAACATAAATCAAGGTTTAAAATTCTAGATCGTTATTTTAATGAACGGTAAGAAGCAATTGGAACATCATAGATAAAGAATTTACGGAGCTTATTTTTCAAACTATGATATTCATGATATTTCTGGTGAAGGATAAGTCCAAAGATATATAATATAATATACATTATATTAAAAATAATTGTTTAAAAGCATGATTTTCGTATGTGTTACTGAATGTTATGATTTACTGCGATTAAAAATTCTATAACACTTGTTAAGTTGTTGTGTATATTTATCAACTATACTATTATTACTATTTATAACTATATATATATATATATAGATTAAGTAATACATTCTCAATAGAAGTATACATATTAAGGATTTTTCAAGCAATGAATCAGAAATATGAAAGATTTCCAATACAAGTATAAGTACCTATATCGGTAATCGGAAAAAAAACGACATGGTAAAAACCGACAAGGGTAAAATATGACAAGGTTATAAATGTCTAATGTATTTTACGTAAAAATTACAAATATTAGTGGCTAATTGCAAGCTGCTGACCGCCGATCAAATGACTTCCGTCGTATGGCGATCCAGAGGATATTCCAAATGTAAGCCTTAGATTTTTTCTTTTTGGGTGGGGGGTCGGCTAAATATATTATTATTAAATAGTAATAGTATTTATTTTTAAATATGTACCAGCACGCTTGTTAATGATTTTTTACGCGCTTATTGTTTATGAAATGAATTTCACATTAGCTATAGCATATAGTTTACGATACATTTATAATAATACATATTATTTGTATTCTTATTGACTTATGTTGAACTAATGTTTGTGATTTTTAAGTAAAATGCATTTGAAGTTTATTACCTTCGTCGGTTTTTACCGTGTCGTTTTTTCCCTAGATTCACCTATATTATACATTTCATATTATTCTATTTTTTAAAATGAGGGAACATGGGCTGGTGACAAAATTGACAACTGCTTTCAAAATCGTTGCGTGCAAATAGACAAAAACCAAATAAGTATTTTGGATTTTTAAATTACCTAATGTATTTAATTTTTTTTCCGTGAACTCTCATAACATAAGAAAATCGTGCTTTTCAAAAATTATTTTTAAGCCATCTGTTTTTTATTAACTTGAAATAATAAGAATAATAAATATTTATATATTTTTTTTTTATTATTAGTAAAATGTACGTATTAATTTAAAACAGGAGGAGGGGGTGTTTTTTTCTAGTATGGTTTTTGGTTAGGAGCTTTATTTTCCTCAATTCAATATTATACGTCAAGTCAGTATTCGGTAAATTTCATTTTTGGTTATAATCGTTGACTATTCATTGTCATAATTAATGATAACTTTTAATAAGTATGTTGAATTTACCTTACTTATTCTCGGTTTAATGTTAAGTTTCGTCATTGATGTTTACTAAATTTTTTTTTCCTAAAATATTTACAGACACGCTATAAACTCTGTCAAACTACAAAAGCTTAGATCAAAAGACGGAGCAGTTGCTAATATTACTTCTAAATGGAAATATGGGAAATTCTGATACGACCGTCGTTATCAATACTGCAAGTAGTTTTGATACCATTCTAATTCATACCATAGATAAAATATAAACCAAATAGTTGTTTTATATTACTATCTGTGATACCGACGGATAATCCAGTTCAGTAGTGCCAACGCGGACGATGATATTCGGGCTAACGGCGTTTACGGTCATTGTACGACGACACGGCGCGGCGGCGGGCTGCCGTCCGTTCGGAGTCGTACACTCGCACCCGACAACTCGTCCACGGCTATGGAGGTAGTTCCAAATGTCGTTATTGATTTTTCACACAGTAAAACCGTGGAGGAGATAAACAATATGAAATCCCGGGTGGAGGCAAACGCGGTTGTTAAGTTGCCCGGCATGACGTATTGACGTTTTGCGAGCCCGGGCGGTTGCTATGTGCTTACGAAAAGGGGTCGCCGCCATCGCCGCCGGGACCGGAATCCGCAATCCGGGTCTCCCGGACCGGCGCGTTAGCTACGCGTTTTGCTCTATCGATTAGTTGTATTTGTTTTTTTTTTTTTTCTCTTATGTTCGTAAACCGTCCGGAATAATATTACGGGTACTACATACCAGTTATTATGTAGCGTTGAGCATTACGACGATAATACAATATTGTTACGTATGGGTCAGCCGCGCGTTTTAAAACCACTATCCGAATTTTGAAACCTCCCGGATTAATATTATCAATAATATCAATACCTGTACAGCGCTGTGCTGTTATACATTTTCCTATTATTTATAACAAATCCTGTAACCCAATTTCGTTTGCCCGTCAATCACGCGCCAAAATTACTATCGTTTTGTACCCGCCTAACAGCCGAATAGTAGATTAGTAGATAATAAAATGCATAGGTACCTATCCGAATGTCAAAACGAACCTATACGCGAATTTTGTTTCGTCGAATATTGTCGATATTGCTATTTACAGATGTTAGGATCTACGTTATGTTATAATAATGTTGTGGATTTGAAGAAAACGCTTCGTCGTCAACAGTGTTGTAAAATCGTACTGTAATACAACTACTATGTCGTTTTTATTTTACTGTTTTTTTTTTTTCTTCTCGAAATAATTCCGACCGATTAAACATTGTCAGCGTAAGTAATACGAATTTAAGTATTAATGATTATTACGCACCGCAATAATCATTAATCACGATCAACGATAATTTTATGAATTTTATAATATTATTGTCGAAGTACCTACTGCTAGTTTGTGTAGGCCGAACGCCGATCCATACTGCATTGTGTATAGATGCTGTTCGGTACACGCCATTTTAACGTTACTACGACGTTTCGTGGGGCGTTGTCCTTGTCCATTATTATTCCAGAGTATTATTGCAATGCTCGGGTGAAATAACGTTTTCGATAAAAACAATGTCATCTCGTAAATAATTTAACGCGACCATGTCGTTATCACATATTGTTATTGTTGTTATAATTATTATCAATAATGTAATTTCTTTTCCTTCGAATATACCTACTCGAGGAGAATGTTATATAAATATTTTATCAGTCGTATTACGGTGTCTGTGTGTTGTCCCTATGAATTTCCATTACATTTTATTATTATTTTTATTTTGTTTTATTAAAATATTACGGGAGAAAAACCCGATATACTGCAGATTTTTACTGTCGTTTTCAACATTGAATATTGGCGAATAGGTACTTGTCTACTATTTTAAATTGGTAGTTCACGGCCAGAAACGCTAAATAATTTACTGCAAATCGCGAACGACGCCCAATGGTTCCTCTACTATTTATAATATAAATTGGATCAATAAAATAACTGTCCACTCCTCCCCTTCACCATTGTACCTATATCTAAAGTGATTAGACGAATAATTTCACATTTTTTTTTTTTATGATTCATAGATAATATAATGTTATAGTCTCTCGTATTTACCTCAACAAAAAACATCGATTCGATATTAATATACAGTTTCTAGGAAATTGTCAAGATTTCTCTAGCCATTGTCTTCGGAATTAAAAACGTTTATAGTAGGTATGTACTGCAATGAAATCGGTAGAAAATGAAATCAAAATCGCTTATAAATAATCGTAATACGTACACCTTTAATTTGCATTAGTCATAATAGCGGGTACAAATGTGCAACGCGTACACGTACTAATGTTAAGTACCTGTATAATAGGTATTTTATTAACTATATTTGTGCACGATTCACAATGATCTGCCTGATGGTTTGGACTATCGGTATAAGAATTAATATCTAATCAATTGTTGTACAGAATACGCAGTTATAATGAATCGATTTTCTTTTTTTATAGTCATTTTTGTATAGATTCTTCGGATGTCGCAGGAACGCTCCGATATTTGACCCGTTCGGTTATTGATGATGGGTTCACAATATAGATTCTATACAATAAATTATTATGATTGTCCGTTCTGAAGTCAATTGAACTATATTATTATTACGATTTGTAATCTTTTTAATTGTACTGTTCATTTAAACAGAACACAATATATGCATTGATCAATAAAACCTACCTACCGAATGATAAGTAAAATTACTACGTTCGATAAAAACGGGCCGTCAGTGTGTTTTGTCGTGATTCATGATAATTCTTAACAATTAATAATTTTCTATAAGGTCTACTGATGTCGCAGTCTCGCGGACGTCCTTGTTATTTGTTATTAAATTATTATATTGTATCATTTATATCTCATTGACACCCTAGTATATACGAATTATTCGTGTTAATTGCCATAGACTGTGTGTGTGCAGTGTGACGTACGTTGATGATTAAGGGGGGCGGCGGAAATCCAACTGTTACTACTTGAATTTCTAGTGCGCATATGCACAGATCAACGGGCTAAGCAAACAGCGCTCTTTTATCAGACCACTGGAACTACACACATGATCCATCTTTGAATATTGCGTCCGTGATAAAAACGGGAGGTTCAAAGAGAAGGGCGTTTGCCAAGTATGTGTACCAATAGAACTACGATAAAAACGCTACGTCTGCTGATTGGTCGCCGCTATTGTAGCCACGACCACAATCGCAATGAAAATGCGCAATAACTTATCATTTTTACTAATCAAATAACCCCAATTGGCCGTTATATTACTATATTCCATTTTGTAACAGCAATATTTCTTATAGAAATTATTATACAATTATTAACTAAAATAATTGTTTTACATTTTTTATTTAAATATTTTCTGTTTAATTTTCAAAATCCAATGAATTTCAATCTACTCTCTATAAATAATTTTAAAATCTGTTAATATTTTCATATTATTTTATTTAGGCAAAATATTGTCAAAATTACTTTTTTATTTTAGTTCTGAATTTTGTTAATCTAAGAGATTCTGAGATCAAAATATAATTAATTTATAGTTAAATATTAATAAATAAAAACAAATAAATATAAATAAATAAAAACAAATAAATATAAATAAATATATAAAATTTATAATAAATTAAAATACCTAAATATTAACTTAATGTAAGGAGTAAAAATTAATTATTTTATACTTATTCTCTAAATTATATAATAAATTAATTTTAAATGTATAAAATAGGTAAAACCAAAAGATTATGCTAAAGGTAACAAATTTAAATTACGTATGCTTCCATTAATTTTTATATCAATTGCATTGTTATGAATTACACTACAACATATATAAATATATATTTGTTTTGAGATATTATTGATATGTTTAATAGACATCAAATAAAAAACAATTCTATACCACAGGATAATCAAAAATCACAATGCTCATCCAAAGATGAAAATTAAAAACAGTATAATACTGGCATCTCAAAAATAACTAACAAAATTAATTTAAATTACAAATAAAATTTTAAAAAGTTTTTGGTTTACAATAATAATATTATTATTTATTCCTCAGACTTTGGATTTTCAACATGTTCATATTCTTCTTCATCATCAGATGATATAACAATAACGTTACTGTATGTTTGTGTATTTGTACAGTGTAAATGTTCAGTCTTATAATGTTCATTGTTACTATCGGGAACAGGTAAATCTACAGCTGGTGGCATTGGTAAGTTAGCAGAAGAAGGGCCTGGCTCATTAATATTATAGTGAATTCCATTTACTAACACATCATCTTCCTCAATAACCCAATTCTCAATATCACCATTGTTGTGTTCCATATTATCAGTCTCAGTATAATCAACTGTACAAATAAATCCATCTTCAGTAGTTTCTTCATCCTCTTCCATATCACTAATTTCTTCTACTTGTATTATATCATTAGTGTTACACAACTGTGCTGTTCTTGATCTATTGTTTATACTGCTCCATTCTGTGTATGGCATGTCATAATCACTGGAGAGACTAGCTAATGCAATATTTTCAGAACTATCCATATTGAATGTGCTAATATGGTTTTGCTCAATAATAGTATTTGATTCATAGTCATCAAGCGTAATTACAGGAATTTCTGTTTCAGTACCTCTTAATACACTGGTACAGTTGTCTTGTTCAGTTATCATTCTTAAACATGGTTCATTAAGCGATTGATCTTCTGCTGTCACACTTTCTTTAGTTGCACTCATTTCTGAACACATTTTGGTAACTTCATTTTTATTGTATGTGAATTTAAATTGTAAACAACCGATAGATATTAAAGACTCATCCCGCAATAGAGCTTGACCAGTATAGCCATCATTGGGGATATGTCTTTTGAGACACTTGCATGGGTCTAATCGATAAGCATAATCTGATTCTTTCGTTTCATCATTATAATATTTATACATGGATCCATAATCAAAACTATGCATTCCAGAAATATATTTAACAGCCTTTTTATCGTAATAACTATAAACTTGAAACAAATTATCCTTGCGAACTGCAACACGGCGGTTATTTAGGAATTTAGAGATGTAACTAAGGATTTTTTTCTGATCTGACCGATGATGTCCATAATAAGATATATTATCAACTATTATACCGTGTACACTATGGTTTTTTACCAGAAAATCTCCGATCACCTGCAAAAATATTAATAAAATATGAGATTTAATCATATTTAAGGAAGACAATAAAATTATTAAAAACTAATATATGAAGTCTGTTCTAATGGTTTAAACAAAATATTTATTTTTAACTTTTAATTTATATTTTTATTTAAAAATACTATGCTCAGATATAAATTTAATTCATAATATAAGTATTTCACAAAAACAGTAAAAAACCGTTTTTTTCTTCTTTCTTTTATAATAATTTAACATTTGTTATTAATATATTAATTACAAATATAAATGATTTAATGGACTATTTTTGTAATAAATAATAACCATACTGATTTTTTTCACCTATACTATAAATTATATTTTGAAATGGTATTCTTTATTTTATACCTAATATATTCTTTTAAGTTTTACTTAACATAAATAATACACAAATTAAAATTATATGTAATAATTAGATTTGAAATCAATGTTTAGTATAGTTTATTTCAATTAAATGTAGTACTAATATATTTAATTTTTATAAATCTTTTTATTTACAAATTAAAATTAGTAAAAAATCTAAATGCTTTATTATTTTTAGTAAAATGGTTTCCTCAAGAATTATTTTTTTTTAAGTTTATTGAAATGTGTAATGTTATTTAAACATATTTTGTAGAAATATAAAATATAGATAATAATAATAAATATTTATCAAACAAAAAAAATATATACTATCACAATACTAGTATTAATTAATAAACTGTAAATTAAAACTAAAAATACAATTTTAGAGAAGTTGGAAGGCAAAATTGTGAATATGGGTATGTGTGTCCATTATAAACCATTAAAAAGTTTTTATTTTCATATGTATGTATGCTGATAAAAAAAAAAATGTTTATTTTTCAAAGCTATTTCTATTATTTAATGTATAATGTGGGGATGTACTATATAACAAAGACGACTTAAAAATTATACTATGTCTCAAATAAATCTCTAAATATCACAGATATAAGTATGTTTAAGATAATTTTAAACTAAAAACCATCTTACTTTAAGAATCTAAAATTAATAAATTTTTTTTTCATCTTATCTAATGTAGTATAGTATATATTTTATAGTTATATTATACTACATTTGTTTTTAAATTGTACCATTGGTTACACTGTAAAAATAAATTTTTTGGTCTATATTTAGACAGATAGGAGTACACTATATTAATTATTAATAAGTAACTCTTACAAATCATAATACAAAGTGTAACTTCTAAATAAAACCATTTATAACAATAAAATATACTTAAAATTAAATCAATTGTGTAGTGTATAGTACTAATTTTTTTTTGAAGAAATACATACTTCATCAAATGTAATTGTGGCATGGTGATCAGAAATAAACTGGCAATTATCGTATTCTTCCAAACACAGATGATTGCTACGGCCTTTAAAAATATTTTAAACCAGATTTAATAATTGTATAAATAAAATAAAAACCATGCAAATTTAACATAAATATCACTCGCTTTTTCCAATAGTTATTGGTTCATTCTTAACTAAAAATTCGATTGGTAATGTTAAACAAGTCAAATATGCATTTGGTTGTTTTGGTAACACATTAATATTCTGAAATTGATTATAATGTTGAGATGCTAGGAACTTTTCAGTTACATCATTTGAAATATTCTCATCTAAAATATTAATAAACTTAGGTTTATTTAAATCACAGCTAAATATTTTCATAAAATACAAATAATACTAAAATTTAAATTTTTTTTAAATTATTAAAAGTAAAAAAAAAAAAATAAGTTTACATCAATGTAAATAGATTTACCCACAAAAATATTATTGAACTTACTAATTTTGAGATTTGAATTATTTAACGATTTTAATTCAAACGATGCAAGATCACTGTAAGAAAAATAAAACAATTGTTAAAGAGCATATAACCAAAATATAAAAATTCCCGTTGATTTTAAATAAAATTTGAAAATGAAATATGTATTAAATAACTTTATACATATACAAATATAAATATTTGTCTTACCATAAAATATTTAAAGAATTTGATGTTGGAATGTTTTTTTCTTCTGGCTGAAAATGTAAATTAAATAATTAAATAATATTGTGACTGAATATAAATATAATATATTTGATTTTACTTAATACTTATTATAAGTACTATAACTGTATTCTTAATGCATACTTTTAATTTAAGTTTTAATATAGTGTTACATTTTGTTTAAAATAATATTATACATTACCTTTTTGTACATGGCATCAATATGATTGGGTATTTTAAAATATGAATTTACAGGTTGAATGGGAGGTACTTCACATCGTAACCTCTTTAATACCTCTTTATCTGATACTGTTTTACTACCAGGAGGAAAATAATCAGGATACATCAATTCCTAAAATAAATAAATTTATACACATTTTTTAATAAAAATTAAAACTACCGAAAAAAGTAATAAATATATTACAAATTAAACAATTTCTTACATAGAATTTGTTATGCGCTGGACATATCCATCTTGTGCCATTATCCCAATCACGAATTGGAGGGTCCATACAATTAAGGTGATAGGAACAATTACAAGAATGACAACGCATTAGTTGTGCTTTCAAAAATCCTTTCTTGCATATACAACATATTTCAGTCTTATTAATTTGAGTTGGGTTAGGAGGTTTTATGTCTAATAAAAGTATTCAACAAAATTAGTACCTTCTAAAAACAAATAATATTAATATGCTTACTGTACTTGCGCTGGATAGGTATTTCAGTCATATGTCCTAATCGAATTCCACATGAATTATCATAATCTACTACTTTCTTTAAAATTGAATCGATATCTAAAAAATATATATGTATATATATTTCTATTCATTATTTATATAAACAAATAATAAATTTAAAATTAGCATGATTCATAACATTTTATTAATAAAATTGTATAACATGTCAACAACAAAAATCTTTCTATCTACTTCTAAAGGTCTGAATCCACAGCTGTGATAAATGATACAGTATGGATATGATGAAGGTAATGATAAAATTGTGCCATACAAAATTACAGGTAAATTTGGTTGTTACCATTACCATATCATTGCCATGAGTATCATATCATAGCAGTGTTGACTTATCATGACCCTTAAATAATAATGTGAATTTATTTAACATAAATATTAACATGCAATATGTCATACTACCTAAACTTCAACTAATATTTGTATAAATTTCTAAAATTTTGATTCATTCTGTATAACAATACGGTTAATATTAAAATGAAATAAACACAGCATTTACTTGACTGAAAGATAATTTCAAGATAAAGATAACTATAACAATTTTTTTTTTTTTTGTATTTTTAAATAATATTTAGCAGAAATAATATAGCAGTATGACATACCAAACATAACTGATTAAGGGTTATTATTAACATTTGTATATTTGCTTACCAAAATTACAGTTGATGGGTGTGCGGACTCTGTACTCGTCCTAAAATATAAAATTTTAAATTTTATTTAATCTGATTATATAAATTACAAATACAGTTTATCTTACATTGTCGATATACGCACAACCACTGCAAAACCAATCGCCAATGGGTAATCTATAAATTCTCGGGTAGCTAAAAATAATGTAATATGCGTATTTTAAAACTGAAATAGACTTTTTTTAAATATGGGTATCACTAACAGTTTTTAACAGACATTAGATCGAATAAAATAAGAACCAATGCCAATTTTGTCCAACTACCATATTATTTGTTTAGTAAAACATTTTAATTTAATCCAATATTAATTTGTCCAAATATTTAAGATTTCTAGTTTCTTATCTTCATTAATAAATATATTTTTAATAGAATATGACCTCTACTCTTAAGCGGATCATACACACAACGGCAAATCTTACAAGTAATACCAATAAAGGTAAATATATCAAATTTAATATAAGAGATACTTACACAACTGGTATACTTGTAAGGTATAATGTTTTGTATATGTTACTTAAGGAGACTTCACACTCCACTTAAAAAATTTAAAATGAATGTATTGTGACAGACTATACTAGGTGATTATGTTATGTTAAGTTATAAGTTTACACTGTAACTTTATTTAAACCATAGAATAGGTTAAATAGGATAATAGAGTAAAATTCTACCCAACCCAAGAAAATCGCATGGAAAGGGGTCTTTAGTTTTCAATGCATAAGTAGTTAGTTGTCACAAGAAGTTTTGGGAATTATATATTATATAATATATAGAAAGTGAAAATTTATTTAACCTTATTTAAATGGACAAAATAAATTGGGCAATGATGGTGCGGTTGAAAAATTGTACTTGGGCTTATGTCACTAAACATATTGTCCGGAAACCACTCACTGGCAAGTTATATGAAAGGATCTTGGACATTTGTCACAACATATAATTTCTCCACCTCCAGCACACGCATCACAATAATCATGATTAACCTCTTTATCGGGGTCTTGGTAATAAGTAACTTCTGGTTTTTTTTTATTTTTAACTGAAGTTGGTTCAGCAATCAATTTCAATATTTCCTAAAGATCAAAAATGAAATTATTGTTTAATAGATACTGCCTATTGCTTGATTAATCTGATGGCTAATCTGATATTATTGAGAATAGGACATTTTGAAAAACAAAATCATCCATTGGTGAAAATGTTTTGTTAGTAGATAGACAATCTGTTAAACCAATTGCCAATCATAATTTAATGAACACAGATTTCCTACTGATTAGCCATTAGATTAACTGAGAAATAGACAAAGCAATTTATTATTTTGTTTGTATCTAAATCACATTTTATCTATGTATTATCTTTCCTAGCTTAAGAAAATACAGTGGTGTAAATTTAAAATCAAATAATTTACTAAAATAGATACCTTTTTATTATTTGCAAGTTAAACCTTTAATTAAGTTAAGCTCATTATTTAAACCAAGATAAAGGTTTAACAAAGTATAAAAAAATTCAACACAAATAAATAAAATATATATAGGTAGATATTATAGGTACCTACCTAAAATATCAAATAAATTAGAGTTCAAATGTTAGTAATAATAGGCAAGTCATATACTAGTATTGAAAATGAAACAATAGGAGTGTTCTGGTGATAAAATTTTGAGCAACCTGGTAAATAGTTTAGCAAACCAACAATATTGTACACTGCAATCTTTTTCACAACTAAATTCACTTTTCAATTACCAGGTTGTTGAATTTAACAAACAATTAAAAACTAAGTTTACTATCTACAATTACTGGCTATCCATTGGTAAAATACTGTACAGTAAACAAAATGGAAACGTTTTGAAAATATAGCAATCAAGTAGCAAACATAAACAAACTGATTACCGAAAATGCATGGCCAAAACACGCTATAGTTAAATGTTGAAACGTTACTGTAATAACGAGAAACACATTCACAATTGAAGATGGATAAATTAATAATAAAGAAATTGTGTTTAAACGACTTACTGGCATTCGATCCACAGGACCGGGCGAAATTGCCTTTTTGGGAGGCATTGTGAAATTCTATCTGTTGAACTCCATGTTAATTCAGTTGGTAAAAAATATACATACACGTTCGATAAGTAACTACATTTTAAATTGCGTTGTGACCTGCAATTGAATTTAATGTGAACAATATAACTGTAAAATATATAAATTGCTAGAAAAGAAACATGATTGAAAACGGGCGTCGTTCGCTAAACTCGGGAGTAACGTAACATATTAAAAATAAAAACTTGGACTAGCATGTTACTCTGTGAAGACGAGACGAAATAATAAAATGCACTCACAAGACACAACCATCACTCAGTACGTAGTCTGTAATAATAATGGGTACCTAATATTATACTTAAACTGCATTGACTCCTGGGTAACCGACACTTGTCCCGATATAATGGCTGCGCAAACAACTTTTGGAGGTAAACTGTGGATTGTTGTCGATTAGACAAAACGGTGGTGCCATGGTGGTAAAAATGACATTCGGTTTTCGAGTGTAATTGATTAATATTATTGCACAACAGAAGTGGAACAAATTGCACCGAACTACAATTAAAACCGCAAAACAATCATAACATAACAGACAATAACAAGTAATAATTTAATATACAATTATAATATTAAGTATTAAATCATAATAAATAAATATTTTCGTTAACTGTTAGGAATTCAATATATTTTATTTTATAATTTTAATGATTAGTCTTCATTAACATTATTTTCGTTTTTATCTGTACAAGCAACACTGATTGTATATGTTTTTGTTTTTTTTATTTTTTGTGGTTATAAACCCCGCAAATGTGATTTTCGATCACTTAATTCAAACTTGACGATAAAAACATTAAGAAGTACCTACTACTCTTTTTAATTTTTTCCAACAATTAGTTGTTAGCTGATTTATCTGTACTATAATTTACCTTGATAAAAGGGTAATACCAAGAATTTTGATGGCGTCCAGAAGCAGATTCAATAGAAATGAAAATTCGATGGCGGAACGACGACTGAGACCAATTTATGGTACTTACCTATAATCGAAATTTGAATATTGATAATTTTTATTTTTCGATATTTATTGTCGGTATTCTTTTACTTACAGAATGGATAGATAATGGTAATTATAAAAAGGCTTTGCACGAGTTGGACAAGTTAATAAAAAAATTTATTAGTTTACCCAGTCAAAATTGTTCCAAAGTATGTATCTGTCTACTTTATGTTAAGATGGAATTCAACTTAAAACTAAAATAATTTAAACTATGCATATTTAATTGGTGTACCTATAGGCATTGAAGAGCTTAATATTAGTCCGACTTGGAAAAATTCAAGAGGCAGAAACTTTGTTGAAAGAAATTAGACAATGCAAGCCCTTTGATGAATCTACATTACTTGCCTTAACTGCATGCTATAGAGAGCTAAAAAGACGTAAATTTTAATAGTAATTGCATGAAATAATTCATAAGATGCAATTTATATTTAATTTGTGTAGCTCATATGGTTTGTGAAGTTTATGAGGATGCTTTACTTAAAGATCCAGCCAATGAGGAGTTACTATCTAGTCTTTTTATGTCGTACGTTCGGGTTTGCGATTATAAAAAACAGCAACAAACTGCATTAGCTCTTCATAAAGTCAAGCCAAATAATCCATATTATTTTTGGGCTGTAATGAGTATTGTTATGCAGGTAAATGTTGAATTCAATATTTTAATAATGATCTTTGTGTCGATATTTTTACTAAGTAAACAAAATGTATACCTATACTTTATAAATATTTGTATATTATTTTTTTTATAAATAATAAAATGTTATCACTGTTGTAAATTTTAAGGCATATCAAGCTAATGATGAAATATCCAAACGAATTACTTTACCATTAGCAGAACGTATGGTTCAGAAATATATTAATGAAGACAAAATTGATGCTGAACAAGAAATTCAATTGTATTTGATGATTTTAGATATGCAGGTAAATTTTAACATAACTAGATTGTGAGTGTATTAATATATTTTTAAAAGTTAAATTTATTTTTTGTTTTAGAAAAAATATAAAGAAAGTTTAGATATTCTTAATGGATCACTAGGTGACAAACTGCACCGAACTGTAGGTCTTACCCGGAAGAAAATTGACATTTATTTTGAATTAGAAATGTATGCTGAAGCCAACTCATACTTGAAAAGTTTACTCATGCAAGAGTAAGTATGTTATTTACTATTGGTATTAACAAAATTACTTATTAATGATTTCAGATTTTAAAATATATATTTATTATTTAAATATAAACAATTGAATTAATCCTAAATATATTTTTCACCAGATTAAATTTTATAGTTTTATACATTAATAATTTAAAGATCTTTAGCACACCTTGCCATACTAGTTGGATCATATTTTAAACATTAAATTTAATTTGTTAAAATCTAACCTGTATTTATTTCAATATTATGAAAATTGGGTACAAAATGAAATTGGTTAAATTTCTAAAGATTTTTTATTTAAAATTTGTTTATATATCATTATTGAGAATTGTTACCCAAGTCACAATTGTACTTATTCATTTAAATTTATAAAAATCTATTATAAATGATTTATTAAGAATTAATTGCACGCAGTTTTATGAAAATAATAAAAAACAAATTTGCTTGACACATTTAAACGTATTTGACATTTTTAATGTATTTATTCATTATTATGTGTATTGCTTTAATTAATTATTTATTAATAAATATTTCTATTTAAAAAAAAATAAATGTCATTTTAAGTAATATATTTATTTAACAGCTTAGATTCGTGGATTTATTACACTAAGTATTTTGATTCATTATTCAAAATAATTGAAAGAAAAGAAAAATATTTAAATTGCAATGGTGATCTTGGTTCTACACTATATTTTGATTCATCCATTGAAGAAGCATTAACATTCCTTAATGAATTGCAAAAGCTAAATGTCGAACAAAAATATCGCCAGAGAGGGATATATCTTGCTCATATTGAATTATATTCTAGATTAAAGGAAAATGCTAACAAATATATGGGTAAGAAATTAATTTAATTCTCAATCTGATCTTTAAAATTTAAATTATGTAAGGTATATTAAAAGACAAATAATAATAAAACCACAATTCTCATTATATAAAATTTACTTATTTATTAGACTATATACTTTAAAATCAAATTTTTTTTTATAAATTTTGAACACTTTATTTTTTTATACTTAACTAGTTTATTTTGACTTGGATCAATATGATAATATTAATTAAATAATTACAGGCAATATTATCGATCTCTTGACTGAATATTTTAAAATGTTTGGAAAAAAGCCATGTTGTTTTTATGATTTAAGACCATACATGTCACTTTTGAAAGATGAATTACTCAATGAGTTTTTAAAAGCCTTAAAGAAAATTGTAGATTTAGAGGAAGGAGAATTTCCAAAATCAGTAAGTATTTTCAAGAGACGTTTAATTTATTCAATTCTAGTTAAAAATACTTGGTTTTATGATGAATTTCATAAAATGTTACCTGCACTTGGTGATATACTACTGTATATTTGGATTTAATGCTTTTTCAATTCCATGACAATACAGCCTCTTAAGTCACCCTTGAGATTGATTATCCCTATTATTAGCTAAAATCTATTAAGTAATTACAAAATATCATATATTTTTAGAAATCTCAAATGGAATATTACCTATCGTTTCTTCAACTATCTCGTTATATTGGAATCCACGATCTTATGGACACTGAGAAAAAACTAAATCTTGCAGATCATTTTCTCAGATGCTATCACAAGTGTGAAATATTCAATAACAGCAATAGATCTTCTGAAATGATGTAATATAAAAATAAAAATAATTAAGAATTATATTATTAGAATATTATAAATTGAGTGGTTATTATTGTTAATATTTATTTTTTTTTTTTTCTAGGGCAAATGATACTTTTGTTATAATGATGGCTCATTTAATGTATGATATTTGGGTTGAAAATAATAGACTTACATATATTAGAGAAGCAATTGTTGTACTTGAGTATGCCTTCGCTCTAAGTCCTTCAAATTTCCATATCAAGTTATTATTGTTAAAATTTTACCATATGTTGGGTAATTATAGTTAAATTTTGAATACGGTTTATGCAATTTATTAAAGTATTTTTATTTATCACTTTAGGAGCTTCTGATGCTTCTAATATAGCTTACATAAATTTAGAAATAAAAAATACACAATTGGATTCATTAGGATACTTGCATACTTTTCAAATGTTCAATGAAGGTCGGTTTCAAATAGCATCCAAACTGTATTCTACAACAGTGAGATTTTTCTCACATAATTATCGAGAGGTGAGAAAGTAAAAGAACTGGAAGTTAACACTTTTAAATTCTAAGAGAAAGTTTTTCATTTTATATGGTGTACTTTTTCAATAATATAGCATTTTTGTATGTACAATTTTTATCCGATAGTTCTTTAGATTTTTACTTCTTTTATTGAAACATTTCAAAATCATATTTTGAATCATTGAACACTTTTAGGCCACACGCACATTAGAGAGCGTTGAGCGACAAGTGTCAAAGGTGCGCACAATAGTTCTTTTACAAGTGCGTTATTTTTTAACATTGTGGGTCATTTAATATCTAGAACAGAGGTTCTCAAACTTTTAATTTCACATACCATTTTATGTATTATGGATCTGTCATGTATCATGTAAAACTAAAAATTGAACAATTCCTAATATTTTTACATTTATTTCAAAATTATAAAAGTAAAAAATAGTAAAATACTTTAATATAATCAATGGTTGTGTGTAAATATGATCAGTTTCAATTTGAAAATTAACAGGTACAGATGATAAATTAATGTACAATTAAAATGAGAAATATATTAAAAATATCACTTACTTTAAACAAGAGTGTACCAAATTTATTATAAGGGATTGTAAAATATGTCCTTGTTCCCATCTGAGGAAGAGGCTTATGTGAAGAAGCTTATGTTAGTGAGGACCTTTTTCACTTGACCAAAATGTTTTTAATTATTTTTTTGTTTTTACATTAGTTTTAAAGTAATATCAAAATCAAAATCTGTCCTAGGATAATGAGAATGGGTGCAGTCACTGTTATAGGTAATTTAATGCATATTTGTAAGCAACAATTAACCATTGCTAAGGAAAAAACGATTCTGAGCGGAGTTCAATTTATAGTATTGCTTTGTCAACAATAAATATGCCATAGTATAGTTAAATAATTGCAATAAATGCATTATATATTTTCTTTAATATTATACATATTTCCCTGTTTTTCTATTTATTGTGAAAACTCTTAGAAAAATCGAAAAAAAAGTTACCCTAAAGTACTTCCCTAGTCATATTTATTTTCAGAAAAAGTACATGGGAAAACAAAGAGAAAGTGAAAACAGATTTAATATTAAAGAAAATGTTTAATGTATTTTACCAGAATATGGCATTGTTGACAAAGCAACACTATCAGTCGAGCTTCTCTCCGAATCGTTTCTTTTGTTAGCAATGAATAATTGTTGCTTACAAATATAAATTAAATTCCTGTCTATATCCTACCTTCCTAACTTCCCACCTATAATAGTGGCTGCACCCATCCCCATTATCCTAGGACAGTCTTTTTAGAACATAATTCAGTTAAAAATATTTGTAAAGATTTGAAATTTTGATAGAAATTTTCAAAACATTTGAGTCATTTTTGAACTATTTATAAACATTTTAATTTGAAAGTTATTACGTAATTTTTATTTGGTAGGTATTTTGTGAATATAATTTTTAGACTAATCAAAAATGCTTGAATATTTGATGGAGGATCAATATAAATCGTACTTAGTGATAAAAAAAAAAAAAAAATGTTTTATTTATTTAAATTTTAAAATCAAAATTTGATTTAAATCGTAAATTACGGTCTTTCAAAACATATATAATTAAATTTCACTATGAATCGATTTTCGTTAGCAATGGTTTATTGTTAGTTACAGATATAAATTAAATTTCTGTATCCCACCTTCCCCACTACCTACCTACTACAATAGCTGCACCAGTCCCCAGTATCAGCTTTCTCTTTATATTAGTTAAATTTATATATGTTTTTATTTAATTTAATATTAGTTTTTTTTACTTTTATTTTAGGTTGCAGATCATTTAACAATATCTTATAAGTTTGGTTCCTTTATCAAAATTATTGAATTTGTGGAGTTTCGAGAGAAGCTCAAATATTCTATTCATCATTCAATGTGTATTATAGAAAACCATTTTATTTCATTACTTGATGTTGATAGTTATGACGATTGTTTAGAGGTATATGAAAATTATCAATAAATTTAATATTAATTATATTAGTACTAATATTTTTTGAATGTTTCATATTTATTAGATTGTACTAAAAATGAATGATGCCCCTGAAATTGCTTCAGAATCTCATCTCAAGAAAATGATTAATAATCGAGACTATTCAGTTCTAATCAACTATAATTCATCATCGCGTAGTTTATCTCCAGAAATTTTAAATCAAACATTTTCTCATGATTTACGTTTATTAGAAATTCGTGCTGTTTTACTTAGTACTATTTATTACAGTGCACATGTAGCTAAAGAATTCAGTACATATGATATTAAATCTATATTATCTGAAGTAAATGGACTCAATCTTGATGAAAAATCCTCTGATCCAAAGTATGTGGATCAATTGAATTTACATTTGGAAAAACTGAAGAAGTTATATGAAGAATTAGAAAGTGATCCTCCAATTCCAATTTCTAAAAGTGTATTTGGTAGTTTTTTTGGTTCTAAGATATTTGGTTTAGTGAAGTCTAAAAGCATGCTAGTTATTGCTATAAACTTTATTGAACTTATACAAGCAATGAGTCCAAATGTAAAAAATTCTGCTTGTACAGAGGATAAGTGGACAAACAAAATGAAAATCAATGCAACAGAACTAACTAATGAATATGAAAAAGCTGTTGCTTTTTGTCAATGCACTATTTCCAAAACGATTAATGAAATAGATTCTAGTCTTAAATTAGAAGGAAGGAAAGAAGTATTAGAAATACTTACAAATATGATAGATGTAAGTAATATAATTACATACATAATAAAATTACTAAAAAGTTTATTATTATTTTTAGACATTAAATATTTCATATATATTTCTTTCCTTGGTAATATACTTAATGAAATGTTTACAAACCCAAGTAATTTCTGATCCTAAGAAGATAAAAGCTAAACGGAAAACTCAGTCAACGCACTTTAATCCTGAGGTAAAGTTAAATTATTTTTTATATTTTGAGTATAACAAAGAATGTATTGGTTTTACTTTGATGTTTTTTTTTTTCTGTGTGAACAATTTTTTCACCAAAAATCTTTTTTCATCAACTTCTGGATTGGTTTCTGGTAGTAAATTTTGTCTAGTTGGTGCATTGAAAAAGTGTTTTTTTTGTTTTTTTTTTTTTTAATAATTGGGAAACAAATTTCAAGAAAATGAGAATATTTACACAATAATACTGTCATTTTTGATTTTGTTGGTTTGGTGTAATTCAGTTAAAAATAATCAAAGTGAAACTTTCACCTAATACTTATATTAGAACTTACCAGGCAGTAAAATATTTCTAATTTAAAATTAAACAAAAAAAAAAATTGTTACCCGGTTAAAAAGTATGTATTGAACATCAAGTGTATTTATTTTCAGACTAACTATAAAGAAAAATTGGACATTGTACATGAGGTTATAAAAATTGTTCAGAGTAGCATTAATCAAATACTTGCTAGTATAAAAAGTGTAGAAGAAGCATGGAATCGTATTGGTTGTGGAAATTCTAATGGACTGATGTTAAAAAAACATGATATAGATTGTACAATAAATGATACTAATGAATGTAATGAAGCTGAAAAAATGAGACAAATCACAGCAGAAAGGTGGCGACAGTTAGTGGACACTATTGATAAAAAAATAGGCGACAGCTATAGTGGAGCTTTAGAAGAAATGATAAAAACTTTGTTAAGGAAACAAATACAGATCAATAAACTATCGTCATTTTAAACGGTAATAAGTAATTTTATACATGTAAATATTTATATTTATTACTTATAAAATTAGATGATACTATTGATTATATTATTTAGTCAATCATGATACCCAACTATCAGAACATATATTATTGTTTTGAAATTTGATATGGAGCTATGGGCTGATTAATTTTACTAATTAGATTGTAACCTTTTCCTTTTACAATGAAATTAATATTTAATAATTAATTACATTTCTAAAATGTATTTACAACTTTCATTTGCATTTTATTGTTATAGAAACATTGCAACCTAAACATCAAAATACATCAACACATAAATAAAAAATGATACAATTGAAATTAATCAACACTCTTCATTTATGATCTCTTTTGTATTATTGGAAATCAATGCCATACATTTTGTTAAATAAATATTGAGTGGTAGATTCATTTAAATTGATAACACTTGTAGCAAAATAAAACCTTATTTTCTAAATTAAAATTAATTAAAACCCTGTGTCCATATTTGATTTAAAAAGTTGTGAAAATCATCAATTCAAAATATGTATAGTTTGAATGCAAACAAAAACATTCAGTATCTCTGTATCTTCATACAATTTTAATTTTGTTTTATTTATTAGTTGTTATACTTAGTAATATCACAGTCTAAAAAGATATGTACTGGATACGCATCATAATCAAATCTTGGTCATGAAAGTAAAGGGTACCAAATTTTGCAATTTTAACTAACTTCAGCGAAGAATAAATATGTAAAACTATATTCATAAGACTCTCAATCCTATTGTGAAATTATGTTGTGTCAAAACAATACCTTCTTAGTTCATGGTATGTATTACAATCGTTAGGGACATTGGTGCCAACCGAACAGCTTAACTGTGTCTATCAGTTCTTCCATCTACACTATCAGCCAACTCCAAGATATCTGCCAAAGGCTATAATATTAGTAGACATTTTCAAGGACTTAACAATTTATATTTTTGATCAGATTTGTGCAAGCACAACACTGCTTTTTTTATAAATTAAAACCCTATCACTTTTGATTGCAATTACTTTTTTCTTATTTTACATGAATTTTAAAGTTTAACCAATTTACTAATTCGACAATTAGCCCAAGTTATTGCAATTTAAAATTATTTGATATTTTTATAAAATGTGAAAATCATTAAATAGATATCTTTGAATCCCAAAAACAGGTTCATAAGGACGTTGAGTGTTTTTCGAATTAACAATTCTACACTGTATTGACGAATATCAGTTTTTTTTTTTTAAATAGTTGAATTATATTTTTTGTATTGAAAACCTGAATATATTGTTACTTTAACAGTTGTAACCAGGGCTTATAAGTTCATCCACTAAAAAAAACCTATAAACATATAAATGCATGACTGAGCTCTGGTTATAACTATATAATAATATTTATAGACTTATTTTTCACTGTTGTCTGTTCAGTTTATTAAGATTACTTTGTAATGTTATTTCTTAATTTTTTTAAAACTCATTTTGTTTTACGAAAATGTTTATAATTGCAATCATTTATTTTTAGTGTTATTATTATATCATAAGTTCTACTCCAATTTATTCCCAGTCATTTTGAATAATCTGTGTAGTTTCATACTTCTTTCCCCTGTTACTATGTTAGTGATCTTTCTTATCACTTAATTGCATACACTATAGTAATTTTTGTTTAAATGTTAAAGGATTTTTTTAGATTTAAAAAAGTTATATAATTATTTTTATTTTTCCTCTTAAAAAATATAACAAAAACAAAATAATTACATATATCTATTACCTGCCTGAAAATATCTTAACTTTATGTCTACTAGTCTGTTACATTATTTAATTATTTAATTATAGTGCAAAATAGTTAAACTAACCTATTAGGTAGTGCTTTAGTTTTGAAAGATAGAATTAAGAGTTACTAACCATTATGTATTACGTGTTGAGCTTTGTTTAGCCTGTAACATGCGTATAGGTGTAGATTGACTGAAATAAATTAGTTTTATTGCAAATCATGTTATTTTTTTTGTTTTATTTAATGAAATGATAATTTTTAATACATTACGAACAAAATATTATTTAAGAAAGCTATATCTTTTTAGCCCAAATTATATTATTTATTGCTCATTTGTATTTTGTTACATTATTATTTATACTTCAGAAAAATGTTTGGAATTGTTTATCCCAAGATTAAGATTGATTATCTTATTGCCTACGAGAGATAAAACAACATACTTTATAATCACAAACTGTCAAAGATAAAAATCGCTTTTTCAACTAGTTGAATCAAAATTACAATTTTAAATTGTATTATTCTCGTTAGCTTAATATATAATATAATAGGTGACCCATTTCCTTTTTTAATTTTTGTAATATTTGAAAGTAACATGATGTCTTATATTTTTCTTTGCTCATAATTATTTTTTCTTATAGGAAATAACAAAAAAATAATATTTACAGTACACAATATTTGATTATAATGCATAATATGTGATTTCAATATTAAACAGTCTTGTGATACTATTTAAAACAGAACACCAAGTAATTAAGTATATTATTTGTATTTGTAAATAAATCAACATTTAAGAATTTTTCTTGTTAATAAGCATCATATTATAAAATGTTATAATATTTTATAATTAATTGAATATTTTTATCTCGAAAACAAATACGTATCATTGTTAAAGTGGAATTATTTTTTTTTTTAAAAATTGTTAATTATTTCCATTGTTGGTTGATTATTCTTAAAAAAAATGACTGCGGGTATATTTATGGTTATTATAGTATATACGGGTTAGGTAACTATTTTATTTTGGTAAATAAAATTACCTTTCAATTTATGAAATAATATTGTTAAAATACTTATAAACCTCATTTCTATATAAACGTGCGTGTCAAATTTAATTTGTGGCCATTTCTATCGAAAACTGTCTGGTTTATTGTATTTCCAATATATCTACTGAAATGAATTTCAATATTTCTGTTATAATATTATTTTATTTATGTATATTAAACTATTATAGATATATGAACTGAATAATAAAACTGTTACATAAGCCAAGTATCTATTCATAATTAAAATATATAATATTGTGTTACGTACTTTGTACTATATATTTATTAATTTTAAAGATCATATTTATAAAAAATAAATAATTTTTATGATATTTTTTAACTATATTATTAAGTACCTAATATACCTATGATGTATTTTGTTGTTTTTTTTTTTTTTTTTTTTGTTAATCTTTATTATAAGTACATTAAATATAAAATAAAATGTATACATAATAAAAATATGCTGTTATTTATTATTTTATTACATATAGAGGGGTTTACAAATCTGGAGCAAAATAATCCAGAAAAATTACAATGGTTTCTAAAGTACAGTAATAGTATTATTTGGTTAATAGTGATTTTTTTTCTCCTGTAGATATTAATATATTATCTACAGAAAACTCCCAGGAATTAAAATTCTTTAAAAGCTCAAAAATTATGGCGATTATACCATAAGAAAGTAAATCAAAAAGACAACAAAATGTTATTTGTGATTTTTCGATTAAATTATTTTTTCTAGTAGAAAACGTCGTCCATATTTTTATAAAATAATGAAATCGTGAAATTGTACGTTTTTCCCACTTAAGTGCTTTTATTGGCTTCGGAAATCAAAAAATGATCTATTTAAAGTACCATCTAGACAACGAGCTTTAAGAAAAGTTGCTACACGTAAAAAAACGGAGCAAATTTACTTGGAAAAAATGTGTCCACAGACTAGAACTAAGAAAAAAAATAAACATCTCAGTAAAACCAATAGCTCCACTATTGCTATATGTATTTTTTTTTTTATTATCTTATTTTACATTTAATGTAACTTAAATTATTTTTTAGAGACTCATCTATCAATACAAGGATTGTATCCTTAGTGATAGACGTTGCAGTGCAGTATTAATATATTATGTAACAATTTTGTAACCATCAATACTGCTAAATAAATTAACTATTATTATATGTTAGATTATTAAATATTTCATATGGGCTATGGTATGATTATAATCTAATCTAACCACAAATTAATATAATTTAAATGTAGTATTCGTTTTAATATACCTATCCAATATCTACTAGATAGTTTCAATAGATCTAAATCTTCAGAATCGATGTTATTTAAATTTAGAAAAATTATCTTTGAAAAATACAAACTGTGTGTTGATTTTTTTTAATTTTGAAAAACATGACATCTAGTTTATCATTTGATCAATACGATAGTCACGTGTAGTATTATATTCAATTGAAAATTATGCAAAAATAGATAGATATAGGTACTTATGCATGGTTTTAAAAAGGAAAAATGTTAACTTCTACTTCAGCTTATTAAAACGGACTACTAAGTCCCTTACCGCTTCTACTACCCTCTCCACTAATCTCTATTCGTTGGCATGCTGATGTTGAAAGTGACATTAGTTTTTGACAGATCCATTTTTATTGTGTCTGTCTAACTCTGGCATAGCTTCCCTAGGCTTTTTTTCCATTCAACTTTTCAATCCACCTTGCGACAGAATTCATTCCTGATTTCCTGAGCAATAGGAAAGAGCTGAGGTAATCATGTTGCTCAAGCCCGGAAAACTACCTGAACAAGCCTCCTATCGACCGATATCGTTTCTGCCATGCATGTGAAAACTAATAGAAAAACTTTTTAAGCGTCTTAACCTACTTATTGAAGCAAAGAAACTTATACCAGATCACCAGTTAGAATTCCGTCATTGCGTAACGAACGTGATCAGTAAGGGGCGTTGGAAGATAACAAATTATTGTTGTGGAATATTCCATTATGTGGCCCAAACTTTTGACAAAGTTTGGCACAAAGGCCTATTATTAAAACTACATGAGCAGCTGCCACACACGTGGTGAGCACTCCTCAGTCACATCTGACCGAAAGACATTTTCGCGTTGGACACGAAGAAGTGGTAACTAATTGGAAAAGTATATCAGTTGGAGTAACTCAAGATAGTGTTCTCGGACCTATTTTGTACCTACTCTATACAGCTGATATTCCAACTAATGTCGACACAATGATAGCTATGTTTTCCTGATGACACGGTAATACTATCAACAAGGAAGGACCAACAAGCTGCGACTGAGATTCTACAAGCGACAATAAACACCTTTTACGACTGGACGAAATGATGGAAAATAAAAATGAATGAAGACAGGTCGGTGCACATTAACTACACCCTACGTAAAACCACATACATCCCAGTCATGCTAAATCAATAGATAATCCCACAAAATATCTGGGAATGCACCTTGACTCACGACTTAACTTTAAACATCATGTACGCCAGAAAAAATTGAAAATCAAAAAAAAATGCACAAATTGTACTGGTTAGTTGGACGACACTCCGAGTTAGACCTAACCAGTAAACATTTCTTGTATGTATCGATTGTTAAACCGATTTGGATATATGGTATTCAACTGTGAGGTTGTGCCAGTAAGTCTATTATCGAAGTTATCCAACGATGCCAGAGCATCGCGCTTCGTATTTGAAAATGATATCCGTGCAGGATGAAATAATTAGGTTTGCCCGCAAACATGCAAGAAGACTGGAACTTTACACAAATACAACTGCCATACAATTCCTCGACAACTCGCAAGACATTAGACAACTCAAGAGACTGAAGCCATTAGATTGAGAATGGGGCTGCTTTACTGGAAGTAGAATTCCACACAAGTTGTGTATATAATGTATGTGTATATATATATATATATATATATATTTGTTTGTACACTCCTATTGATTTATATTTAGAAAGATTCTTTAATCGTTTAAATAAAAATGCCTTTTGGCAATTAAATAAAAAACCTTTCTGTTAGCCATGTGTGACCCATCTATTATAATCATTTACTTTTCATAAACCGTTAAATATTTGGGAAGTTATAGAGCCTTTGTATTTCATCGTATTTTTTAAACTTATGTTTAAACTTTATTATTATAAGACTACAGGACTACAGCACTAACATATACAGACGATGAATGAAATTATTTAAATCGAATTATTTCTGGGATGAGAAAAACTGATTCATCCGTCTATTATGCAGGTATACCATCCACCTACGTAATAATCAATTTATCAATTCGAACGATACCTAGCTTATTAAGCTATAGCAAATATATATATAGAAGAAGTTCATTTTTCATTGTGGATTTAGAAAGTTAGTAGGTACCTTGTTTACGCATTTTGTACGCCCATCAAATTAGAGCGCTATATAAATATAAGTAGAATATATGAAAAACTGAAAACTATTGTATGTTTAAAATTATTATTAAAGAACTACCGTCGCGGACAAGTGATTATTCGGATGATTATGAATTTCGCATATAGAGGAAAACCAATTCAAAGAATGAAAATCATAATCTTTTATTCTAGAATAAAAGTATAGGTGCAATATGTCCATATTATACTCGTATCATCATATTACTTTCGTTCTGTAGTTGAGCGTATCAAATTGGATTTATACACGTGTATATAATAATAAAATATACTAGTAACAATAATCTTAATGACACATAGGCAAATATCTATAGTATCTACATACATAAAACTCAAGTTTAACTATAACTTCTGGAAAAATTGTAGATAAGTAAGAACCTAAAACAAAATTATAATAGGTAAAAGTACCTTTTTTTACAGTTTGACTGACAACAGTGAAATATTCGGTTTAACAATACTTTCCAGCTGCTACCATTGTTTTTTTATGTAATTTCTTATTAATTGTTTACAAAAGTTCCGCTTTCTTCTTCACGGAGCAGGCTCACATTAATTAAAAAACAATAATAATAATCAAATATTTTAATATCAAGAGGGATGAGTGAGCTGACATCTCGCAGCATCCCCTAACATATGATACCTATCTTAACCTAACTAACGCTACTGGTGTCCATAAGTTGAGGTATTCATGATACGGTTTTGGATCTCGATTCACAGCTTGGTGACCCGATAACGCAGGCACTTGCCGGTCTGGAAACTCGTACCCGAAGTTCAGTATAAGTATGGAGAGACGATTGGCCCTCACCACAGTCTCTCTAATTACCTATTTTGTGTACGGTACTACAGTGTACCAACCTATTCTCAAATTATAGAAAGAACAATTCAAACTATAATCTAAGTAGTTGTCAGCCAATATAATTATGAATAATGTATGAAGAATATTCAATACTTCATTAATATATTATACAATTATTATTAATTATCATAGAGTTATGTCGTTTTTTAATAGAGTTACTGTCGTTAGTATCGTCTTATAAATAATAATAATGTATAATAATAAAATAATAAAGTAAAAACAAAATTATTAAAATGGTAAATACTTGTAAATAAATATATAAAGAAAAAAAATTGAACAAATCTTCAAAATCAAAATCGATTTAACATATGCAAATTAAATAAATAGGTTACTAATATTAAGGTTATTTATTTCTTCTAAAATTTTTTAAGTACCTATTCGTTCATTTAATTAATTTTAACGTATGATTTGATAGACTTTTGGTAACTTCTTTGCATGATAAGCAGTTATGAAAACCGTAGATAGGTAATCGTTAACGGATTACGGCGTTACTCGTCACATAAAATAACTATGAACACCATCGCCACAAAGAAAGTCTTTGATGTTACAAGAATTTCAAACAGGCGAATTGCATTATTTAAAAACGTACAGGTGGTGAAACTTATTTTATTTTTAATCGTAAGAATAGTAAACAATATTATACCTGATAATTTTTTTTTTATATTTAATTTAAGAGAGTAATGCTCATGGCCGCGGCACAAAGATGATATCTAAAATAGATTTTATGATCAAAATTATTGTATTCTGTGTATAGCATAATATAAACCATAAATAATAAAATATTTTTATTTTTTTGATCTCAAGAAGTGTCAGTTGTAAGATAGTTGACATTTTTTTAACGGATCCAAAAAAGTTTTGTTCACATCAATGGAAAGTATATTATATAGAAATAGAAGTAGTCGAAGGTACCACAAAAAATATCATGATTTTTATGAGTTTCATTAAAATTTGAAATTTAAATGCTTTATAAAAAAAAATAATTCCTTAACACAAATGTTTGAAATTTGTATATCATCATTAGAGAAATCTATAAGAAACTTGTGTCATATTTTCAAACATTCAATAATAAATCAACATATCACAAGACATATTATACAC